CGCGAATAAAGGAAGAAAAAGGTAACGAACCGAAATGCAAGCTTTCCAATTATTTTTCTTTCGACAGATCGAAAAAGTTATCTTGAAATAGAAATCACGGAAATAGCTAAACCAGATGGCAAACGAATTTTTCTATACAGGATGTTCGGCTACCCTTGGGAAAAATTTTAATGGGAGATTCTAGAGGTCAAAATAAGACGAAAATCAGGGATAATAATTTGTTGATTGAGGCTTCGTTGAAGAGTTATAGAAACATTTCCACACAGTATATTTTCGATAAAGAATTTTTTTCTCGAAAGTACGTAGGATTTGGGGCATATGTGTATTCACCAAAAATGATTGTAATTGACCCCCACAACCGACAATAATTTTTCCAGAACGATTTGAAATTTTTTTAAAAATTTCAGGGAAACATATCAATGTATGGTCAGACATTAGATTTTCGGTTAGGAATTTTTTTCTCGAAAGTGCGTAGGATTTCGGGGGTATGTCTATTCACTAAAAATGTTTGTAATGGAGCCCTGCAACCGGTCATAATTTTTTTAGAGAAATCTAGAAGCCAAAATAAAACGAAAATCAAGAATATCAATTTCTTGGCTGAGACCATGTTAAAAATTATTTTCGGTTGCGGGGGTCAATTGCAATCATTTTTGGTGAATAGACCTACCCCCGAAATCCTACCCACTTTCGAGAAAAAAATTCGAGAAGGTGTGCAATTTTTCGACAAAATTAAAACATTCCAAATCAGTTTGGAAAAATTATTTTCAGTTGCGGGGGTCAATTACAATCATTTTTGGTCAATAGATATACCCTCGAAATTCTACCCACTTTCGAGAAAAAAATTCGAGAAGGTGTGAAATTTTTCGACAAATTTCAAAAATTTCAAATCGTTCTGGAAAAATTATATTTGGCTGTGGGGGTCAATTACAATCATTTTTGGTGAATAGACTTACCCCCGAAATCCTACCCACTTTCGAGAAAAAAATTCGAGAAGGTGTGAAATTTTTCGACAAAATTAAAACATTCCAAATCGTTCTGGAAAAATTATTTTCAGTTGCGGGGGTCAATTACAATCATTTTTGGTGAATAGACATACCCCCGAAATCCTGCGTATTTTCGAGAAAAAAATTCGAGAAGGTGTGAAATTTTTCGGCAAAATTCAAAAATTTTAAATCATTCTGAAAAAATTATTTTCGGCTGCGGGGGTCAATAACAATCATTTTTGGTGAATAGACATACCCCCGAAATCCTGCGTATTTTCGAGAAAAAAAATTCAGTACGAGCGGAAATTTACGCGTTAATAACTTTTTAACGAAGCCTCCATCAACAAATTGGTATTCTTGATTTTTGCCCTATTTTGGCCTCCAGAATCTCCCATTACAATTTTTCCCAGAGGTGAACACCCTTTTAATAGAATATTACGTAAAAATGTAGAAATAAATTAAACGTTACCAAGTAACGCAAATCTATTAAGAATTAACGATCCTCGTTACATAACGTCGAAACCAGCCGCTGTGCTGTGATCGTTGCATAAATTTAGCCCGTTGTACGCATACTTCGTCAACACGGATACACGTTCGATCAATAACATTACACAATATTTATCTAAACTTTCCAAGCTAATTGATTTTGGAGTAATATCGCGGAAAGCTTCTAGCGACCATCAGTCGCGAAACTTTATATCGGATGGTGTATCTGATGCAAGAAATTTCTTTCAAATATCGTGCGCCATTCGAGTTCAATAACAACTAAGGAAACCGGACGATGAATGAAATTTACTGGATTAATCGACCCTTTCGAGGAAACTGCACGCCAAATGGCCAGAGGTTCGCTATTCAAATCTTGATATCTCAATGGTAATTAAGAAGAACTGTCTTTCCGAACTTCTACTAGTCGGGAGCTTTCGAAAATGATTATTTCGCAAGATGCTCTTTATACAAGCTATCCTCGAGTATACTACGTTGAAACCAACAAGCTAAGATACATATCATCGTCGCAATTCCTGATTGATCCTCTTAATCGATGTATCGTTGGATACAAAGAAGACAAATAAGCGTTTTTGCTGGCACGATATCTTATAGACGTCGAGAAAAGACGTCCGCTCGTTAACGAACCGAATCCCTCCCGAATTATTTGCCCGTGAAGAATTAACTCCGCGGAGGAATTAATTGCGAGGACGGTAATACGGGACAGCGTAACAAGCTGAAAGAACGGATTAATCGATCTCCCATTTTTTTTTTTTCACTTATCAAGAGAACCCGAAGGGAGCCTCGTCCGCGTCTTCGGGCGTGCTACTTTGCAAATCTAATTTCATTTCCGGGTTTAGTTCTTCAGAACGGTTCCCAGTATCCGTGGAATAGCAGAGACGCCTGGGGATTTCCATTCGAGACAGAAACACTCCTCGGCTAAGAGATTAAAGCGGGGCTCTGGTGGGATGCCTTACCTTCTCACCCAAAGACGGTTCGATCTCGCGAAAGCTACGGACCAATTACGTCCAATGCGAATTTTAGTCGCCTCTACGTTCCTGGACCGCCGAACGAACAGAGAAACGAGCATTAAACCCGAATCATTATTACGTATTATCGTTCTTAGACGTTTGAGAATAGTTTTCACGAAGCCGACGTACGCTGGTTCGTTAATTTAAGAACAGTTGGCAGAGTGGTTCGCCGTTGGAAGAAATTGCACACGTATCGGTATACTTAACGGAAATTTGTACCTTTTCTTTCGCGCGGTTGAAACCACGAAGCTTGTAGCGCAATAAATTCGCATCAACGGCACGGAGAAACGAGAGTGAATCAAGAGAACTCGTTCAGTTATTCCTGGCGGGCCGCGTCGATAAATTTACTCTGTTCGGACGTTTAATCCTCGGAGCCCGATATTTCACGAAGAAACGGATTCCTGGAGCTATCAGCCTCCAATTTTCTTAAAACTTCCCGAGCGTCGAAACCCACGGTTTAAAATTCTATCCGCCTAACGTCGATAACGCATCGCGACTCGTCTCTCAAGACTGATTCGACAAAAATAATTTAAACAACCTTTTCATAAAGATCGGTTCTGCTCGTATAAAGGCGTAAAAAGAATAAAACACCGAGAATTTAAGGTATACAAACAAATAAACACAGAGATAGTGTGTGCGCGTGCGAGAGGTGGAAAATGTATACAAGAATGGTTTTCAATGCGAGGCGTTCTCAAATATTTACACGATCGTCGAGAGAACCAATCTCGTCGCGATAGAATCGATTTGAATGGTGAAGTGGCCTTTCGCAATGATCGATTTATTCGCGAGAAACGCGATCAGGAGGGGGGCTTGGTACGTGCTACCATAGAGTTCAGCGACGCAATTTTTGCCCGTCGGAGTCAATTAACGGCTGCCACCGTCGATAGCGAAATCGCAGAGTGATCCGGTAATCCGATTAAAGGGACGGTCCGCACGCGCCCACTTCATTATCCAATTACACTATCTGGTAAGAAGCTAGAGTAAAGAATGCACTGCCGCTTGCAGAGCATTCGAATTCGAACGTTAAAACGAACCTAATTACAAACTATCTGGTAAATATAAGGATTTCGAGCGCCGCCGACTAATCAGGGGAAGCAGAACTTGCGGCGTACAGTTAAGATTCGCGAGCAAACACGCTGCTGCTGCTTGCTGTCGCGAATAGAACTTTCCAGTATTTACCGATACATTTGCGCGAGCGTGGCAAAGCGCGAAACAGAATTCCAAAGACATTGATTCACTCGCATAGATTCACGATCGACGAACGTCTGATTTAATTAATTTTCCGAGAACCCGTTTGAACAAAGATACGACGCGTGAAAATTAGATACAGTCGCGTAGTGGCAACGTAATTCTCTCTGTAAATTATACATATGTTGAACATTTTCTCGACGCTCGACTAATGGAGTCTGATCCCGAAGGTGTTAACGCGGGGTTAGCTAGATAATTAAGAATTGACGCAGCGTCGGTTGGTTAAATTCAACGTAAGCGAGTCTAGGATGGTGGAGCCGCGTACACGACAATCTACGCGGAGGTATGTAATGCATGCACACCACCTATGTAGCGAACTTTTGAGAAAAGCTCGCGCTGACTGGCTACCTAGCTACTCGTCTCCTCTTTGTCGAGCGAATTACGTCCCGAGCATGCCTCTGTGTTTACGCAGAGGGCACGAGTCGACAATGAAAGAAACCGAGCGGAAAGGGGAGTAGGTACATACATTACGAGTTAACGGCTCGAACTCTAGAACGTACTTTTTGAGAAGATTACGCGGGACCAACTACAGGTTTCTTTATGAACGCTCGAACTCGTCGCGTAATACGACACTTGGATATATTAAAAACATATTATATAAAGATCGATCAACGTACGGGGATAATTACGCGGCAAATTAATCATAAAATCTTCGACGCGTGAAAATTGGATTGTAAGCTGTAAATTATTTAGTAAATTAATTAATAACGTTTCCAGCGTTGTAATGTTTACGGTAAATATTTGCTTTAGCCGGCACGGAACGAGACGGCACGAGAGCGTGCATCTCCCTCGAGACTCGGTCATACTTTCGTATTCCATTCAGTCAGCGAATAAACATGCGACTACACGAGTCAAGTGTCAGTCATGCAGTTATGAATAACCCAGTAACTATTACGGCGCGTATGTCTCGATGTAATTATAATTCAAACGCGTAACGAGGGCAGAATGTTACAATTTAAAACGACAATCATACGGCTGTGTTGCGCAAAATTTGTACAAAATATGAATAAAATACGATACGCACAAGAGAACAAACAAATATGTACATTTACTATGCAAAACCGAGATATAGCTACGAAGCTTTACTATTCTTTGGCCACCGCGGTAAAATACATATTTAAACACGATCGAAAATTTTACAACAAACGTTACAGTATCGAAAAGCGATTCCTAGCTGTGCATTCTGAAATCTCGATATCGGTGCACGTACATCGAAACGCGAATTAGAAAATACGTTGCAGAGGGAATAACTGACCGTAAACGGCAGCAATGACGATCAGCAAACAAGCGATCGAAATGGAGTAGCCACTCCGGAGATCCATGCTTCTTTCGCGAGGATGTACCCCGTAAGCACGTCGTGGCTCGATCACTTCATTTCAGTTTGATGAAGAATCGTTCGAAACAATAATCGCAGATGATATCCCCACGGGCACGTGATAAGATCGGGTGATAGGCGGCACGAGAATGCGCAAACAATGGGAAGAAAGGCAACACGAACCACACGACGTGACAGTTGAGCGCGTACTGACAGGTATCCGTGGCTCTCGCGTGCTCCCACCACCATTCACCCCCTTCTCGACCAATGGCAACTTGGTTAGACGGAGACTGCGTAGACTATGCACCGGTCTCCGTCTAACCTCCGGCCTGACTACCGTGTATTCTAGTATTGAAACTCGCGCTATCGCGTTACCGTTCCCAACCACCAACGGCGCTACTACTGCCGTTAAATTGGAAATTTCAAATTACAAAATAATGAACCGCAATTATTACCCCGCATCCTCTGTGCGCGCGGTACGCGGTTGTTGGTTTACATTAAATTAGGGAAACTTGCCGCGCGTCTATTTCCACCTATCGCGGAATCCTGCATTCGGAACGCGAGTTTCGGGTCGCGGTACAAAACCGGTGTTTTGCCACGCGTTAAAAAATTTAGCGATTTTGGTCGGAGCTCGGAACCTTTTCCTAAAAGGTATCGCGATAAAAAGAGAACGAGGATCGAGCAGAGGCGATGGATAATAGCATGGAAATTCCGTTTCGACGTAGCACTTTGCACGCAAACTTCGGCCATAAATTGCAACGCGGGCACGATCGTTGGACAAGAAACGGAAATCTGAACTAATATCGAAGCGCCGCGGCGCGTCGTGCCGCGCCGGGAACGCGCGTATGCTGTATTCAAAATGGCTACACGGGCGAAACGAAACGGAAGAATAGATTGATGGAGAGCGGCGAACAAGACGGACAGCCAGCTCATACGCCGCCGGAGCGGTGGAAGAAGCGAGGAATCGTTCGGGCACGACAAAGGCAATAAGGTTGATTGATTATTTTTCCGCGAACGAAGAAGAAAAGGCGTTACGGATAAAGCCGCGAAAGCGAATGCACCGACATTGAGAAAAGAAGCCAACTTAAGATCGAACAAGTACGGTAAAACATCCCCCGTTGTTCGATGATAATTTCAACTTTCCGATCCGATAAACCGTTGAAAAAAGAATATCGTCGAACAGGTACAACGGTTATAAGATCTCCTTCTCCGAGTTCTACGACCTCGTTTTCGTTACATAATACATCGTTCGAGCCGACGCAACGCGAAAAACAACAATGACGAAGCGCTGAAATAAATGACCCGTAAGTAACGTCCTCTTTCACGCGGCAACGCCAAAGGCGTTAATATCGTTCGGGACGCTATCGATACGATCCTAAATGAGAAACGTGAAACACACATTCTCAACTGTATTCTCGAGATAAGCTTTCGATCCCTAACAATGATCTCGCGATCGACATTTGCCGACAATGATATTAGCGTTGTCGTTAAATATACGCGAAAATGCCGAGCGAATCGAGTGTTCTGTTCGCACGATCCAATGGAATTAATCTGCGCGTGTAGAACGATAACGTATAATCGATTCGTTCCACCGCACGGACGCAGACAACTTTTAATCGCTTTATAATCGTACAATAACTGTCGCGTTCTCGCCACGCGTCACGCAAACAGAATTTATCGAAATTCGTCGGATGGCCATTGTTGAGCCATTATCGCGACCGCAATAGTCACTGGGCGTATCTGTTGAACCTTCGACATTGTTTCGCTGCCCGCAAAATTCATCCCGTGCACGCCACGTGATCTCCGGTGAAACAAGCCCGTTGGCAAACGTCCTGCCCGCCTTGAAACGCAAATTAATTTCGCCTACCAACGACCAACCGAGTCAAAAATCACTCTCGATTCGTCGTCGAATTCCAACACTCATCGACAACGTGGCGTAACAACGTTATACATTCTACAGACTAATTGTCAAGACTATACCCGGTAAACGTTGAACGTTTTACACATATATTACACGATATACATATAGTGTGCATGTAATGGAATTTAATTAATACAGATATCGACGACGCGTCGTTGATAATCAGTTGCTTTTCGCGACCTAAATGTCCGTTTGCCTATACGCGCCGCGCCACTGCGCCAGTTACTGGCTGACTATGTTCCTAACGCTACTACTGCGCGAAACGAGATCATTTATAAGCGACACAATGCATATTAGGAGCCGATCAAGTTTGATATCGTGTTTAAATCGAATGTAATTATTGATAAATTTAACGAGATAAACTATCGTTAATTTATCGAAGAGTTAAAAGGATAGAAAGACCGAGGGTTCGGTATTAACCGTACGACGTAGTGCGGAGGTAATTTTGGTAAAGGTATGAAAACGTAACTGGACAGTAGGGAAACACGTATATTGAACGCGTGCGCGCAAACAAGCAAGTCCGAGTTACGGAGGTATTTAGGTTGAAATGGGTCGAAGAAGGGACTTGGACGGAACTAATTATACATCAGTGCACACACACAGTGTGTGTTAAACGAGGTGGCCAGGATAGGACCAAGTTACTTCGCTGCTACGTAACTTCTCCTATCGTGGCAACCCCGGCGGTATCCTCAACTTCCGGCTTATTTCGACCCTATGTCTGGCCGATCCGTCCAACTTTCGGAACACGCTCGCCGTTACGCCAGGGACGAGAATATTTTCGCTTCGAACGTGAGACCGGCCAACAAACGATCCATCTATCCCGCGTGCTTTTTCTCTTCGTACACGGAATAAGCTGAAACCGAGAAAATATGTATGAATACGAAGCTCGTTTATCGTTCCGTTGAAAACTACAAATCGAAAGTAAATATTTTTCTACTCGGTTTCCGTTCCTCGAGTAACAACAATCGAAGAATAACCGCCGTGATTAAAGAATCGACGAGACGTCACAGTTTTTTAAAACAATTTCTCGAAGCGCGCGTCGCGCGATATCTTTGAATATTCAGAGGGTCCTCGTTAAATGCGAATGAGCTACGACAACCGGAATGAACGTCGTACATCCGAGAGAGTTTCCAACTAAATAGAAAAGTTTCCCTCGAGCGACGTTCGAGCCTCAAGCAACATTTACTTCTGTCTCGAAACGCGGCTAAACGGAAGAGCCAAATGGAATCTATCTCCGCGAGAAAAAGAATAAACGCGAGGATTGCGGATGCGTTCACCTCAGACGCGTCACCGTGGTCCGGTGTTGCGTTAAATAGAGCAAACGATGACTGTACAAGGAACTCGAACAAAGAAGATTCTGGTCTACCCGAAGTTTCGCCGGTCCCGTCTTGTCGTGTCGGCTAACTTCCGGTTACTCTACTTCCAACTAACGACCCATCTAACTTCGAGATGCTCAAAGAGTGGACCGGAGCGTCTGTCGCAATGCTGGCGACGATGCAATTACTTGGCGCGCACTTCGTGCCGTGCAACTAGCAATTTCGAGCGATGGCGTTAACGAGACCCACGGAAAGGGACGGTGCCAGAGAATCTTAATGAAATTGTCAGCCGTGACGTCGTCGTTAAATTTTACGACCTATCTGGATCGATGAGCAACTATTTTGCCTTTCCTGCGCGTTCTTTAACGCCGCGTCGCGTCGCCGGTGACATTGACAGAACCGTACCCCTCGCGTCCCTCTAATAAACGGCATTACTCGTCTTGTCTGTCTTTATTGCAGTTTGAAACCGAAAGACACACTTTTCGTTCAAAGTATCAAATTTTGAAGGGTCGTTGCAAAGCAAAGAGGAGGGTGTTTTTTTCATTTCTCAACGCAGAGGGCACAACAATTTTCGCATCGAATTGGGCCAGGAAAATGGAATTGATTTTAGTTTACGTTCGGTCCGTTTCGCCTCTGATATCGTATCTACCGTCGAACGCACGCGTGCAACATAAACGAATACCACGGAGAATGTCCGCACTCGAGAGACAGATAAAAGGCGACGAAGAGCATTCAATTTAAAAGGCTAGATTCCCACGGTGGTGAACAGGAGGCGCCTCGAGGTTACGAGCAATTAGGCGAGGCGCTGCAATTAACGGCAGCCCATCGACACCCGCAAAGTCCATTACAGGGTGCCTTCGTTGTTTCCGCCCTCCTGTTTTTCCACCGCAACTGACGCCGAGGACCGTTTCCACGCCTCCTATCCGACAAATCCTCCGATTCGCGATCAAGCCTTAAACCCTCACTACCATCGGACATTAACAAACCCGAACCATTCAAGTTTTCCCTTCCTAGAATTTTCCTTTATACCGTTACTGTTCCGAACCGATTAAAATTCAACAAAAACAGTCTTAAACGAATCGACCCTTACGATCGCTGGTTTCTCGACGAGAGAGAACAGTCTCTCGTCCCTTGTTCATCGTTTTTGTCTCCCCGGCGGCCCCTTTTGCTACCCCCTTTTACCCGTCTACTCCCGCGTAATTCGACGATCGATTTGAGATAAAAAACATCGCACGGAACGTCGATTTAAGCTGACGCGCGATCGTTTAGTTAGGATCATCCCGTTAGGCATTTTAAAAAGTCACCCGGGTCTCTATATCTGCCTTGAGACACGCTTTCGACTAAATTTAAATAATAAAATCGAACAATCATTCGTAATAATCGTATACATATACATGTATGTACGTACGATTAAATTTACTTTTCTCTATATGGTTGAAAAATTTGAAAAAAGCTACTTATAAAACTGACCATCGTACGAGACGCAGAGGAATTCACAAACGAACGAACTGAGTCGTACCGTATATTCGGTTTACCCAAACTTTTTCGATCAATTTATTGTAAACAGGGAGACGGGAATAAAAATTGACCGAGCAAATATTTATCGCGTTGCACTGTGTATCGTATGTTGGAATTTGTTCTGCCAACATTTGTCTGATAAATTTGATTTTAAAAAATAGATGTCTACAGAGTACACGTTCCGGTACGATGAAAAACATTTTAACCAAACGATCGAGAGTGTTTTAAGAGATCGTCAAGCTCGTCGAATTCGAAGCCTTTTATCTCGCTGTTAGTGTTTCGCGTGGTTGTCTAATTGGAAACACGAAACATCGATTTAAACGGGCGAACCGTCATCGAACGGAGCAATGATAGAGTGGAGCCAAAGGACAATCAACGATGCACCTGCACCTGACACCGTCGCGACGCGGGATCGCTTATACGTACTACTCGATCACTCCGCGATCCGACGGCTTTCGAAATACATACTCCATCGGACCTGTATTGTGCGCGTCACCCCGTCACCGTCGACATTTTACCCCGGAGAACTTGTCGCGATCGCGTTCGTATTCCTCGCGTCCGCGCTTTTGACCCGTCAACGATCGAATTAAATTTCACACGCAGGAAGGAAGTTACGGCCAACGTAGCGCGAACGTCCGACCGAGATACCGAGAAACAGCGGGGATATAACGTCTCGAAAAAGAAAATTAGTTCCAGCTTGAAGAACGTTACGAATGCACGATTACGCGTTCGGGCATGGCCGTGGTTTGCGGCGCAACGATTTCATTCTACGAAACTACCCGACTGCACGCGCGTTCGAGTGGATGCAAGCCGCATACACCTGCTGCAACCGACCGAGTACGGAGCACTGCACGTGCCACCGTTTAATATAGAAAGTGCCGTATTCGTTCGGCGTAGTATTACGGATGAAATTTCACACCGCGATACGTCGGGGAACGTTATAAATCAGACCATATCGTGCACACGCGTACCGCGCCCCACCCCCCAACACCCCACCCTCTTTAACTTTTTTCATTTTTCTCGACGCGATCATCGATCAGGATATATTACCTAGCATCTTCAGCGCCTTCTTAGCGGACAAATATATCGACTAGCGCGATTTAAAATTCTCGATTCGAGTCTTGGACAATGGTAATTGTTGTTATTCGAACCAGCAACTCGAGACGATTTTACAACTACCATAATATAATCTAGTAAATTTCCAGCAGAAAGTTTTGCTTGAGAAAGCACTCGCGCTTTCGTACAACAAGATCTCCTGTTTCCCTTATACGGGATGCCATTTGCCAAAGCGCTATATCGTCACGAAAATGGAACGTGCTCGTCGCGGGAGTAAAGCCCGATAACGCGAACGCGACTCTCCAGCGTTTACTACGAGATGACAATCGGAATACAAAGCCGTCAATTAGGAGTGTTCGTAATAGACGCAAACGACCAGACTATTACAATGAAATCGCGATAAGCGTTTAGGTACAGACGCACTCTCTATCTTCATATAATAACGAAACTTTCCAACGAAGCGTTTAAATCGAGCGAAATCCTTAAATTTTAAAAAAAAATTTAATATCTCGCAACAAGAGCTACATATGGTAGCTGTACGAACGTACGATGGCAAATCATCTTCCATTTTAGCACGACCGGATATAGGTTTGCTCGTGACAAATTGGCTTGCGAATTGACCGGAAAACTCGCAATTTTTCCAACTCCGAGCCAACGGAGTTCCCCATAAATCACACTGCATTCGTACCTAGAAAGTGTGCAAAATTACCGGCGTATATCTTGCAGAAAATGATCGAATAAATCTTCCACTTAGTTTTTTTTGCTAGAAATAATTGAAACGATGTGGATGACGTAATACGTACGACACGTGTAAGTATGTACATTGGACGCGCGTAAAAGTTTTAATGGTTTCTCTGTCGACGCCTTGTCGTTTAAAAAAATTTTGAAAAACATACGTGACGTGTTTTTGCAAACGTGAATCGTGTCGCTTCCAACCCGTGAAAACTGGTTTTCTAAATTCAAACGTGTCGGGTTTTCGGCTGAAAGAAAATAAAATAATCGATTAGATAAATTTGTCCATCAAAAATGTTCAACATATTCGATATGGGTAAAAGAAAAGAAATGTTTCGTAATGTTAAAAATGTCCAAGTAACGAAATAGATATTAATCGAAACGGACTGAATCTGTATTGAATCTATTTACCGTTGGTGTTACTGGTACGTTGGATTGGATCGGGATTACCGAAAACCAAAATTTCTATTTCCGTGTAATACACTGACAAATAGATTATCCGTGATGGCGTGGTAATATTAGTTTATTATAAATAACTATTAACACGTTCTCCTGCCACGTACATCATCTTACGTGTTTTCACTTTGTTCATTGCTTAGGAATCCATGCAATAGTATACGTTACATCGGATCATTTTTATCCAGTTACGTCGGAATTACAAACATTTACTTGTAATGCGGTACAATTATTCGTGTGACGATTATTTACAGAAAGAACGATCATTGATACTGGCGGAGCGCGATTCAACCAGCAATTTTATTACAGCTAATCGCAATTAGTCGCTGACAAAGAAAAAGACAATACTAGTTGTACATACGGACAGGAATCCATCCGTCGTAGTTTAGCGCGTCCGTGACGGTCGAGAGTGTCGCTGTGTCATCGATAATGCCGTAGACGATTTGCGTTAGTGTCGTGTTGTCGAATGGATCGGTGTCTCGGATAATCCGAATGTCCAGTGTTTGTTCGATCCCTTTACGAGAAAGTATCGAGTACCGAGCGCAATCCTTCCTTTCGCATTCGTTCTTGACCAGCATTAGTCGAGTCTATCAAGGAAGAGGAAAAAAAAAAAAAAAGGAAAAAAAAGGTAGAAAGAAATTAGAAAACTTGTCAAGAGAACAAAACCGTGTCGTCGCTCGAACGAAAGACGTAATTTTACTGTTTTAAAAGGCTGTTTCGTGAAACGCGTCTTGCTCTCCCGCGAAACGAAATTTTCTATCGAAAAATGGCCGATCGTTTTCGACTCGAACACGTCCTACTATTATTTCTCGTAAAAAATACCGTGCAGGCCATAATTTCATACCACCAACACAATATTAAGTCATACCGCTCGCGTACGTATCGAGCGCTGACTACATCTCCACGTACAATGGAGCAATTTTCTGCATAGTTTTTTAAATTGCGAATCGGATGCAATGCGACGGTGAGTTAAACGGCTGAGACGATTTACGAAAAAGAATATATAATTCTGCGGTGAAAGAGAAACAAAGGATGAGAAAGTGATCGACATCGATAACGAAATCGAATGTCGGCAAACTCGTTCCGATTCGCGTCGATCTACCTTGTATCGGTAGAGTGTCGTTTTCGTTCGCTCACATAATTATCGTAGCCGTTCAGAATGTTCGAATTCATGCTCCGTACAAGTTTCGCGTTGCTTCGAAATCGCCTCGTTCACTGGCAACTTGTTGCCGTTTAAAGTCAGTCGCAATGCGAGTAGGGAGGAGATTGGTACCGGCTACGTAAACGAGGAACACGTATAATAAATATCGAATAACAGTTGTTTCTTATATTAATACGAAGTAGTAGAATGCAGCATACATATAGCATAGCAATAGCCACGGATAGTACCTACCACGTATGAGTTTGTCACATTCATACTAGCTTTCTAATCATCGGCTGATTCTCACGTTCTCCTATTCCATCCAATTCAGTCCCTCTGTTTCCCCTCTTTTACTTTCATGCATATATGCGGCATCGTATCGACCACCCCTATTTTATCTTCTATACGTCTTCGTCGCAGCATACACGCAGGCAGGGCAACACACACAACACACGCACGCACGCACGCACGCACGCACACAGAAATACACGGTATACGCGTGCACGCGCGTATATTACCACGTTCTTTTCGATCCTCCTCTCTCTCTCGATTTTGTCGTTCGATATCGTCGTTCGTTCAACCAAAATGTTACCACCCATAAGCTTCCATTCTGCTCGTTTTTTATCCGTAAATCATCTGAAATTCGACAAGATGCTAGGATGCTCCGTTCCGCCTTCGGTCAGTCTGTTATTTGTCCGTCATAACACAAACAATATAGACTTTTCAAAATGTCCAACAATGTCTATTAACATCCTGTAGTTATTCACACACTTTCGAAACCATTTTCTCCATTTCAACGTCCGTGTCGATATCGTGGTGTACGTGATTGCTAGCACTGGCGTTGTTCATGGAAACGATAGAGTTACTGATCGGCGTGGAAAGTGTGGCGGCCACGGGTGCCGTCGACGTCGGTGGCGAATTCGGTGTACAAGGGGTACCGGATAATTCGATAGGCGAGCCTGGTGACGCGAGTGGCTCCACCAAGTCCTCCAAACCCTCGGGAGTTGGCAGTTTGTTCAACTCTTCCCTCAATAATCTATAGTGTCTCTGAACAAATATCGACGGCTATTGTAAATTTTCACTCTGACAAAGATACGCGATTACGCGTTACCATTACTTACCCTTAAAGCTAAAGCATTCAGGGAAAGTGTGCGGCCGAATCGACGATCCGACCCGTGCATTTCCATGTCCCTTATCCACCCCTCTAATTGTGCAACAATTTCGTGTCTTTTTATCCAAAAGTGAGTGTGTATAATCTGCCGAGTCAACAATTACGAACGAATAGAAAACTTATTCGATGCTCAGAGTTATGCATATACAGTAACGGACAAAAGTCTAAAACTAATAATTACCTGATTGATAGACAAAAATCTTAGAGCTGTATCTTTGCTCATTTTAAAAGGTATTTATTTACTATCTATATTATAGTTTGATAATCTATCAATAATTCGAAATCGCTTGAAACATTTTGTCCGTTACTGAACTAACTACTTATTCTGATACGGTTACCTCCTTGAAACAAGGACAGGGATTGCGAATTTGATCAAGCATTGCCCACTTGGCGGTAGCCTGACAAATGTTCGCGTTGTACTCTTGACTAGATTGAGCTCCGCTCGTCGTGCCTCGTGATCGTTCGTACCCAGGTTCGTTGAAATACGGCTCTGATACCAGGATCAACGACTGTATCGACACTAAGACCTGTTACCGCGGATCAATCGGAATTAACGTTTCGCCGTAACGCCACAAATCTAATCCTCCCTCTCTCTCTCTCTCTCTCGTACCTTTTAAACTTTAATTACCTGAAGGAAACTACTAGTGTGTGCATTCCACTTCTCTTCGGGACGACCGTTCCATGTGTTTAATACACTCAGACAGACCTTCCCATCGTTGTACAGATTTGGGTTGAATCGCACGGTATGACGACCCGTGGTTTCGAGGTTAATGAACATCGGACTGTTCGGATAATCCGGTGGAAAGTACACGTCGAACTCGAAACATCCATTCGCGTACGGCGTTTCTGCCGGGCCTGTTATCAGCACCTGAGCAACAAATATTTAACGTTGCGATAATATACGATTCCATTCCTTTATTCTAGTTGACACTTAACCCCTTAGCTTACAACGACGTCTCAGAGACGTGATAAGTTTACCGAGCGAAACGTAGGTGTCGCTTTTGGCGCGCACAATTCAAAATCAAATTGTAAGGCAAGCGGTTAAACGCCACAGGATCGAATACCTTCATTACGTCCAATCGGTCCGCGTCGCATCTAACAAAAACGCTACTACTATATGACAAAGGTAAAGCAGTGGAAAGCGTGACGGCCTCTTGAGCCAATCGCTTGACCCGTGTAGGATGACTTCTTTCCCCGGCTGCCCTCATGTTCGATTCGAAATAATACGAAACGGCAAATTTATATCCACCAGTTTCGGGATTCTCGGCAATCATTTCGTACGTATCTGGAATTTGTTGTTTAAAAAACTATATGCATATAAAGGCGTACACGCGACGAAAACCTTGAAATATCTTATTTACGAAATCGTCTTACCGAACTGCAGATTCTTCATAACCTCCAAATATCGTTGTTCGACCGAACGGAGAAGTAATTCCGGGCCCGCGGGACTAGGTCCCGGCAATTCTTCTTCGATCCCCGACAATCTAGCGGTAGCGTTTTGCACGATGGTAGCACTTTCTTGAATATCGGGTATCAACGTTGCCAGACCCTCGTCCTGCTCGGTATCGTCCGGATATTTGAACAAAGTCTTCGACTTGTTGCCCCTGGTACGATTTATCTTATGAACGTACGTGTCGACGCAGACCCTCATACTCGACAGCAGCGACACGACGGATGGTTCACTGGACTTCCCGCTGCCCTTTGGTAGCAAAAGCGGTGCCAACTGATTCGATCGCGCCATGGCTCGAAGCAGTTGCAACACCGCACGGTACAAAGGAATGTGCCTAGCCATGTCCAACACCGAGTCATTTCTTAAATACGAGGACAATGCCGGGAGCAAACACGAGAGGGCCAGCAGATCGGGAAAGGGAGACGGCAGTTCCCTCTGCTTTTGCCCGCCAGGTCCGATGTAGCTCGCCAGGACTTGCAATAATACTGTGACGTGCTCTTCCTCGGATCTCTGTCGCAGCAGAGCCTGTTCAACGTTCCATGACTGTTGAGTGGAACCGGTTCCGAACCCGGTACCCTTCGCCCAGTACAAATGCGAATTATCGTCGCTCCGACCAGCCTCCTCTTGACTGCCGGTCACCTTTTGCTCCGAATTCTCGTTCTGGCTAGTTTGATGCGTGAATATAGCCAGACAGTTCAGTAAGAGAAGCATGGCGCCCACCTCGATGATCGTTTTACGCAGAAGAAGACCGTCGTCGGTGGTTGGTGGCGTTGCATCGAGCACCTGTCTCAAAACTTGAAACGGTAATGTTGGTAACGAGGCGGCCCACGGTGACGTTAACACGTCTCCGCCTTCGCCGTCGTCGGATACGCCCAGGGCGAGACGCAACAGACACTGTGCTCGTTTTCGGTGTCTCAACAGCACTTCCGCGTAACCGGGAAGTCTAAGAAACAGACCGAACGCTGCTAGAGAGTGTGGCGGTACATAGGGCACCGGAGACGACGTCTGCGTGGTCGAGTTCGCTCCGCCTACTTCCACGATCTCGTACATGTCGTCGCTATCCTCCAGTTTCACCCAATCCTCGTACGTCTGTTCCAGCGACGAAGACTTCTCCGCGACCGGCGGCGGCCTTCTCGAGTCGGGATAAACCAGCGGCAAATGTCGCGCCAATACCGCTAGACCACCGCCAGCGCTGAACACGCCCAACGAGCTCTCTATGCTTCTATAATTTAGTAATTCGATATCGTTTTGTTTCGATAGGTCCTCTGGAATATAAAACGAATAGTTATTAACGCTGCTGTTGCGTCGTGTCTCTTTATTTTTTTAATCGGGCGAAAGTACCTTTCGAATCTTTATTACGTTGACGTAACATAAGGTGCAAGCAAGGCTCTGACAACGACATTCCACTGTCCTCGGCAATAGCTAGAAGCTGAGCAATAGTCAATCGCGGCGGTAAAGGAGTGTTCGGTCGCGACGAGTGTATCAAATACTGCTGATTGGTGGAACTGCCAGCATTCTGTTGCACGTTATTACTCGATGGTTTGTTGTTCGTGTTCGATGTTCCATCTATAGATACAAATTTCACTTATACAATTTCAAGTGCAATAGTCGATAGTTGCGAATAGTTCATCAACTCACCAGAATTTAATCGCGATTTTCTCACGGTAGGACCGCGAGCTTGCGACCTGTTCGATGCCTCCTTGGCTCTTTTGTCTTTCGCCGTGTTTCCCGCGGCTACGCTAAGAGTATCTACTATAAAGGCCATGCCAGACTCCCAGAATTCTCTGGACCGATTATTGGTCGATCCAGCTTCGTTACCCTTGTACGTGTTTGGCAGTAGCAGAAGAAGCCACGTTCCTTTCAAGAAATACACGCAGGGGTAAATATTTTCTTAAAGAATTAAACTCTTACAGTGATAAGCAAAACTAAACACACTGTACTATTTAATACAAATTAGTATTATTTTTGAAAATTCTAGAGTATGTTTAGCTTTACTCATGACTGTAAATACGAGGGCATAAGTGTGTATTAGAGACAGCCGCTCACCAGATACTTGTTGTAATATATCCGCCACGGTCGACTGCGTGGACATGTACAATAGTTGATGATAATGACCGAGCGGATGCGCCGGGTGCGGAGGCATAGATGGCATACTGTAATTGGCCGCAGTGTTTGAAACTTTCATAGGCGCTTCCGATGTTACGGATACCAATACTTTTTCACCCTCCAAGAGCAATTGCAATATCAACCGTCTTGTAAAACCAGAAATTCCATGAAGGTATCTGGCATCTGTTCGAAACAAAAAATGTAAAATCGATACACGAAATAGATGTCAACGTTGATTCTGACAAAATAGAATATCGAACGCTTACTGGAAGTTGTTCGTTGTTGAGAAATTACATCGGTTAATAGTTCGGCCAACAACTTTTGATTCTCGAGATGACACCAACAACACCTGGATAAAAATTTGATCATAGCACTTTCCAACGAGGCGTACGAAATATTTGTTTTGGAACATCTGTAAAGCGTAAATATATTTTCAATATCCTGTTCATTTAATGTGTCGTGTATAGAGTACGCAGTTAATTTTCGTTCTACCTTGACGAAGACACGGATGGATTGTCCATAGGTCGACTACTAAGAAGCGAAAGAAGAGGTAACCAAAACCCACATCCCTCTTTTCCAAGCCAATCTCGCATTCTGCCCTCTGAACACACGAGCGTCAAGAATTCCAACACCATCGCTATACTTTCCGGCTCCGTCAGACACAAACCACCTAATCAACAATTACGGTTATTCGCCTCTAATTTCTTAAATGGAACCGTATATCTTTTTTTATACAATACCGACCAGAGTGATTCGTTTTCACATAAGTTTCATCGGCTTTATCGCTATCCGTCATGCTAGAACCTCCCATGGAATTACTTTGGCAATAGTCCTCTGTCGATCTTCTACTTTGCTCCTGTTGCCGTCTCGACTCCTCCAGATTACAAAAATCTACGAAACAAGTCTCGCTTTTCAACATACCGCGCGATCTTTCTCCAATGTATATAATCCAACAACTTACCAGTAATCGATGCCATCAACAGAGCAGGAAGTCCAGAATCGATCAACTGCTGAATACCTGGCGGGGATCGTGCAGCCGCGGCAACGGTGAGCAATTGTCCCTCTGTTAAATTCAATCGTTTGTACTCGGAAAGGACGTAGCGACAGTACCATTCCTCGCCAGTGATTTCGCTCTCTCTGTCGCCGGTTTGCCCTTCCATTTCTTTGCGGTCATCCGATATGGATGCAGAATGATCCGTCGCCATATTAGGCACCAAGATTTGTACTCTTTGAAGAAGCAGAGGGAACAGAGTCGGTCTCACGTAACAGAATGCGCAGAGAGCAGAGTCGATCGCCTGTTTCAAAGCCGAGCCCGTTTCCAAAGTCAGAGTCCATTGATACAGAACGCTGTCGAGTTAATAACACTTTGCGTTAAAATGTGCGACAAAAAGAAAAAAGGATTTGAAAACGTGTAGAATCACTTACTTGAAAAGCTCGTCCATCAAAAGAGCCTGCAAATCATAATTGAGATTTTGCTGTTGATGAGCTTTCCATATAATGGACGACACGCAATGAATGTATACAGCAGGCGGGCTGATGGCGTTAGGGCCATTTCTGGGCCGAGAGACTCCATTTAGAGCCGACGCCTGAAGCCACGAAAGTACCGCGATCATACGGGCTTCTGTGCACGAATCCTGAATAGAACAAAGTTGTTGAAGCAATTCAACCACCAACTGAACGGTCGATGTCTCTTGCGTGGTCACAGCGCCTGAGGGAATTATTCGCAAGACAGATTTTTGTTATTCGTCCATCGAGAAACGTATCTTCTGAAAGAAAATGGAAATCATTTCCCGAAAGAAAAAAGCGAGATACCTTGGAAAAAAGGAGTAGATCTGTTGCTCAATAAAAGACCAATGAGGCGAAGTCCAAGCTCTCGAGAGTGTAAGCCTAGTTGTAATAGAACCCTCTCCAGATTAGGAGTAAAGAGAGACGGTGCTGGGAGCAACAGAAGGTTACAGCATGCCTCGATCAGTCCTTCGACCGAAGCCGCAGAGTTAAGCACCTTGACAGCGAGATTGCTGTTCAACGTGCTCACGGACAGACACTGATGCAATAATCGCAACCAACCCAAGCTAGACAGATACATTACAAAATATCGTCTTTTGGACATTCGTATCAGGACAGTGAATATATTATGACAAACATCGCCCAAACGTCTCGTCGGTCTATATACCTTAGAAATCAATCGAGATTACCTTGTCTTTGTCAGTTGTTCTTCGTCTATCGTATCGTGACTCGTTTTTATTTCACCGAACGCCGTTGTACCTAACAGTTTGATCTGACTTAAGCTTATGTTCGTCGAGTCACGCGGTTTGTATAACCGCACGAGCACAGAAGTCGCCACCTCTGGTTGGGACAACGTAATGCATATAAATGTTAATCCCGCCGTTGGCATCGGTGGACAAACAGGGGTCAGAGGGCTGTTACTTTCCCTGGAAACTTCGATCGCTACGGCTGACGGGCATGCTGTAAAACGCGACGTACATTAACACCTGTAGCATACCACAATAATATACCATCGCTGGTAAACAAAACATTCGGTTCTCTTACTGGCCAAAGACGTAAGGTGCGGCTGCAACTCGACTTTTCTTAACAGTATAGCACACGGTAAAGTGATCGTAAGATCGACCCATGCCTCGTCGGGATAACAATGGTACAACCACGCAGCTGTTCTCGCTCTTTTATGAGGCGTAGCATTTTGTATAAGAACATCCGCTGGTTGCGCTGTGGGATTCAACCAAGATATCGTACCCAAAGGTGCAAAGTTTAATAATCCATCTTCTTGTGTCTCCAGCGTGTTCACGGATTTCTTGCTGCTTGTGGAGGCCACTGGCATCACGTTAGGTGCGTTCGATAGATGTTCCATCACCAATGCAATCACACCCGGTGATGCAGGGCTGCCGCCATTACCGCCACTAATGCTCGATTTCACTAAATTTTCGCAAAGAACTCTCACTCCGCCCATCTCTGTGAACATTGCTAACGAGACTTCGTTGTCCAGGACCCTTAAAATATACCACAGAAGAGGCTCGGACAACTGCGTGACGCCCAATTGACGATCCAATTCTCTTTGCCCGGAGGCTGTAAATTATACAAAATTTTATTTAAATTTTATTATCCGAAATTGTGCCTTTGTCGATAACAGCGATTCTTACAGGAAGAGAGGTACTGATAAAGTGGATCGAGAACCAAAGTACGATTACTCGCTTTCTTGGTAAGTGTGGTCAACAACTGAAACGTGGCATCTGGAATCGAAGCTGGATCACCGAGTTCGGTCGCTGTTCCTGCTCCGGCGCTCTCGCCAAGAAGCATAGCCAAAGATGAGCCGGTACTATGCCCAAGGGCTCCTAATAGTCGCATCATGGTAGGTTCGTGTTGTAGAACTGAAAAATCCACGAAAATTAAGAAATTAATGACAGATTTAAAAGAAACACTCTGCATGTCGATACTTACCAGTATCCGCAACGCATCGTATATTGGGTTTGTTAAGTGTAGATTGTTGCAAGCGAGAGGACGATTGTTGTTCTGCAACTTTGCTTTCATCGGTTTGTGAAATATTTATTTTCATTTGTGTGTCGCCAATATCGCTCGCTGATCCGAGACTTGTCTCGGAAAGATCGATTCGCATCGAGCTATCCGATCGACCTGCACAAGCCTATGAATAAAAAGTATTGAAATATAAAATTAAATAAAAATGTGATCTGTCGATAAACAACGCTAGGAAGAGGGAGGGAGGGGCAACGGTAATACGTACATTTGGCAGGGGAGTTTGAATAAGTCGGCAAACTAATTTTATAAGAGCTACGACTAAAGTGTCCCACGAAGCTGGACGACCTTGTCTTGTATCCCCGCCGAGCACACAGGCGAATAAACCACCGAATCCGCCGGACGAATTCACTAAATCAACAGAACCACCACATTGTGCTCCAACTGTATTACAGAAAAAGCAATTCGCTGCAAGTGTTTACACGATCGCGTAAATCTTCGGTGTATTGTAAAAAAAAAAAAATAGGAATTACCTCCGGAACCCCTGACATAAGTGAAAACCAACACCCCCACGCATTCCGTTACACTCATTGCAGTTCCCAAGTCCGTATTGACAAAATTTAAATTCGTCAACGACATTATCAGTTTGTACTGTGCGTCTAAAGGCCCTCTTCTTGCAGAAAGAGCTCCACCCGGCTGTACGAGTTGATACACCACCCACAGTAACAACTCTTTCAATGTATTCCCTAAAGAACTACCAAGCGTAATTACATCGCATCTTGTTTCTAATCTTACTAAAAAATCTTGAAGTGCTTGACAAACAGTGGGCCCGGCCTAAAAGTCAAACACATCCAAGTATTATTTTGTCACTTGTTGGATAGAAGGGCTATTTATATAGAACTTTTAGACATACCATAATGTATTGTTTATCCATGGCATTGACGTTTAATCCGCTACCAGAAAGTAGACGTAGGAGCATAGGGCCCATATTGCGTTCTTTTACAATACAGCCAGCCATACCACCCAACAGACCATCCAGTGGTTGTCTGCTGTTTGCAGCTTCTGCAGAATCTGTCTGTAATGGCTGATTACTCGCAAGAGTCAAACATTGGAGAGCAAGACACCAAGCTCTCAAAGAAACCCCTGGATGCCTAAAAATTAATGTTTTTCTGCTATTGGTGGTTCAAACTTTTCAAAAAAGAAATTTTACGGATAGATTAAAAAATGTTCAACTTCAGTATATCATGTTTACCAAGACAACGCGGAAATAAGACTGGAAATAGCTGTAGAGCTCAATGGAATAACAGGTGTCAACGATGGATCGAACTGATTAGAAGAATTAGACTGTTCCAAAGAGGCATCAAAATTCAGTGTCAACCACAGCTGGAGAATAAGTTCTAAATTCGTTCCCACGTTCTATCGCAAAAAGCATTTCAGACACGAATTAACAGGATATTGTGTAAATACCATTTCTTTCGTCAAATTAGTGGTATTTACCTGTAAATACAAGTCTGTAAATATTTTATCAAAACATCTAGTTAACATTAATAAACTGGAAGCTATAGTATCTGTCAAATTCCAAACATCTTGACTTCTATCGCTCCAACCAGATTCACCTCTCGATGACGACTGCTGACAGTATCGATTAGATTCCGTTGGGACCTTTTGCAAGAAAATCGTATCGATTAAACCCTTTTTGCAAAACATGCGTTGTTTAAAAAATAAAGAGGGACATCGTCAACTCACGTGTATTGTGGCATTTATGCTTTGAGGTAAATTGTACATGCCGAAGGTAGACAACAATCTCAAACTTATCTCTATTCCCATTTCCAGTCCGTATTCTAATCTTGCATCCATTGCCAAAGAAATACTGTAAAAATGTACAAATAATTCACAGTTTCGTGCAATTAAATTAAATTATTCCGCAACTTCTGTATATAATGTGCAAGAACATACCTGGAACTGGTCTTGGACACTGGATTACTTTTCTTCAACATATTTCTACCACGTTCGAGAATATCGTCTATCATATCATCCAGTTCGCTATCGTCAGACTCCAAAAGAGAAGGCAGAAATCCATTAGACTTTGGCGTTGATGCGGTCGCCGATGGCACCACTATACTATCTTGAGCATCCTCTTCTACCTCGCCAGTCGCAAATTCTTCCTCGTTATTTAAAGGAACCGTGGCACTGCTTGTTCCAGCAGCACCAACAGAGTCCTCTTCCACCGTTCGACTTTTCTCCGTGACAAGGGACTCGAAACTTTCCTCCGTGGGACTTCCTTCGTGCGTGGGACAAGGTTTTGGAAATAATTTTCCACCTGTGAAAGAAACAACAATACACGTAAAGATAACAAGGTACCAAAACAGACCATTTCTGTAACAATAATACAGAATGAAAAATTTATTGTACCTTCTAATAAATCCTGCAACAGACTCGAAACCGCGTGCGAAGACCAGGCAGCATCAGATGTACCTGTTGCCAATCTGACTAACTTTAAGAGCTGTTCTTCGCTCATAAGTTCACACAAGCTAATTGCGGGACGTGTAGATATCACTAGCCTAGCGACTACCTATAATATGACACACGATTTAACAGTTCAAAAGCATGAACAGACAGCGATGTCCGACTCTGAAATATTTCTATATGCTAAGAATTTTTTAATCGTAATATGGTATGTGCTAAGCATTGATAAATGAGCCGCTCGATTGAAAAGGATAAACAAACTTTATGACAAGAAATCGTAACTTCGATAACAAATGGTAAAAAAAAAAATTTATATTACACTTTACGATGAAAAGAACAAGGGTCAAGAGAAAGTTACGCGCACGTACGTGTTTGCATATGTTACAATGTATTTACCTTGCATGCTAGAAGGAACATATCCACGTTAGCAGAATTGCACAGAATGAGTGCAATCAGTCCACGAGCTACTGGTAAAACATGTTGGTGAGACAAGTTGGATATGTACTCAACGTCTAAGTCCATTATTTCTGATTTACTGGAACTTAGAAAACACGAGAGGTGTTACTAAACATTGTAAAACTTTATGAAAACATTACAAATATTATATTTGTGCTATAAACCTTGTATTTGCCTGTGATTGCGTACGCGGATTGCGTGAAGTATGTTGAGCGTCATTTCTTTGAATACTTATGTCTTTGAAATACTTGGCAGAATGTTGCCTGATCGTCTTCTTATAGAAACGTTCTTGCGATTTTATCGTCGCTTCCATTTTACTACTCAGAGTAGCACTGTACGACGAAAGATTTTCCCAACCCTGTAATGCAAGTTAATATTTCTCAGCTTTTACTTTCGCTATCGTTATACAAATATAAACGGAAGTACGATGTTTATACCTGTGACGATGGATGAAACGCTTTCTTTGCTTGCTCCAGCTCTTGAAGTTGTTGTTTATGTTGCATTAAACGTTTCTGTAATTTTTTACGATAACTACAAGAAGCTGAAGACCGATTGGCACTGCCATACTTCCTTTGCATCGCGGACTCTCCCTGAATGAACTCCCACCGAGACAACAGACCTTTCAAAAGTAATAATATTAATATTAATAATACCTTACTTGTATGAAATATTAGTATCCCTTTTTTTTGTTTAATATAAGATATACGAACTACCTTGTTCTCTACTTTTCTCGTTATTTCCTTCTAAATAAGGAGGCGGAATGGCTACAGTGTCTAAGCACACTGACAAGAAAAGTAACACCCAGCCAATAAGAGTTATATCCAGACGATTTGCACCAGAAGTTTGAGCATTCGATAGTGGTGTCAACAATTTACCTAACGTGCGCACCATCGCATCTATCACCGAAGATCTATTAACTCCGGCAATCAATGATTTACGTCCAAGAAATGTTAGCAAAATAAATACCCTGAAAATAAATTGTAGAAATACCGTAAAAATGATATTCTATAATTAAAATCGCTTGACAATTGAAAAGCGTACCTGTCTTGAGGGAATATGTGCGTGGACGACGACGAGTAGAGATTAACTAAGGTATTAGACAAGAATGTACCCCACCATGGTTGATGGCCAGCCATACGCGCTAATAGTGCAACTGCGTGCAATTGTAAACGCGGCGCTGGCGTGACAACACAAATCGAGTGGAAAAATTGTTCGCAAACGGTCGGTGTAAATACGTCGCATATCGACATCGGGATCTAGAGAGAATGAAATACGCGTGTTAAAGATCGTCGTGAAAATCTTAATACCAAGAATAAAAAAAGAGAGAGCATACACTTAACACAGGGCCAATTTTGTACACTGTGTATAAAAGTATATCGTGCAAAGTTTCTCCAAGAACTCGCAATTTATCGCTGGGTGCATTTGACAGAAGCATCGTCGGTACGTTCTGTGATCCTTTCCACGACTCTAAACGTCTCCATACGCTGCGCACGACATTCAATTGATGTTGAAACATTATGCATTCCTGTAACATTCAAACATTCCTCGCATTAATATTTATTTCTTTACGTCTATTCGCCAATGTCAATACTCAGATAGTTTCACTCTTACTTGATAAGTCGCCAATATTTTTGCAGACGGTTGCTCTTTATTCTCATTGGGTATTTTATTATAACATAGATAATGCTGCATATGCATAACATTAGTAGTTTCTGAACACAACAGTGGATCCAATAGGCTTTTTAATTTTTCGGTGGCTAAACTAAACCTGAAACAACAATTACATATTGACAATGCCGCGTAATTGTACTCGGACATAGCTCATATACGTGTATAAAGATATACAGTTTCATGAAACACCCTGTATTTTAAATAACATTGTGCTGCAAATGAAAAATACCTGCACTGAACATCTTCCGCGAGAGCCGACAAAATATTACACTGCGTATCGATTGTAGCTTGTACACTGGGATCAAAAATATCAAAAATTGGGGAAGTATCATTCAATTCTGCGTAATCCTCTCCAGGCAGAACCACCATGTGCCCATAAAACATTCCTAATGGAATTTTGCACATGGTTGGAGACATTCCATACCGACCTATGGTTGTAATCTAAAAGTAATGCGGTAGTTTGGTTTGCATCAAATGTATTCGCTCTACAATTGCAACAAGAATGCGTATAATTATATTATACCTTCAAATATCTACACACAGGCGGTGGTTGAAGATCGCACACTACTAACGGCTTATTTTCTATATCACCAGCGACAATGAGACGTGTCCCGTCAACTTCCTCGCTCTTCGTCCATATATCAATGGACAACGATGCCAAATCACCACAACAGGGAATCATCAAGTCCGTAAGTAACACAGGTGATCCAAAATCAAGGATGACGAAACGACGTGCACCAGAATGCATTCGGTCGACCACCAGCGCTTGTTGAGGTGGCCAACACAATAATCTTCCCCATGGAAACGAGATATCATCCCGCTGTAACGTATATACATCACGGTTATTATAACCATCAATGATTTTTGCTTTAACAACTATCAAATATCTACTTCGCTTCTACTTAATTATAAAATAGGTAATAGTAATTCAAACAGACATAGAAAAATGCACAAAAAATGAATTGTTTTGTTCTATGGAACAGCACTTCGGAACAAAACGTTCCAACAGTACTGAAAACAGAAATATGAGTAAATTCAGTTTCCATTCTTGATACCGATCCTATCTAAACCGTTACCAAAAATTTCACACAATACATTGCACGATTCGCAATGTATATCACATTTATGTATGTGCAACACCGAAAGCACTAAATAGAAACAAAATCTACGCGTTTCGTTTAACTAAATTAACAAAGACGATATCTGAAACAAAGTTGAGAAATAATGTTACGCTTGCAAGCTTAAACAATGACGGTAAGAGGTATAAGGCAATTCTGTATCGGTAAGATATATTATCGAGCATTAAAATTGAAATCATTCGACGGAATAAAATCTCGATTCTGTAAATAATTTGATAAATTTTTTTTTCACGCGTGTGTGCGGTAGAACTAACGAATAAAATCTGTATGTTACAAAATACGACATTAAAAAATGATGGTGTAATAACATAGACAATAAATACATGATGTAAAATAATCTCAAAGGCTATCATGCAACTTGCACTTTTTGTATTCAGCTGGTGCGTGTGTGTGCATGTGCGTGCATGTATGTGTCCAACAACATTAACGAAATTATATGAACTCGATTATAAGCAGCATATTAATCAGCTATTAAAAATTCATAGTAACGACAGGAAATCGTCAAACTGAGAAACAAAAAGAAAAAAGTGCAACTTCTCTTTCTTGTAGTCTACCTTCTTAAGATTGCTGTCTTCGACTTTGTTTACGGTAGTACCGAGATTTTGTATAGACGACTTTTCTTTCGTTACAATAGAACTTAATACGCATGAGTTAAAAATATCGCGTTGCCATGTCTGATTGCTGACAGACATATCGTTAGTTTCATCACAGTCTGATTGATTATCAGGTGTGAATATCAGTTGCGGAGCTGGCTTCTTTAATGCTCCTCTACACAGACTGAGTAAATCGCTTAATATAGGTGTCGACTTAGCCTGAACATCTGGTCCTAGCGATCCAGCATCCAAGTTCTACAATGTACAATAATTTCTATCTGAATTATGCTTTTTCTATTCGAAAAAACATTTACACCGTATATATATATGTATATAATGAACATATATGTACATATACGTATAGGGTGGTTCTTATTTTTTGACTTCAACCTCCTTTTGGCGAAACTTCCCAAAATGGTTCCGAAATAAACATATAACTCAGTTAAAATATTAGCTCGATCGGATAACGGGAGGAAAATTTTATATTTAAACGTATGAAAAACGTTTTCCCATTATCAAATCAAGCTGATATTTTACAGCAAATTAATTTTGTATGCATTAGAACTCTTCTGGGGGTAAAATTAACAAATTTCGGCCATAGATAATTTCGAAGTACTTTTATACGCGTGGCTGGGACCCTACCAGACAGCTTTAGGAGAAACAATTATAAAAATGGTTACAATCGAACGAGTAATTCCATACGAATAGATACAAAAAGAATAGTTAACGCTGTAGGTAGGCAATATTTGCTCTTACCATTTACATCAATGACAGAATCATGCTTATATAGTTGCACACATTAAACTTCAAGAGCTACGGAGCAGGTTTTCCGTTATTCGATCGAGTTGAAATTTTACAAAGATTACTTTTTCATGAATGAAAATCATTTTAGAGAATAAACAAAACATAATTCGCAACAAAAAAATGTCGACCATCTATAACTAAGGGCCACCTTAATATATATAGATACATATTGCAACTTTCACTGTTGGTAATCGAAAAGCAGAAATTGTTCGATTGTCTGTTGTATCTTACTATGTGTCATTTTTCAGAGAAGTAATGATTTTTCTGTTTTCACACAATTTCATGCTTTGTGAAATCGTTTAGATTAAAAATCTAACAAAACAAAGAAACGAAGAAGAAACAGAAGAGATGAAAAAACCCTCGATGCACTAATATAAAGAAAAGAGAAAACTGTGAATTGTTTGTTACAATACTTACGTAAGTGTGATGAATGGTTTTGATGTCAGGTACACCATTACTGTTCGTAGCCGTGCTATCGTAAAGAGGAGCTCCAACATTAATTACACTTGTGCACGGGTCAATTTTCTCCATCTTGGTACCGTCAGAGGCAGCATGACAGGTAAAGTGAAGCGGTTCGACCTGTGTCGCGTGTACATATTTTTTTTTTATGAAACGCGCATGTTTAATATTACGCTTTCTGATAATGTCAGTACGTTACCTCGAGGAGTCCTTTCATGCTATGGTTAGTACATAAAGCCTTTAATTTGCTAGGCACCACCAATTCGGTAGCTGGATGCGTAGGCAATGTAAGTAGGTCCCTCAAATCAATAGCATCCTGAGAATACACGAAACTCGATGAAGCAATTGGTGGCTCCGACTGTTCATTAGTTACAGACGGCATGTACGGGGATGGTGTTGGAGGCGTTGGACTATATTTTGGGGGCATCGGCGATTCGAAGTCGAAAAGTTCCGTCTCAAACGGAGTATTGTACAGCCCGAACCTATAAAAAAAAAAAAAAAGAAACAAATGTTATTGTTCCATTTACCAACATTGCGTCACGATCGTAATTAAATTTATTACACTAAAATCTTCAATTTTACCTCGTTGCGAGTAACAAATGATAAGGATTAACTCGATTTGATATTTCGGCAGCTATCTGTTGTATCAGGGTGACACACTGCAAAGCAATACTGTGTTCGCTATCCCGCGGTAAGATTCTAGTAATTAATAGCTGTAACCATCGCAATGAGCCAGCCCATTGAACCTCTATAATAGATGGTAACAACTTAACCAAAACCGAAACCAGTGCCTCGTCGAAAAAATTCAACGGTGGCCGCTCTGAATAATAAAAATCCCTGAAAAGAATATTATTAAATATTACCAAAAGGTCGATTCCACAACGGCGTTCTTTCAACTTACCCGGCTGTTACTGTGTCGCTAACATATTTGCTACAAAGTATAACTAATTTTATACATTTGTGCGCTATACTCCGTCCGGCATGCAAAAGACAAGTCTTTAATAAACTAGATAACCGTGATTGCACAGAACAAATTGTCTTCATCTGAAATGATATTATTTTAATATTATTTTGACTGCTGCGTAGCCTTGTTAATCTAATCGAGGCTATCCATATGAGAATATCTAGCGCAAGTGATTGTGCAATCGGAGATCTGCAACAGAAAAGATCATATACTCTGTAATACACTTCGGCAAAATAAATAGATACGTGTAATCATTTTTCTAATCATTGCGAATCATTTTCTCTTACTTGTCAGGTGTCTCCAAACATGCGACGCTCAACAAATTGTCGAAACAAGTTTTTGATTCCAACATAGCACAACGCTGTGCTCTTTCATTCGGTATATTAGTAGGATATACCGTTCTAACAGTAATTGATATTTCATGAATCCAATCGCAACCTTGAATAAGAGACATTGTAGAAAATTATTTTCACGAGTTGCAGCTCGTCTATTGCAAAACATTCGCATATACGATGATATTTACCAATATAACAATCTAATTTTTTATTGTTTGGACCTTCCGCAAACCGTTCGGCAGTACTACCAGGAACAAGCGGACGCACTGCTTCAACTATTCGTAATTTTTTTGAAGTAGGGGGTTTATTAGTTGACAAATTGGTTTTCGATTTTGTCGTTACCTAAATGTCAATACATAACACTTTTTATTCACACTACACTTAAATATTTCCATGGATACGCGTTTTAATCTTTCTACTTACGCCATCCTTCGTTGGATCGATCAAAGCTTTGATGTGAACAAGAAGCGTTCTTGCTTTGGACCGAAACAGCTTCGGGCTGGTCAGTGTAACGCAACCAGAACGATACGATAAATCCATATAACGATGTAATTCGATCGGTCCACATAATATTTCCGTGTTATGTTGTCGCTTATATTCTTCCGTTGTTACGGGATTCTTTCCTTTCTGCTCGTTGCCTATGTTAAAGTCTATTCTTTCATCCACTGGAGTCAATGGAGACTTGTAATGACCAATTCTTCGTACATTTTGCTTCAGTAGGGTAATTTGAATTATTGGCAATTCTTGACAGACAGAATGCAAACTAAACTTCACGTCCACATGACCAATATTTCCTGATGCGCTTCGAGGAAGAGTTAACTCAAACACATGTTCGTCCCAAGTGATCCTGTGTTTTAAAATAAAGAGAAACAAAAAGAATAAAACATAAAATGAAGTACGTATTCCTTAAGGAGTAAACTCATACCATTCATTGTGTAAACGCCAAATTCGTGTATGGTGTTGGTCTTCCGATTGATGAAGATGCTGTGGATGACGACGTTGTTTTTGACCTTGCATCATTTCGTTCCAACACGGTGGAACGGTAGCACCGTATGCGGGAGAATGTCGATCAAATCGTGTTAGTTCGTACAGAATACGTAAATCCGAATGAGTTAAGTTTGATTTGTGCGCGATCAATTGATCTCTGAAAAAAATATAAAGAAAAGCTTGTATCGAGTGAACTCGATGGAGGTCCGTATGATGTACTATTTCTAGTCTTACTGATAAGCGAATGACGTTGACGTGCTAGGAATTGTATTTTTAGTGCCAATCTCTTCTGTAGCCATCATGTTAACGTCTTCGATATCCTCCTTATCCTCCACAAAATCTACCTCGTCCGTTGTGACAAAAAAGTGAAGTGCACCATCGCTTGTACATGCACACAGTCTCTCTAAACCTGGAGAAATTACTTTGTGAAAACAAGTTTTGTTAATTCAAAGAAATATTGGTAATGTACAAATAACGTACTATTACAATAAGCTACAGAGATAAACTTTTTCCCTTCTACTCTTGCTTCAGTAACAGTTGTTAATGAACTCAAATTTAATACTCTGATTACGCCATCTCTGCATACTAAAGCTATTTGTCCAATGGGTTCCGATGCGCTTGAATTGGTGTTAGGGCTCTTGGTAGAGTTTTCTTCGGATAATGCACATTTGCTTTTTTCTTGAAGGGGCAAAAATACATGCTCGGTAGGCGCTTGATCTGCGGGCAGTTCTTGCCTTACTATGGGCTCAGGACAAACTTTTACTACTTGCCCTGAAAAGTCCAGAGCGTACACAAGCAATATGGCATTCCCACCGTTATTCGCACCATCGTGTATTTCACCGTTTATTAATCTACCAGACTGCGTATCGTTATGGTCCCAATACATGTAACTTTTTTGTGGGAAAAACTCGTTATCCTCGTCGATATCCATCTGATTATTATTTGAACTCAAAGTATCCGTGTTATCTATTGTAGGGCACATGGCAACATACAAATGTCTTCCATCTATAGATGGTCCAATGTATGTAATTTTAACATAATCAGGAGCTTCGATAGGTAAAGTTTGTATAACAACTGGTTCAGTCTTTGTTATTTTCATAATATCCAGACTTTTTTTATTTGCTGTTGTCAATTCAGATGTTGATGCAAACTGTTGTGGGCCACTGATTGGATTAAAATTTGCATCGAACGAGCTTGACGTTGGGGGTACTGCAATACCAATTGTATTTGAATAAATTCCATTGGAAGATGATGCGGTTAGAGCAGTTGTTGGAAAAATACCAAAATGTGGTCCAACTACCATATCCGAATCTACATCCTCTATCACTGGAACTTCATATAAAAATTTACCGAGCAAGAAATCTTGAAACAAATTCCCTTGACGTTCTCCGTTTGAACTGGCGCTAGTTCCCATTCCAGACAATGCCTTTTTAGTTTTAGAATCCTTGGTATTATCTTCTTTGATTGGTTGCATCGTTGCAAGTTTATGATGAAAATCATAAAATACTAAATAGTGCGATCTTGATGGTGTATACCTATCACCTGCTACCTTCATTATATCTAATGTATCACTTGCAGCACTATTTACACTGTTCATTGCACGAACAAGAGATGAAGAAGGAGCTAAATCTGTTGAAGCAGCCCACACATTTTCTAAAGTCCTTAATTGTGACGGATTACTAACCGTCACTGTAACAGCACACACTACACATGGCCTGATTTTAGAGTCTGATGTCGCTCCAGGTAAAAGCGTAGAGGCGAGGGTTTTTGCTTCTTTGTTTTGACATTTGGGAGTGCCTACTATAGACAGCGCTGTAATTTGCACTTTATGCGAAGCTGGATGCTTATAATCAGAGAGAGAATCTGCTTCCGAATTAAGCATTCTTAAATATGAAGTCAAATTTATCGTAGAACCAAATTGAATAGATTCTTTATTATTTATTTCTTGTTCTACTGGAGCCACATAAAATGAAACTTCCCTCTGTAAGAATTTTCAATTTTAAATGATAATACATTTATTAACTATAATATAACTTATAATATATAAACAAAATTACCTTCAATTGATTCGTTACGTTCCATACGTTTATAAAACCACTATTGGAAGCTGTAGCCGCAAGACCACTGACATTTGTAGTGCTGATCACATCTATTGTGTCACCAGCCTCGCGTGCAGGAGCTGTAGCAAGGGTAACGGATAAAGGAACATTTTGCGTATACTCCCCTTTAATGAAAGGACATGTAGGAGAATGACGTTCGTGCTCTGACCAAGGTTCATCCTTTGGTTCCCAACAAACTAAACAGACATTGCACGTGAAGCACATTACCCTGTCATCGCCTGTTGCATTTGGGTGATGGTAGAAACCAACCTGAGCCATTTGGTCAGGTAAAGCCCATCTAGAAAATTACACGTATACAATATATCCACCATGTTATCGCTTAATATGTAGCGGTAGTAATTATTTAGATTTTATACTTGTGATTCATATGTGGCCATTTTGAGAAGGTATCTCTACGCACTGCTTCGCTAAACATTAATGCTCTATCAACAGGACCGCCTTCTAATGCCAAGCGTGGCAATAGACCATTTAATCGTTCATTGATGGCAGAAGCAATTGGCAATGCAGGGATATGTCTGTTCAATCTTTTCAATTCCATGACTAATCCTGAACACACAAGCTTCAAAGAACCGTGCGGTAGTTCGAGACATACCGTATTCCACTATTACAAATACAATTAATCGAGATATTACAAATTAATTAACCATCTTGTAACTTTAGTACATCTCACATTTTGTTCTACACTTACTTTTTGGGCTTTAATTCCTTTCTTTTGGCTTGCCTCTACAGTAAAAGTTTTACTTGCTAATTCTTGAATTACCTCTTGCACATGATCTACACCTGGTAGTTCCACACATCGTAGACACTGATATAACAAAATAGCTTCGGAAAACAATAATTCTATCTTTATAATATCCTCGCTTCGTGAAACAGTTGTTTGTAAAAGAGTGTCCAAAAGGAGTACACCATTGTAATCACTACGTACTCCAATTCCTCTTCCATCTGTATATAGTACCTTATCTACACCATTTGATAAATATGTGCCTTGAAGTTTTCCATGTAATTTACCTATAAGAATGAAAATTATCGTTACATTGTAATCTTACAGTTCATCGATAAATTAGAATTAAATACTTGTTTCATAAAATAAGTGTGTTTTACTATTGTAGAAAGAATCATAGGAGAAATATATATTCGTCTATGTAACAACATAATATGTTGAAACATAATCTTAAAAGTAACTAATTTATTGAAATCATTTTCATTGTAAAAAGGCCAGTAAACTTCTTATATGGATTATTATCTTGTGATAACAGAAAACAAGAATTTCTACACAGACATGTGGCAAAATATATGATTGTAAAACAATAATAAATGCAATTTTAAGCAAATATTTGAATAGCTGTTGAAGTTTGATAAATTCTCGGAGAATAAAAACAGGCCACAAGAAGTCATTGTTAACAAAAAGAATTGTTGATTTTATTGTAAAAACACTTGAATCGGAAAAAGTTTAATCACGCCTGACGTTTTATACACGTATACGACCTTGACCATGAGGCAGGATTGAAATTAGAGCAAAGAAATCTTCGATGAAATATACGACGGAAGAATACAATATCGACAAGAGATTGTTATTTGCTAAACAAAGATGTAACAAAATGCTTACCCGACAGAGAACTCTTTTGCAATATTACTCCTGAATTGACATCAACTACGTATACTTGCGCACTGCCAGTAGTGATTAGTAACACGTTCAGATTAGCATGATAGATTATACTTTTACACTCAGTATCCACGTTTAAGTAACCGTCTTCTTTTAATAACCATGGATCATCATCAGCCATTTTGCTCATACAGATTACAATTCTCAAAAAATTTGTCTAATGCGCGAACATCACAAAAAACATGGCGTACTCATCACCGCCATCTTTGAATAGAACGTCAGCAATTCGCTGTGAAGCTGGTTAATAACTGTCAAACGATTGGTTCGATAACGATATATCGATACATCATTTCCCAATATCAGAAGCGTGAAATTTCTACGAATGCAAGATATGACTATAAATCCACGAGAAAATAATATAAAGAACACTTTATTCTATTCAATTCATAAAGTGTACTTCATATATTTATAACGTCGGTTCTCTTAAAAACGAGGGTTGATACGGAACGATTTTATTCCACAGTTTCATTTCACTTTTTCGAAAGAAATCGCCTTTTCTTAAATCGTACATTCTACATATTCCGAAACACCGTATAATATAGGATTTATGTAGGGCCTATACATATATTCTTTGACTACGTAAATTCATAAATGCTTGATCTTCAGTTCCATTTTATGTTTTTAATTATTACTATGTGAACTTATATTATAGAACCAAAAAGAAGAAACATGCCCGGGCATGTTACAGACGAAACAGGATGTAGCATAATTAAGTCCTTTACACGGCTTGGTTTACTTTTACGTATCGCTTGTCGGGCAATAAAGAAATTAACCAAGTCGCGTGTTTCCGCTTCTGATGGATATGTCGTTGATAAAATAGAAGACAATATACTAATTTTTCTTGAGAGACGTTCACATTCTTTTCAATCTCTGGTTTGGACTTTTTTAAATCACAATTGCAACTCTGGTAATTAATTGCAATTGTATGATTTAATGATTTATAATTATATATACACGCAACAGTCATAAGATTATTTTCCAAATGTTTCTTTGAGAATTAATTGGTTTGCAAAGATTGCAAATTTTATGGTCAAAATAATAATAATAATAATGTTTTATAGCGTACTTAAATATATATCTTTATAATTATATTTATTAAATGAATACAATGTAATTAGTTTAAGTTGTCCTAAGCATTTTGGCCTCTTTAGACAATCGCATATCTTCTAGACGTATCTGAACATTCTCTTCTCTCAATCTCATGAATTCTTCATGTTCTACTGGATCTAACTTGTGCACAACTTCAATTCCGCAAGTACGAGCAATACCAACAAGCATTTTACAAACCTGTTCTAAACTTAACAATGCTAAAGACCGGTCCTGCGATTTGATACAAGCAATTTCATATAAGTGCTTTAATGTTATTCTACCTGCTATTTCACCTAAAATGCAATTATAATGATACAAATCATTCGCTTATTTTTATTTATTATTATTACCTTTACACATCTTTCCTCTTTCTATTCCAGCCGCCTGTTTTAAGAAATATGTTGCCGGTGGGTTATTAATTACTAAATCATAAGTACCATCTGCCTTTACTTTGACACGACATGGTAGAGGCATACCCTCTATAATATTTTCAGTTTTCTTATTAAAATCATTGCAAAAATTTGCTACATTGATGTTTCTCTAAAAGAAAACATACCAATCAGTTAAAACGTACAGAAAATGTTATTGATTTCTCAATATTTTGATTTGTAAGTAGTAGCCAGAAATTCTTTTAACCTGTCCGAGTTGTGATCCAAGCGGTGGTTTAGCATTTGCCATTCCCGCAGGAATTATTACTCGCAAGCTTGAGGAGTGATCTATTTTTGGTAATGTTTTTTTCAAGAATTTTCCTTTCGCAGCCATCTTAGACATTTTCGTAAATTTTTACAAAAAAAAATTCTAATCGATTTGAATCTAGTTTAAAACAATGGTTTAAAAACTGTATTTTTATATAACAAAAAATAACAGGCAGACAGTCTGTATTTTGAAATAAATATAACAAAATTAAATGCAGATTGAATAGAAGTTTGTACAAGTTGTTGTTCCAGTATAATAATTACTATTTTGGAGTGAAGTAGTCAACAAATGAAAATAGATAAAGATATCGACTGCGTTTGGAAGTAAAGCCACGCATTAGTTTGAGAGTTTGGTCGCTAGAGACACTAGTTCACGGTTAAAAAAAATTTGTCCCAATCCCAATCTCTGTACATATCTCTAATAATGCCGTGTATACTTGTCCGTGATTCTATATCTCGTATGTAGTAACTCATTAAATTGAAATTTATCAATTTTCTTATTAACGTCATAGATTCATTTAATCGGAATGATTAAACTGGTGATATGACGGTTAAAAACTTTGGTGATATAACCTGAACCACCACTCGTAGATAGTGGCATGTTATGTAGGTAAACAAAATTACATTAAAATGAATAATGTCTATGAACAGCTGACCATTAAAGGTATAACAAACTGGGTTGCCTCAGGAGCAATTATATTTGGTGGAATTATTCCATACGTATTGCAGTATAGGGAAATTAAAAAAAGAGAAAATGCAGAAGGATTTTCTCTTTATGTATGCCTTGCACTTTTAATAGCTAACACTTTACGTATTTTCTTCTGGTTCGTATCTTTATTATAAACGGATTATATATATTTCTATGGTATTAATAATTAAGATAGAGATACGTGTTTTTCTTACAGGTTTGGAAAGCGTTATGAAATACCTCTTCTGTTGCAAAGTATATTTATGATCATTACTATGTTTATTATGATTAAACTTTGTATCACTGTACAAAATAAAAGTCAGATGATTAAAGCCAGAGATCACGTATTTACTGGTAAGTTTTTAAATATAAAATTAACAACAGAAATTTTAATTCAATATTTCACCAATAATCTCTATTAAACGTATATCATTTTGAATTTTTTTTATATAGATTTTGATATAAATTTTTTCTGGAAATGGACAAATTTTCAATCCTATTTGAATTTCATGCTATTATTTGGGATACTAGTAGGAATCCTGACATATCTGTTAGTAGATGTACCAATATTTGTTGAAACAGTGGGATTACTTGCAGTATTAACAGAAGCTATGCTTGGAGTACCGCAATTCCTTTGTAATGTTTCAAATAAATCCACTAATGGTATGAGGTATGAAGCTAGTATTTTAATAATGAGAAATAATTGCTCGAGTACTTATCCTTGTTAAGTAATTCTACTTTTGATTTCAGCACATTTATGGTTACTATGTGGACATTAGGTGATACGCTTAAAACATGCTATTTTATTATGAAAGAAGCTCCAATTCAATTTGAAATTTGTGGTATGCTTCAAGTTATGATTGATGTTGCAATTTTAGCACAAGTATATATTTACCGTAATAGTACAGATGTACATTTAAGGATTCCAATAAGAACTGATTGACTATAATAATTTATATGTTAATTTTGTAATACATTTTTTATACAGCTTTTATTTACAATGAAATTTATCTATTTTATTCAATAACGTTTATTCTTTACACGTAACTGTACAAGGAATAACATAAAATGCACAATCTATTGCGAACAAGTAGATACTTAAGTATCAAAATAAGTATATTCCAATTTTAATTTAAAGATAAACACAAATCATATTTTTTTAATTGAACTTTCTACATATTTGAATCGTATTATCTGTTTGTGTACATTTCTTTTAATAAACTTTTATCGATATAATAAGCTGAATTTTCAATTAATGCGAAAACAGTCAATTAACTAGATTAGAGTAAATAGATTTTTTTTTAAAAAAATTAGGCAAGATTGAAAGAGACTTCTAGGGTCAGTTACATTTCCCAATAGTGTCGTAAATGATTTACGATAGGCATTCTTAATTGCCAACCTATGTAGATATAAGGAAAGTACCCTAATGAAAAAAGAATTACTAAAATTTTGAAAATCTCATGTTCAATCTTCTTTTCTCGGCTTCCCCCACCACTCCGTTAGACGCTAAGGAAGTTCGTCGTTACTATCGTCGATTTCGATGCGCTCAATTATGCCAAATCTGGCCACACTGGCAGTAGTCTGTATTAATAGGGGTATTCAATTTGTAACGCTTTAAACGGCATCCGCGTAAGAATGCTAAAATCAATTTACGCGTTGAATTCAGCATTAGCAAGTTTTTAATAAAACTTTAGTTGAATGTAACAGTTCATAAGTATTATTTCTTTCGCTTATACAGAAAATTAATATCATTTAAGTTGTATCATCTACATTTGCAGGTAATGTTTGTTACTATAGGTATGGAACTCATTTACACTTAAATTATAATAACAGAATTATGAATTACAATAGCGAACCGACGCGCGCGTATTTTATTTCGTTTGAACATGTTTTTTAAGCGACCGCGTTACTTATAATGTAGTTTTCATTAAGTTAACCTAAACGAGGTTTGTTTACTTGACTATTCCTTAATCGTTTCGCAGGATTTTAAATCTTAGTTGCACCTAATTCGTTAAACACAGTTTGCATTTTAATTATGACACGATAACATTTCATTAGCACAAACGCATACATTTAATTACAAAAATTGTAATGGGAGAGAGTCACTGGAAGGATTGGAGACCTTTTATTTACGGAGGTTTAGCTTCAATTGTTGCGGAACTGGGTATGTGCTATTAAATTGTAATAATTCCATTTTAGAAATTTCTTTATCCTGTGAATATAATGTTGCGTAGAACTTTTATTTATTATTTTTATCAAAATTATTGCTCGTCAGGTACATTTCCTTTAGATACAACTAAGACTCGTCTACAAGTCCAAGGGCAAAAATTAGACAAAAGACATGCGCATTTAAAGTATTCCGGTATGACGGATGCTTTGTTTCAAATATCAAAACAAGAAGGATTTAAGGCTTTATATTCTGGGTAAGTATAATTTATCAATTACGTTAACTATTCTTATTAATATTTTTATTGTATAGAATTAGTTCAGCTATATTAAGGCAAGCTACTTACGGAACTATAAAATTTGGCACCTACTATTCATTAAAGCAAACAGCTATGGATAGATGGGAAACAGATGATTTAGTTGTTATAAACATTGCGTGCGCTGCATTAGCAGGAGCAATTTCAAGCGCGATAGCTAATCCCACAGATGTAGTGAAAGTACGTATGCAAGTAACTGGTGCAGACTCAAATTTATCATTATTCGGTTGTTTTCAAGATGTATATCGACACGAGGGTGTTCGTGGTTTATGGAGGGTATGTAAAATGATTTGTATTCCATTTAGAACTTTAATATGTTCTTTATATATAATCTGTATACACAAAGAAAATGTTTAATATCAATAATTTCATACGCAGGGTGTAGGGCCCACTGCTCAAAGAGCAGCAATTATTGCAGCTGTAGAATTACCTATATATGACTATAGTAAAAATAAACTTATGGATTTTCTGGAAAACAGTATTACTAATCATTTTCTGTAAGTAAATTATATTTGTACATTATGAAAAAAAAACTCCATGCTAATCAGTCTTGTATTGTGGATATAAACATTTATAAATATATTTGTTATACTATTTTTATTATCTTGGCTATTGAAAATAGTGCTGGTGGTATTAATATTAATTTACGAACCGTTTGGTCTAATATTAAACATCTGCTTGTTTGATGAAAAATTGTTTATTGAATTTCGATATGAATTAACCCTTATCCGGACTGTGTGTAAAATGTAATATGTTCATTATTATTTTCTAATAATAAACAAACATATTTCATACATTTTACTTTTCACGGTACATGATGTCATGTGAGTATGTTTAATTTAGAATTTAAATTTAAATTTTATTTTGCAAAATTTCTAATAAATATTTATTGTTTGTTCATGGTATTGCTGCTTATACATTCTTCAATGTAAGGCAATTAAGTTTCATAATCTTTTTATAACTGGTACACAAGATACATGTTTTGTTATAAAGATGGCAGATTATTAACAAAATATTTTACGTGAAATATTGTGGGTTAAAAACTAGTATCTTTTTATTAGTACTATATTGGTGATATATTTGTTTAAACGGAAGTAATATTTTTCTAAAGGTGAAAAATTTTATTTCCAGGTTCTCTTTCACACTGTCGTGTGCATGGGCATATACAGTGCATGGATATTGAGATGACTACAGAAAATGAAAATGGAAGTTAACATTTTCTTATTTTATAGGAAAATCATTGAAACTGTTATGCAGTGATTAAACATCTTGAATTACTTCATGAATATTGTTTGGTTAGCACTCATGCATTAAATTGATTTTCAATTTTTTGATATGTTACATCTTTTGTTAAATTTTCTTTTCTACTGTTATTTTATTGGACATTATTTTAAAAGAATCTGTGATTCTTTTAATTACAAGATTTTTTTATGTAAAAAGAGTAGTTTACACTATCTTAGACATCACAATATGCATTTTAATCAGCAGTGCTTGGATAAGGGTTGCTTTAACTTATCAGACTTGAATTGAAATTGACAATTGAAATTTGAGAATACATTGTATAATTGTCTTTATATGTGCTTAAATATTTTCAAAGTTTAAAACTGATACTGGATTATTTAAAATACTTGTATACAGGATAATGAGAAAAAGAGTTCATAACTTTTAGACTAGATAATATTCACAAATTGAAGAACAGTCTTAATAAACATATTAATTTTTCAATCTATATTTGTTAGAATTTTCTTTGTCCCATTTGACAAGTATTATCTATTCTAAAAGTTATGAATCCTTTTTATTTATCACACATACAAACATGCACGTAAAAGTATAAAAGTAGATTATATAATACTGTATCAACTTTAAACATTATATATACATACTTCAGGTCCAGTTTTATAGCTAGCATGGGAAGCGCAGTGGCTTCTACTCCAATAGACGTTGTTCGTGTAAGTAGAACCAATAATTATTTTTCTTGTCTGAATTTCCCAAATAAACAACAATATTATTTTAGACTCGTTTAATGAATCAAAGGAGAATACGTACCGGAAGTGGTGCATTATCACCTCATATTTATAGCGGCAGCGTGGACTGTTTTGTTCAGGTATGCAATATTACATACTAAAAAGGAGCTTCGTACATTTAAAATAATCTAATATACAATGTTTTTCTATAGACCTTTAAAACTGAAGGATTTCTTGCATTATATAAAGGCTTTGTTCCTACTTGGTTTAGAATGGGACCATGGAATATCATATTTTTTATAACATATGAACAATTGAAACAACTGGATCATTCGTAATTATAATTAAATAAAATTATGATGTACTCAATTAAAGTTGAACAGCAATAAGTGAAATAAAATGGGCAAAACAAAAAAAAATACCCTGGCTGCTGAAAAACTTGTTTAATTAGTAGAATTGCATTGCTAATTTCATTTTACCAACTGGAAGCCTAGCAAATTTATGGCAGCCAGTGTATATGTGCATGTAGGTGTGATAAAATACTGGTAATAATGGTAAAAAATAATTTAAACTTGTACTGTATGATTTACTCGTACGAACGTTAGGAATATATATATATATTCAGGCACATAAAGAAAATGTTCAAAAAAGAAAAGTAAATAAATAAAAGTCATCTTTTTTTATCATGATAGAAAACCACCAATGAAAGTATATTAAAAATATAAAAGTATTTGATAAAGAAATATTATAATTAAATATTCTATCCAGTTTTTTGTAAGACTTGAAACAGTACTTACTAGTCAACGTTTGAATCTCTAATAAATGAAGTCAACAGTGTGTGTCATGTTTTTATTTCATATGATTTTGTTCTGTTCTTGTTTAGAACAGAACAATAGCCTAGCACACTCTCTAAAATCACCGTTTATAAATATACATATCACATATCCACATATCATATATAATTTAATAAATACAGATACACAATTTTATAGAAGAAGCAATATATTGAACGTAACATGTTAGATTTAAGATACTATAAATACTCAGGAATGCATAGCAATATTATACAAATTCATTAAATGAACATAGAATGGCTGTTCTAAATGTAATCAATTTTTGTTTGCTACATTCAATTCAATTTATAAATTAAACTATTTCTGATTAGATTTATGATAAAACACATAGTTTCAATTTTTCAATTGTAATATAAATGTAGAATTACAACTTCTTATAATTCCATACAACTATTTTCCTATCTTTTCCACCAGTCAAAATTATATTATTTTCCGTAGAAACTAATAATGCATTAATTGGTCCTGAAAATTATTTAATTACTTAAAAAAAAATCCAGTTTAAAAAGATTATCGTATTTGTGAAATAAATAAGAAAATTCAAATATAACATATACTTTACCATCGTGATAATGTATTTGTGAAACAAAAATTGTTCCCTCGCGATTCCATATATTTATATTTCCATTGCTATCGCCTATCAATAAAAAAGTTTCCAACCATGTCAGTGTTAAAGGTTCATGTTCCATGGTTGTATAATAAACCTGGGTACTTGTATAGACATCTATTATATTCAATACTTTATCTTCTGCACATGATATTATGCTCTTACCTTCTTGATCAAATACAATTGCATTTATCTTACAAGTTTGTCCTATATAAAAGAAAAGATACAAGATGTTGAAACAAGAAAAGATGCAACTACAGTAAAATAAAATCTCGATTCAACACCCTTTTTCCAATTAGTCCGTTAAATCGAGATTTTACCGCGCTTTAAAACATACTTTTTACAGTAAATTGTACATTATAAGTATCCATGTTCCATAACAAAATTTCTCCATCTTCTGTGCCAGAGACTAATAATTTCTCATCTCTATAAATACATCCATAATTAAAATTTGTTAGATTTAATATTTAATGAATAATTTTGCCAAATTTAAAATATACAGAAATTTTACCTTGATATATTCATACAGGTTACTTTAGAATCATGATCTAATTGTGCGATAAAGCACTTTGTTGGTTTAATTTTTGATCCAGAAATATAGTTTTGCCAAACTTTAACAGTACAATCCCATGAACCAGATATAATAATTTGGCGAGATGGACTTAATGCTAAACAAGAAACAGCATCCTCGTGCCCTTTTAATACATCTATTACTCTACCAAATTCAACGTCATAAAATATTCTATAAAACAATTTTAGTCAATGAAGGAATTTAAGTATACAAAATAGAGTACATAAAATAGATATTTATATAGAATACTTACAACGAATTGTCCCAGGAGCCCACTATTAATATATTACGATGTGATGATGTATAGTATGATATGCAAGAAGACAGTGGTAATGATGATAGAGCTACGCTACGCGATAATTTTTTGTTTTTTATATTGTATAATTTAAGCATTCCATCCTGTCCCACTGACACTACTTCATCGATTCTCTCTTTGTTCATCATTGTGATGCTGCTTACACTTTCTTTATGAGATTGAAACGTCATTAATTCGTGTAGTTGAAAAACTCTCTCTAAGGGAGTTTCACTTTCTAGAAGGAAGTATGACTTATTTTACATATGTTACAGAGTATGATTTAAAAGTGTGAGCGATATATGATATACCTGTTCCACTTTTAAAACACGTTGAAACAGTTTCAGTAGACAATTTATCCAACACTGTGACAGAACGCTTTGGATGAGGTAAAGTAAAAATTTGTTTTGGTATTTGACCAAACTCCATAATTTGTATCTCTAAACCGTGTCTATCATTAACATCCAGAATAGTATCTAGATCTACCGCTCCCTCGTAGCACAAGTGAAAAAATACTGAAACAAAATATATTATAAAATATATACTTCTTATATATAAATCTATAACTACATATTAATTTACCATTATCAGCTTTCTCCGCTTCAATTCCCCGTTGTTTATATCCAAATATTAAATCAATCCAATGATGAAGATTTTGGGAAACATGATCACTTTCTAAAGCATTTCTTAATATTTGTATAAAATGAGCATGTCCTAAAATTTAATAATTAATCGTATGAGAGTTTCTAATATCTATCATCTTTAGATTACAAAAAATTTTATACCATTTGCCCACGCTGGTAACTGTACATCTCCTATTTTTGTACCATCGTGTCGATAACCAAAATCGATACCATAACTGTTCACTAAAAAATCACCACCATTGTTTGTGTCATAAAATTCCGGGATCAGTTCTTTAAAGTCAGACATGTTCACCAAAACATTTTTCCATACGTCAGCTACACTGTTAGTTGTTTTTATTGGTAAGTGTGAAACAAAAAATCGATTCTGCAGAGTCGACAGAGTCATTATATACTTTTACAGTATAAGAAGCAATTACCGTAAAAGTTTGTTTTCTCTGTACGATACAAAATTACATTCACATACATTTATTATCGCTATTGTTGAAATTTAATATTATGTAAACTTCTCTAATACCTACATTTTTACTTTTACACAAATTTCAAGCAACTCGAACTGATTTTGAACCCATTAATAATAATAATGGTTATTTTTATTAAATGTACATACCTATTGAACATTCTGTCGGGATGGTCAAATCTTCCATTTTGTAAACACAGCATATACTCAGGATACTTTCGAACTAAATAAAATAATACAAATCCTGGTGCGCTATAATGCGAACCATACAAAAATTTTGGTTCTAACATCTCCAAATATCGCTCCTAAGATTTAATGACATTGTTACCTTCTTGTTGGCACAAGCATAAAAAAAATATATCAAATAAATTAAATACCTTCAATTTTTTGAATCGATTTGGTTCAAGAGCTCCAATAGGTTTTGAAAGATCTCTATAAACACTGGGATCGTTCAAATCCAATGTAAAAGACGTGTAATCTTGTATTACCCATGGCATTACCGGATACTGAGTCAAATCATGAAAAGTTCTATCTGCCAAACTAGAAAATGGCACTAATTTCAAAATCTGTCAGGGTAATTTAATATTTCAACTTTTGTACATGAGAAAATTACCTGTTAATATATAACAGATAATCATAATTTGATAAAGAACCATTCTGCCATCTCATAGTCATTTGATCTTGAGGAACTCTTTCTAGGGAAACTGCAGGTTGTCTTAATAAATTCATATACAGTTCATCCCTCTCATTTTGATTCTTTAATGATACAAACAAATGTTCAACTTTATTCTCTGAATGTCTTAACCATTTAATTTCAAGTCCCTGTGGTAAATAAAATATAATTGATACCAAATGATAGCGATTATATACTACAGATTATAAATAATATACTTACAATTTGTCTTAAAATAAATCTTCTCTTTATTATGTTAACAATATCCTTTAGCTGTATTTTTAGAACTGGATACTGAAGATACAAATTTATTGCTTTAATAATCTATACAAGACTCATAGATACTTATTGTAAAATACATACTTGTTCCAAATTGTTGTAAGGTTGAAAATAAATTCTTGAGTGTGTTAAAAGAATTCTGCCTGGATTTATAACAAGGGGTAGTATTTTATTCGCTTGAATTTCCAACACAACTTGCTCGTATAAATCCTCTAGCCAAGATGTATCGAACGAAACTCTAGACTGTCTTGAATGCACGATTAGCATAATCTATGTAACGATAAAAGTTTAATGAATTTATTTTCTTAATATAAAATATCGAATAAAGATTATTAAAATTACCATGGCATTCTGTTCAGCAGTGGGCAAAGTAGCCGCTCTCAGTAATTGCAAAATTTGTGGGAGACAGTCTTCTACTTTTGCATAGTTGAAATAAAAGTAGAAAGTGGCATGTTCATGTATAAATTTATATGGCGCGATTATATTTTTCTCCAACATCTGCACATACTGCTTGCATTTGACCGACAATACATTGGTGCGTCTTATAAATAAAACCAAATTGAATAACATAATTCATATATAATATATATTTTGATCGGTTAGAAAATATAAATACCAACCTTGTTATATTATTGTCGGATTCGCATTGATCGATAGTTATATCTTCTTTAAGTTGTATTTTAACTAAAGGCTGATTAATATCCTTATTTACAAATACTAAGGATTTTGAACATAATTTTAATCTTCCGTCTATCCATTTTTGCTCTGTCGAATTAGAAGTATTAGGTACCTTCATTTGAACACTATAATCCTCAAAAAATATTTCCCCTGGTTCCAAAAGTAGCATTGTAAATCTGATGCAAACAAAAATATGTTAAATAACATGAAATACAGAAACTGTCAGAATATTAATTAAGTACCTTTCTTTTTCCATTCTTACAACATTAAATGTTAATTACAACAAACATAAACAAAATAGAAGTTTTTAGTTGATAAAGAAATTTACGTGATCATTTCTCAATAATATGTTTAAATAAAATATAAAACGTATTTATATACGTATGTCCAAACGCGAACATTAAATTTGCTAGAGGATCACGAGACCATTAGTGATGTCGAGAGTGCCGAGGAGAAACGCATGCGCGGGAAAACAATGTCAGGGTCAGGCTACACTCTACAGTCAGGCACACACCTTGATCAAGTAAAAGAAGCCTCGTATTATTTGAAAAATGAATACAGAACATGACGTTAAATGAATTGTAATTTATATGTATACATTGTTTTATTTATAAAACAACTTTATTCATTATTCGACATTTCAACGTCGAGTAAAATTTACAGGATATAGGTACCTACAGTGCACACAATTGATTGTAATTCTCCTACTTTATTTTTGTGAGTTTTCTGTTAAAATCTAATTTAAAAAAATAATAATATGCAATTGATTACCCCATCGAATTGATCTTTTTCTTAAAAGTACTAGTTTTAGATTATGTAATTAAAGGAAACTTAAGCATGTTTTTCTCTTGCGTCTTAGAGCCATGTCTGATGGTATTCGATATAATAAAATTCCTTTGTATTTAATATGAAGTAAAATGATATTCAATATTGTTTCAGACTGTATTATAATAATCAGCGAAACGTTTTATTGGTGTCATATGAGTAAAAACTAATATTTTGCGAAAAATTATCTTTCTAACCTCATACTCTAACCTGATTTAGTATTGTTATATTATATTTATCTATTCTATGAGAAACAATGTCATCATTTTATGGAATCCGTGTTAACTTACCTAGATATTAGAACAATTTTTTGTATTCGAATTTTTTGAATTTCGTACGTGCTAATACGATGGAAAAAGCTATTAAACATGTGATAATTAAATCAATAAATTTACGTAATTGGACAACTTTATCAAATTATATAGCAACGCATAGTTTACTAACAAATTGCGAAAATCTACAAGGTAACAAATAATTTATTAATATTATGTAATTAATGGTTAACAATTTTTTTTAACGTTTCTTTCTTAACTATATGTATTTTATAGATACTTCATTACCTAAGAAATGGGAAAAACACAAAGAAAATATACAAAAAAATACTTTTTTAAATTCAAACGACAATCCTAAAAACATGATTAACATGAATGTCAGGGAATCCAAACAAAAGTTAACAATAGAAGCCGTTAATCATTTGAGCTTTTTATATCGTCGTTCAAATTGCAAAGATATAAGAAATTCTGAAGAATTTGAACAGTTATGTAAAATAATACAAAGAAATGTAAAATTTTTGCACAATAATTGTATAGTATACATATTAAAAATTTTATTAAGTTCTGGTGTTCCACCTGAAACTACAATAATTCAAACATTACTTCAATTTATAAAGTTTAATATAAATGATCTATCGATTAAAGAATTAATAATTGTATATTATCTGTTGAAACGCGAAACGAAATTACCTTTGATTAAATCTTTACTTCATGCTTTGCCAATAGTTTTTCAAAATCAAGTACAAATTGAACTTGATAGAAGTAATATGATTACTTTGACATGTGCTTTAAAATTTGCTTGTTTCATAAAGCACCTAGAAACATTAACTTATATTACCAATATGTTGTCCAAGAATACAGAAATTCTTACTTTTGAGATTATAAGATACGCTTTGTATGCATTGTATATTTTACCAAAGCAATCTGTAAATAAAAATCTTCTGCATAGAGTGTATGATCTAATAATAGATAGAGGGCAGCTTTTGCAATTTAAAGAAATAAATTTCTTACTTCGTCTTATTATCAACAAGATTGAAGACAGGTAAATATTAAACAACTTTACCTATATGTGACTTTTACCACCTTATTAACTTATTGTTTCATTTTCTCTTTCAGGGATATGAGCTTTTATAACAAAGGTGCTTTAGACGCATTGTGTACTGCTGTTTTAGATAAAAATCTACCTTTCAAAAATAATCTGGATATCTTGAACAAATTAAATGACATTTACTTCTGCCATATTCCTCTAATAAACCATGCAGTAACAGAATTTATTGATGATCCTTATTATTTAACTACGTACTCATGGGTTCAAATACATACTCTCATTAAATCTTTATATATTGCTGATTATAAACCACAACAATGGGCAACATTGCAATCAATGTTCTTAAAATATATTTTGCATAACGATTTTCCAATTCATTTCCTGGCAATGAATGCATTACGTTTACTTTCATTGGATTGCTATAATGCAGAACTACTAGAAAAAATTTTTACTACGTTTTATTGCACTCATGATAATATTTTCGATACCACTAAGTTCATTATTTTGATATTACATCAAAGTGTTAAAACATTGTGTCCTTTTTATAATGGAGTTACAATAAGTGAAAACTTACTAAATGAACTTATGAAACAAATAAGATTTGTAGAGACTCCTACATTAGGGGGAATTTTAACAAAACTAGTAGGAGGTACTCAATACATAAAAAATGGCTTAACAACGAAACTTGGCCATTTTATTAGTAAGAAATTAATTCAATGCCTAATATGAATAATTAAAAATAGAAATTGTTACTACATAATTGTAACGTACGTTTCTTATTTTTGTTATTATAGACTATGCTATTATTGTACAACCAGATGGTACTCCAATGGTTCTTAGTGACTTAAGCGATAATATATTTGCTGAAGAATTAGTGTCACCACCAGGATATAGCAAGTAAGAAATTTTAAATTTTAATTCAGGTTTAATATTTGTTTTAATAGCTACAGCTACGATTTCTATTATAAAAAGAGTACACTATAATGCAAATATATTGTATGTACTTTTTGTAGGTTGTTTATTCTTGCCTTACAAGATAAAGCATATTGTATTAATACACAACAGTTAACCAGTATATCGAGAATACAAAAACAATCATTGGAAACATTGACCGAATGTGAAGCTGTTGTTATAAATATGCATTTATGGAGACAGTTTTCTATAGATAAAAAAGAACAATATCTTCACGAAGTCCTACAAATTAAAAATCTAAAAACATTTTATAATAAGCAAGTAACTTCAGATATTAATTCATTTAACACATCTAAAAACGTACAAAATTAGAAAAAATATAAATAAACGGTAAATAAAATAAAAAATGTTTTTTTATTATTTGTACACCATTTTTAACTTAATCCAACAGTACTGTCAACGCGTTCAAATGTTAGATTTTGAATTTTAAATAAATTGACAATGAATTATCTGTGTAACAATTTATTTATATGAAAATATTTATAACATCAACAACAAAGTTGTATGATTTTAGATTTTATGTATTTTATACATATTCCTACAAAATTTATATTATGTCATTATAAATGAAATATTTTATGCAATGCTAAATTTAATATGCGAATGAGTATTATGAATACACATATGAATAACATATATAGAAGGGTAATATCTACTAATATGTAAATAAGATAAAAATTTGATGACATATTTTTTTGTCAGCAAACTACATCAATGTATATTATTGTTATTATAAAAGGTACATTTGTATAGATACACAAACAATGCTTTTAAAATGTAGAAAGGGGTCACGTATTAATAACAGAATAATTAAAACGTTAAATAGCACCAATTAGCACCATTTTTGGATAATAAAAGATGATTTTTAATATCACTGATTTAGACCAAATAATTTTAAAGCATTGAAAGCAGTGGCTAAAGCGACTTCTTCCGGTGTGATTTGCATAAATGCTGCTACCATTTCCACTATTGCTGGTAAGGCACATGGTTCGTTACGTTGAAAAGTACAATAACGATGAAGAAATGTCATAGATCGTTCTGTGAGAGCATTTTTAACATGTACAGGTAGTTTACTGGCTCTAGTATTAGGATACATAAACGGGGCATCTGTTTCTACTAATATTCTTTCTAAAGGTGCAAGTCCTCTTTCCAATAATTGTCTTATTCCACTATCAGATTTATCTTTACACAAATATCCTGTAATTCCTAAATAAAAGCCATGATTTAAATAAACTTGTGCTTCTTCTGCAGTTCCGATAAACGAATGAATTAAAACCGGTGGTAAACAATTTTTATAGTGTTCAAGGACGTCTAGAACATCTGTTTGAGAGCCTCTTTCGTGTATTATAAGTGGTTTATTTAATTGGCATGCAAGTTCCACTTGTTTATGAAAAACAGCACGTTGTGTCTCTGGGTCAGAAAAGTCACGACTATAATCTAAACCACATTCACCTATTGCAACACATTCTGGATTATTAGCTATGCTTTTAAGTTCTTGTAGAGTATCAGGATTTTCCCATGACTTTGCATCGTGAGGATGCACACCAGCAGTAGAATAAATAGTACCAGGGTATATCCTAGTTAATCTTAATGCCTCTTTACTAGATCGAATACTTGCACCCATTACCATAATTTTTTGTACACCAGCATCTTTTGCTCTTTGAATTACACTATCTAAATCTCTGCTATATTTTTTATTCGTAAGATTCGCACCAACATCGACTATGATATAATTTTCGTAGCATTGTGTCATAGCCGAGGAAACAGTCTTTTCCTCTGCATTTGATGCAGTAGCATTTTCAGCCATTCCTCAATATCTGATTGCAATATCTGAAATAAGACAAAACCAACTATTATGAACGCTACTTATCATATTAAAAAAGTATGTAAATATATGTAGATATATATAAACCTGAAATGTTAAAATAACAACAGAATTTACGTGATATATTCCGTAATTGTACAAATACTTATCAGATTTTATTATACTTTTTAATTACTAGATAATTTATTCTTGGACAACATATGTTATACATTGATGTAGATGATAATACAAACATAAAAAAAAATGTATAATATGCGTATAAGTTACTTAACCTATATCAATCAACTGTAAAAACTGAATAGATTGAAAACAGAACAAAAAATAAATCGTATGTATAATTATAAATCTAGATTAAATATTACAGTAAAGATATATTTTCTTGAACACTAACAATAAAATGCAAAATGCATCTGTTGCCAACCAGTTGAAATTATTTTCAGCTAATGTGCGATATCACCATTCGAGTTATTACAAAAGATTTATAAAAATATTTCGAATGTACGTGAAAATATTTTACGAATCAAGTTGCAACTTTCTTATTTCTAAATTTTTTAGCTTATGACCAAATACAAACACACATACATATTAATGCTTAAATGACATACTACATATAGTGTACATACGTACAATGCATAGGTTACATGCATACTATTGGACGTATGTATATACATAAGTAGGCACATATGCGTCTTGTAATAAACGGCATTGTGGTACACACAAGACTCTTCGTACTGTTAAGTCATGCAAGCTTCTATAATAACAAAGTATATTTGTAATTTTTCGTAACAAAAATTTCCGATAATATACGTACATTTCTCTTGAGATTATTACATATATTTCGTGATGAAACGTAATATTTAATTCTTTATAACCAAACAGAGATATTTGTTTCTATTGCTAAATTATGACCCATGTACCATTGTGTTTACAAATAATTCAAACATTTTTCTTTTTTGTATATTGAAATAATTAGTTATTCATTTAATGACCACTTGAAGAAAAACTATAACCTAAAATCATAGTAGTTATAAAATATGCGGGAAATATAATTATCATGAAGGTATTATTTTCATTTATATAATATAAATATATCTTTCGTATCGTAACAGTTTAATGTAGTTAAATGAAATATTTGAATTTTAACAGTTCTAGACAAATTTTGTGTATTTGTATTTTTACTATGATCATCGTGTTAAATCAGTTTCTTTCTTTGTGTAGAAAAGAAAAACAAGACGCCAACTTTTAGCGGAAAAGGAAGCCACTGCAAAAGAATTAGTCGATAAAGCAAATTCTATAACAAATCCCTTAGAGCACCTAAATTATTTTCACAAATATGAAATGAAAAATAACCAGACCATTGAACTTTTTTGTACAAGAGCCAAAGATGCACAACCCGAATGTTTGTCTTGGATATTTGATATTATGGAGCGTAATATGAAATCTCTATATGAACAATGCGATTGGGGATGGGATCCAATTGCCAAACAACAAGAATTAACAGAACCAACTGCTTGGTATTTAATAGCATCTTTGAACAATACGTTTCTTGGATTTTCTCACTTTCAGTTTACTATAGATCATAGGGAAGAAGTATTATATTGGTGTGTATATCTTATATACGCATGTCCTATACGGAATTGTAAAAGATAAATAAGTATTCTCTATTTTAATACAGCTACGAGATACAATTGGAATCAGTGGTAAGGCGAAAAGGACTTGGTCATTTCATGATGTCGGCCCTTGAATGTATGGCATTGGAATGCAAAATGCGTAAAGTTGTTTTAACTGTATTTAAACACAATCCATCAGCTATGCAGTTTTTCTTTTCTCTTGGGTAATGAAATTTATTTTACAGTTATAATATAAAAAATTACTAAGTATCATAACAATATATTTTATCATTTTTTAACTTTATTACAAGACATTTTTATATTTTTTTAATGCAATATACATACATCGCAGATGTAAAAAATTACATTTTTCGAAGTATCGATACGACTAGTATGAAAATGTATTTTTATGTTATAGAATCTAAAATTTTTATATTTACCGTCACTGTGCTAACCATCTTAATTAAATGCTTCTAATAACAAGAAATAGTCTGTATTTGATAATTGTGCACGTTAAGTGTTACAATTGAACAATCATAAGGGGAATTGTTTTGTTACGAATTTTTATCATTAATGATAACAAAATTTATTTTTAAAGGTGTACGATTATTATTAAATGTAGATGGGAATGGCATAGTGTTATTTAATGCTACTTATACTTAATTTGATAAATATCTTCAAAATGTTAGGTAGTAAAAATTGTAGACTAGGCTAGTTCACTGTACACAGTACACAATATGTGTTTATAAGCGATCTAATTCTGCTCAAGACTGATCTGTACAATCGAAACAAAACTACTTTTATCTTATTGATTTTGTAAGGTGTTTATATTTTTGTATTATACATAAATTTGTTTTTCGATTAATACTGTTACAGTTACAAGCTGGATAAAACCAGTCCATCGGCGGTATCCGATCAATTACACTATATTATTCTGAGTAAGGCCGTTGATACTGGATCAATGAGCAAGAAAAAGAGCTAACTTTGTATCAAACTATATAAGAATAAAGTAAGTTTTTTAAAACTTAAAATTCTGGTTTATGAAATAAAATTGGTAATATTTGATGCGGACATAAATTAACGATGGGTGACTTTAAAGATGGCCCTACATTATGGAATGTAAGAGGAGCCTCACTAATAATCCAGTTATCTATATAATTAAGGAACTTTGTTAAATCAACTTCTCCAGATTTAGAAATATTGAAATACCGTGTATAAGAATCGTCATTCCAACACATATCTAATGCAGCTTGATGCAAAACCATACCAATACCCTTACCGGCTCCTTCGGGGATAGGAAACACTCGGAAGCTAACGATACTTAAATCTACAGGCAGATCATAACGGAGAGGCGAAAAATGTGCATTTAGATCAAAAGGTAAAAACTTTTGCGGATGCATTGCAATTATCGGATGTAGCAATTCTTCTGATGCTAAATGACCATATAGCGATAATAAACCTGCCGGATGATTTGTTGCCGGTGACGAAAATTGACAAAGGGGCTTTTTCTTTTCAAGAACAAGCATGAACAAATGATTTGTCAATAGGTTGTCGGTTATACCTTGACCTAATCCTCTGTTATCATCTTGAAGTAATCTTCTATCTTGCATAATCTATATACAAGTATTTTATGTATTAGAACAGTTTTATTTCTATTTAAATTGGCGGGAATATTAAATACATACTTCAATTTGTCCGGATGCCATAGAACTTACACCCAACGGTTGTGCCGTTACTACTGTTAATCTAACTTTCTTATCCTCTATATATGCACTTGCTGCCATTGGATAATAGTTTCCTTGTGTAGGAAGTTTTGGAAACCTTTGGCGTTTGATCATCTAAACAATGATTATGATTTTAAATATATTTATTAGTTTCTATTTACGTATACGTAATAAAATATTGATCGTTTGATACTTACATTAAGCCCGTTTAAATCTGTGAAGAATTGATCGCCCGATGCTATATCTGTACTCAGTCTCATAGCAAGTTCATAGTTTTGTGTTTCTGATATATCAACCTCATTAAGTATGTGTAATCCAAGTCCGTCGCCACCGGAAGAATTGTACAATGTACAAATATGACGTACATGTGCCAATTCTACAAATACTTTAGATACAATGGGTCCATTTATTAAGTGTACAATACACTTATTGTCCGTAAATACTAAATCTGGTTCTGGTTTGTCAGGTAAAAATAAGTAGGCTCCACTTTTATCTTTACCGGAGCCTCTAGTGCCATATTTGACAAATTCCAAATGAACGGGAAATGTTGTATTACCGACCCTCAAAGCTTTTAAGAGACCTGATTTTCCAAACGATGCCGACAACTCTGGCCGTTGCGTTATCGAAAATTCTTGGGCATTTGGTATTACTTGAATTTGATTAAAACCAGGTATTTTTGGAAGATTTACATCCGTGTTAAAAACAGTCACATTCGCAAGGTGTACATCCCTATATACAAAAAAAAATTAAAATATTAAATTGCTAGAATAAGTGTGAAAAGATCCGAGTAGAAAAGTATCATACTGTGGAAACGATGATTTAGATAGAGTATGAATTATATATGTTGTAATACCAAATCCAGGTACTGTTACTAGGAACGATAACTCATATCTAGCAGCAGTTAATGCAACAGGACCAATCCAAATTGGAGATATTTGACATTGTACTGGTTGACCCATACGATCTGTGACTTTGACAAATGGTGTTGAAATAATTAGTGTTTGAACTTTCGCCCTTTGTCTTGGAAGAGAATTGTATAAGATAACTTTTTTCAAAGGATTTTCATCTCCTAATATAAGTATATGTTTGTCTCCAGCGCTAGTATGACGTAATCTTTAACATAAAAATTAAATATTTTGCATATTAAAAATAACAAATATAGAAATTGTAATTTCCAAAAATGTTATAGAACTTCGTTCGAACCTAGATTCATCGAGTGAAATATACACAGCGTCCGCATCGATTGTAAATTCTTGAGAAGTTTTCAATAAATGTACTACAGATTGTTGAAGTACATGAGCTGAATTGTTCAAGGCAATTATCATTTTTTTTGCATAATCTATAACTACTTCGTCTCTGGCAGTTCCAGTAACACCATCATGATGTTGGAACAAAGAATGCCACATCCTTGCTTTGCTTAAACGCTGGGCAATAGTGCCTTCCACTAATTTATTATGATCTTTAGTCCAAGCTATGGTATTTAATATCTCTGATGCTCTCAGTAAACTTAATAATACACGATCTAGTCGTTTGTGGAAAGGCCTAAAATGCACCTAATAAATATTTCTTGATAATTATTTATAATCAATACGGATTTAAGTATACCTTGATGTATAGTATCCGCTCCAATAATGATCGTCTCTGTCAGAATATGTAAAAAAGTCTCCAGACAAAGTAGGAAATTCACTTAAATTATACTTCTCTCTAACTGTATCAAAATAATCGCTTAACGTTCCAAATTTAATTTGAACATTCATTTGTTGATTTTGATTCATATAATCAAAAAGCTTTTGATAGTTGGTATATTGAGCGTCCCATTCTGTAAAATGAGTGTATCTAAAGTCATCTCCAAGTGGCGCTAATACTACGTCGGTCTTAAAAAGTTGAGCTTTTTTGCGATATTGATCTAGCAAAAGAGCAGCTCTTTCTGCAACATTTGCTCTAGTTATAGCTCGCGGAGCTACCTTCCATGGACAAATCAATCCAAAACTTTGAAGTCGAAAGAAATCAAACTGACAGCATACTTTTGGATCTGGGCCGCAAGTATGCGGCACATCGTAACTATAAAATGGCATGACATGCGTAAATATTTCTGTTGATCCATCGTTATCCCATAGTTGCCTCCATCGAAATTCTAAACGTTTTTGTTTAGCCAATCTTTTTTTAACCGAATAATGAACCCTTTGTATCAGCACATTTTTCAATCCAGCATTCTTCAAAAGATATGGCATAGTCGGAGAAAGACCAAACGGATCAATCGCCCAGCCTGAATTTGGTGTATAATCTAAATTATATTTTAGCCACTGATGACCTTCCGTAAGTTGCGTGAGTTGAGCTATCCAGTGAGAAACAGATTCATCGGGCATGACCCATCCTCCCGTTACAATTTCCAACTGGCCGTCATGAATTAAACGTCGAACCAAATTACGCGTAGTCTTAGATTGATCTTCCCACCAAAGTTGAAAAAATGATATTTCTGCCCAAATAAATTTACGTCTTCTATCTTCTACTAATTTTTTAACCATATTATTTAGTATATTTCGAGTTTGAAACGTATAATATTTTTCGAAGGTGCTAAGCCAACCAGGATCATTATGAGAATGCGGCACTACAAAAACCTTTAACTTTCTATTTGGATGCCATTGCTTATCGTCGTACGTAATATCCCACCCTTGTTTCCAAACTCCGCCATCGACATTATCAAATTCTAATTGTTTGTACATCATTAACATTTGTACATCTACTTCTGGTACTTTTTGTATATTAAAATTACATGTAAATACTTTTCCTAAATGGGAGGAACTTGAAGATATAGAATGATTATAACGATTTATAGAGTGAGCTATGGGAACAAAATTTTTTGCTTCTGCTACTTCCTGCAAAGCGTTCATGACTTCGTGATGTTTATTAAAATCTTTCTCTAGCTTTGCTAATCGGTTTTCAAAATGTAACCACTGATTCTAAAAACACACAATAAGAGATTTTATTTAACATGTATACATATACATATTATACGTATTGTAGACTTACATCGTTAACGGAAAGTTTGGATGCTTGTCCAGGTGGAAAAAGTGCTAGATCCATCATTAAATATATCATAATGCAACAGGCTAAAATTAAACCTGCCCCAAGAATTGCAAATGTTTTTCTAGTCCTCATACTTGTACGCTAATCAATCCAAGTACAGTGCTGGTTTGTATCAAATAAAACTGTTAACAATAAGAATATGTGTAAAAATGAAGTTTGCCGCCATATGTTTAGAATAAAATGTAAATAAAACGATTGAATCTTAACCTAGATCAACCATCACGTTTACAGGTTACATATCAGTTTTTGTTCAAAAGACTTCATTATTCACAGTAAAATGATAGGAGTTAAAGAAATATAATATTTTTTCAGCTCATGTAAAATGAAATTCATAAAAAAAACAATGTGTAAATGTTACACTCCTGTTTATTTTTACACTTCTACAATTGCAACTTACGCTGCTTGCAACCGCCGCCATATGTTTATATGATAGTATAGAGTTACTATCATATACTATAGATAAAGTACATATAGGGAGTGTTCGGTCGAATGTTCAAGTCTTCCAAGCGTTTATCATTGAGTACACGGTCCGATTTATAATCGTATATAATAATTTATACCATCTAAGGGGAAAGTTACCAATAGTTACTAGCACCGATTTTCCTCTTCTTCTTCTTTACAAACGTATGCAGTGTAGGTACTTACTCGAGTTAAATCATTTAACTTAAATGTGCGTTACTCGAGATTTGAGACCAACATACGTCGTAATAAGTTGAACGGATAGTGACACGGTAACTGAAACCTTAACTGAAACATTACGTTTTTTATTGATGTTCCAATAATTTTTAGGTAATAACAAAAGTGGGATTCATATGTCATTCTTCTTTACTAGTTCAAAGTACTTTGCCAAATTTTCAACACGCATGTACAAAAAAGGCGGTAGTTTAACACGTTGACAGCAAATCAACACTAAGGACCTCTATTGGTCAACTTGCGCACATGCGCATACAAATTTAGTTTCGCAAAAACGGCGAAGTGTCGGTTCTGTATGTTATTCTGCATTGACTGTGTTGCTAGATAAACCGCTTGTTTTGCGCATGCGCAGCAAAAACAGTACCGTACATATCCAATGTCATGGAAACCGGGAACTGTTTTGGCGGGTTTCCGCACACGGCAGCAACAGGTATGATAGGGCAGAACATTTAAAGTAAGTATATCGGTATTAGTATTATTTATTAAGTAAAACTGACATTTTACATATTTATTTCAACATCTCGTCTTGCTTTATTATCTTTTTTATGATTATTTTCTGTAAATTCTTTAATATGTCATATTGTTTTCTAAATAAAAAAATTATTTTTATGTAAGGGAGGTGTATACACACACCGCATCTTATTTTACATCACGCTTAATACTCATTCGTCACAAACTTTTATGTAATTTTCGGTAAAACTAAAACAAGGGTTCGTACGTCACCCATTCTCAATCAAATAAAGCACTTTACTGATGTTTTTAACGCGCATGCACGAGAAAACCCGGCCCGTTTGGCAACACAGTGCGTCGATGATATGCGCGATTTGAGAAACGAGATCACTCATCCACACGACAAACCGGCAATATCCAAATAGATTTATTTACAACGCCATAGAAGAAAACCTTTTGTAACCAAAGTCATTTCTTCTTGGTTTTATAGCGACTATTTTTTATTTACCATGGAACGATTGATAAGACATTTATTTACATGTCGTTTACCTCAGAAAGGCGACAGAGTATATAAGGACGAATGTGTTTATTCTTTCGACACTCCAGTAAGATATTATGACAACTATATAGTTAGATACGGTAATAGAACGACGTAATGATTTTACTCATTGCTTCTCTTGAAGGATACCTGTACTGGCCTTTACGTCAGTTTATCCACATTTTTGGGATTAGGCCAGGATCACGTACAACGTTATTATCAATTAACCAAGAATCCTGTATTTCTACACATTAAACGAAAAAGGGAAGAGGTAGATCGTTTGTTAAATTAAAAAGCATATGTTTAAAAAAGATTTACCATTATAAAATATTGTGTTTGTTGTATATTTATTTTAATGAACATAAAATTTGTGACAAAAATATTGTCTTTTTATAGATACCATCTGAACATCAAGGAGATGGGCCCGATAAAAAAATTACAAGACTAGCTATAGGAACACCCGATGGATTTATACCAGATCAACAAAAATATATTTATCACGAATCTTACCAAATTGTTATTCTACCAGATTTCGAAACAATACCTTTTCCGACAAACGATTTACCAAAAATAGTATGTTTGACATGAAAATACAAGAAAATGTTAAAGCAATATACAAGTTATACGAAACTTTTTCCAGGTGGAATTTATTATTGAATGTGTATTAGAGGCAGAATCTGCGACAAAAGTAGCACAAGTAGAAGAACTGCTTGGATCCTGGGATGGAGAAAGAAAACAGGTTTCAAAGTGAGAACATAAAGTATTGATGTAAATATATTTTTGTCAGTGTTGTTTATAAATATTAAATCTTCAGACATGCAGCAAATCTTAAACAATTAGACAATGGAAAGAAAATACCTCCAAGTGGATGGAAATGTGAAAAGTGTGATCTTACTCAAAATCTGTGGCTTAATTTAACCGATGGTAGTATTCTTTGCGGGCGTAAATTTTACGACGGAACAGGAGGAAACGATCATGCGGTTGAACATTATCGAGCCACCGGTTATCCATTAGCTGTAAAATTAGGAACTTTGACTAAAGAAGGAAAAGGAGATGTGTTTTCGTACGTGGAAGATGATATGGTCGAAAATCCAAATTTAATATCACATATAGCCCATTGGGGTATAAATATTGCTCAAATGGAGAAAACTGATAAATCTATGGTAGAACTAGAATTGGATCTCAATCACAGATTTAGCGAATGGGTTGCGCTTCAGGAAGCAGCGAGTAAATTAACACCTCTATATGGACCTGGATATACGGGACTTGCAAACTTGGGAAACTCTTGTTATTTAAATAGTACCATGCAAATGTTATTTGTGATTCCAGACTTTGTTAAAAGGTTTTGTTTAAAGGCTATTATTATTATAATTATAATATCTGTCTGTCTTAAAATAAAGTTACATGACTTTCGTCATAAGAGGATTAATTATGTAGTAACTGAAAATGATTTTCAGGTTTGTAGATTCTGCGCCACAGATATTTCATGAAAGTTATACCGATCCAGCAAATGATTTTAATGTTCAGATGTGAGTTAAGAGAATATGGAACTATTTAACATCTGAAAGAGAATTTTAATTTGTGTCCATTAAGAGGTATTGATGTTGTAGGGCCAAACTTGGAATTGGTTTGCTGTCTGGTAAATATTCAGAACCACCAAAAACAAATAATGAGGAGGAATTGCGCCAAGGTATTTCTCCGTGGATGTTCAAGTCCTTGATTGGTCGTGGACATCCCGGATTTTCTTCAAATCGGCAACAAGATGCGCAAGAATTTTTCCTTCACCTAATAAATGTTATTCATGTAATTTATGGAGCATTATATTTTTGACAAAGTGCTTAACAAACAGATTGCTTTATTTTATTGTATCAATTCATATTAAGTTTAAATTCTGATACTAATATCAGTGTATTAATCCAACAGCGTCATTGTCGTCACAAAATGAATCCTACCGATTGTTTTAAATTCAAAGTTGAGGAAAGGTATCAGTGCGGTCGTTCTAAAAAAGTAAAGTACAATTATCGTCCAGAATACCTTTTACCGCTTCCAATACCTTTAGAAACTGCAATAAATAAGGTAATAGGTTTCTATAAACGTAGTCTGTATGTATGTATACGTTATATTTAATAAACACGTTTGTATGCAGGAAGAAGTTGCAGCTTATGAAGCTTTAAAGAAGGAAACTGAAGCGAAAGGTCAGACATTAGACTCGAATACATTGGTTAGGCCTCGTATAAAGCTTTCGTCTTGCCTGCAAACGTTTATTCGGTCTGAAACAGTGGAACAATTTTATAGTTCAGCATTGAATGAAAAAACAACAGCACAAAAGTAAGTAATAAATTGTATAGCATCTACAGTACGCAATCAATAAATGAAATTATTTTTTACAGAACAACTAGACTTGCCAGTTTTCCAGATTATTTATTAATACATTTAAAAAAATTCACGGTAAGAGAAGATTGGACGCCCGTTAAGTTAGACGTGGCAGTCGAAATGCCCGATATGTTGGATTTAAGTTCTCTACGGGGTAATGGCCTGCAACCCACAGAAGAATTATTACCAGAAACAGCTGGTTCTGAACCTCCGCCAATTGTTTACAATTCCGCGTTATTGAATAAGTTAATAGGTATAGGATTTCCACCGGAAGCTTGCAAAAAAGCTCTATACTTCACCGAAAATTGTGGTTTTCAAGCGGCCGCTGACTGGTTAATAGATCACATTGGTGATTCAGATCTTGCGGACCCCTTTGTACCTCCTGGTATTGATGCGAAACCAGGTGAAGTGTCGTTGTTTTGATTTTGTAAAGTTTTCATGTCTCTTGTATTTCTACTAATTTAGTAAATAATATTTTAGAAAAAGATAAATTTGTGGCAAACGAAGATGCCGTGGCAATGGTAATGGGAATGGATTTTACGAGAGAACAAGCAGTAAAAGCTCTTAAAGCTACCGATAACAATGTAGAGCGTGCTGCGGACTGGATTTTTAGTCATCAAGCTGAATTAGATGGTTTAGAAATTGAGGATGAGTCAGGACATTCCGAGGAAATATTTAGAGATGGAAGTCATCGTACGTTTATTGGTATTCCGAACAATGTATACATTTTGTTCTTGAAATTTTATAATTAATTATTTATTGTTTTAGAATATAAGTTGGTGGGCTTTATATCGCACATGGGAACATCGACGATGGTAGGACATTACGTGTGTCATCTTTTAAAAGATGATCGATGGGTGATATACAATGACGACAAAGTATGGACTGAAAATATACATTTTATAAATTTAATAATATGCTCATAAAAATCATCTGTTGCAGGTTGCATTATCTGAAAATCCACCCAAAGAATTAGGGTACATATATCTATATCAACGCCTCGATTAGATTATACAATTGTTTTGTATAAAATATGTATTCTATTACACTTTAAAAATAAAAAATATAACAGGCAGGAGAATTTCATTTTACAACTAATGGTAAAATGTACGAATAGCCTGTTTTTTTTTTCTTCTAAAACGTAAGTGCACATAAATATTTAAATATTTGTTTATTTTTCAACAATGGCACCATTTTACAACGTGTATAGCGCTTTATATTCTTTTCTCGAATATAAAGCATTACTATCGCTTTCATTAGAAGTTACTATAGTTATATTAAAATATAAAACATTAACGTAATTAGACATTTTTAAATGTGATAACTATATAATGACAAACTTTCAATTAACAATAAAGTCTTGGTTATCTTTAGTTATTTAATTCAAATACATATTTATAAACGTTGAAATTTTCTTTGAAAATCAATTAGCAGCTTTCATATAAATCATATTATACAAATATCTTATTATACTTTGATGCGGTGTACAAACTCCCTACGATAATGTAAAAATACTTGGTCAAAAATACTTTAAGTAGAAGGCCACAATAGTGAAGAACATTTAAGGCTACTGTATCAAATTCGGATTTTCCTCCATTTTTTTTTTTTAAAGACGATATTGACAACTTTCTTAGCTGTTTGAGTGTTATAAAGCAGCGTAATCTCACTCTTTAAATTTTGTTGCTGAAGTATAAGTTTAATAGTCGCTTGGCACTTTTCGCATGTATTCTCCTAATCACATCAGTCACTTAAACGGAGAAACTTCGTATCGTTACAATTTCATATTTTAGAAATTATTCACATAAGTAATGCCATTGCTCGTAATTTAATATGCATTACTCCGAATGAATATATCTCAATACGTATTTACAAATGAAAATCAATTTCGTTAGACATTAATTGTGACAAATCCTTTCCATACAGTCACCTTTCTTTACTGTTGAAACTTTCGGGTGAAAGTCTCGACAGTAAAAGCTGTACGATACCGGGGCATTAAAGCCTCATAAAATCTTTGAGTCATCATTTGATTATCCGGTTCATTATTCACAACCTTATCATTTCAATTGTTTGAATTCCTAACATAATATTATTTGTACATTAAAAAATGCTTAAGAATATCTTCAAAACACGAATAAAAGCTTCAAAAAATGCTTCTATAAAAGCGTTAAAAATGATTGAACTTCAATATTCACTGTGGAATATTAAAAGAGCAGTTTAAATATTATTTTAACTAGCTGTTCTAATTTGAATCCTTGTGTTGGCACACCCATCGATTATCCCAATCGATGGTGGAATTGCAAATATAATATTATCACCGTCTTTTTTAAACGTTGGTTCGTTAACTTCAGGATGTACTTCTACCCGTAATACTTTACTTTTGTTCCCTAACATACATTTAAATTTTACATCCACCGTGACTTGTAGATCAGCCGAACGTAATCTATTGTAAAATATATCACATTAATAATTTATTATTATTATTTAATTAAGAATCTATTTAACAATATTCATATATACTCACTGACTATATCTGTTGCTTAAAATACCAACGAGTTCCCCGACTTTGTCGTCATTAGTAATAATCGACATGATGAAGTCATTTCCTCGATTTGAATGAATCGTTATAAGCTGGTCCCTTCCAGGCGATATGCTTAACCCAGTGATTTCAGCTATTGGCATACCCTTTTTCATACTTTTGCATTTAGAGCTTTCAAGCTTATATATCGCATATTCTGTTACTACCAGTACACGATCTTTTGGTTTATTAAATCTACAATTCATTTATAAAAAGATTAGAAGAATGCGTAAAATATACAGTACGACCATCTATTCAAACCTGTTAGTCTTCCTAATAAATGCACTGAATAAAACAGTCTTGAAATGATCAGTGTTGCGCAGATTATTTATCGAAGAGTTAAAAATATCGCTTTGAGGGTTTTCGTTCGGTTTAGAAAGATAATTTCCTTCCCATCGCCTGTCCTGCCCCCAATACTGTCGTTTTGAACGCAGAACTATCCCCGCGGACATCTAAAATTATCAAATTTATTCGTTATGTATAATATACTTGCACGCAATAATAGTAGAAAACACCCATATACCTTTAACCGTAGTTGTGGCCAATCGTCTCTAGGGATAAGTTTAAGAATCATCCATGCCCACCATCTCTCATACATCAGCTTCAAAGCACGTAGTACATGCATGATGGCAAAATTTTCACGGGGCCAAATTAAACGTTTCCCATAATCTCGCATCGTCTTTGCATTTCGGAAAATCTTTTCCAATTCATTAACATAAGTACGTATTTTATATCTTCGATAGTGTTCCATTATAACTAGCGCGGCTTTCATTTTTTTATACTTTTGACGACATAAATATCCTCTCCATTGTTTTTGCAGCAATATCACGATACCCGGTATCAAATCGCTACGTGCCTGTAAATAAACGGGAGTTGAAATTACCATTCTTAACTCCTGACTCGTGACAAAGATTTTGGCCCAAACGTAAACATCACGAGTCAGGCTCGCGGACAGCAAATCACGATCGTGATCGAGTTTTAGTTTCTATCGGTACGCCACAAGAATCGGTCGCGATTCTTATGACCTCTGTTACAAAGCAGTTTAGCATCAGTCTGGTCTGTTTACCGCGCGTTGATGCCTGCCGTTTGGGCCCGTATTTCGTCGAGCTAAATGGTACGGGAAGTGGTTAATATGCATAAACGTTAATTGACAAACCTTTTCTAACGCAAAAAGTGTTTGAGGCGAACGTATAAATATTTTAGTGTGACCATATTTAACGTCATTACCGAAGCCTTTTTCATCCAACAAAGTACGGACGCCGTCTTTATCACTACCGCCTCTAAAATTTGGCCATGTGTATTGGGATATCATTTTATACCTAATCAAGACAGTTTTATTAGTGATACGATAAAATTAATTTTGTCATCGTGTAATTGTAATACAATACCGTTTTAAAAATATATCATATCGTTGGCGATACGCGAAACCGGCACGCCTGACCAATATATTTTCGACGAGACCCAAATATCGTACTTGATGATTTACTCTTTCTTCGTCAAATACGACAGGTGATTTAACTTCATTCGGTTTTATGCATCTAACATAAAACGGTTCTTTGCTTGTTAAATTCTTAACCAGAGCTATCATGGAATTGCGAAATAGTGTTCCAGCTGTTAAAGGCCTTTTTGTTGTCTGAAATAAGTTTGTGTAAATATAAATAAGAGAAAGTTTGCATTTAATGTTCATGCGCGATGGTAGATTTCATTTATTCATATACCTTAAAAATATTTTGAGCGCCTTCGGGCCACATTTTACTAATTATTGGATTACTGCTTTTGTAAAGTAAGCGTTTGAAGTCCTGGAATAACGTATCTTTGTTTTTATCTAGAAAACCGTTTACATTATATATTACATCTCCGGCGTAATGTTTAATCTTAAATTGAATTTTATGTTGAAGTTCTTTATCCATTGGTTTCAATTGTCGGGAGGAATAATGCTTATGATCGAGTAACTTTTTATCCATAGCTTCCAAGAGCATCTGAAAAATTTTTATCATAAAATAACAGCGACTTCTTTCATTAAAACCAATAAGATACGAAAACCAACTTCATCTGTAACTTTGCCAACGTTAAGACAGGCTTCGTCCATAATTGCTATAATTCCTTTATGTTGCTGTTCTACTAGATCACAGATTATTTGATTGTTGAAATAATCAATATTTTGCCACGCTATCCCCTCTCTTTTATATTCTTCTTGTTCTTGTTTTAACACCAATTCTAAAACATTAAATGTAAGTTTTATTTTTTTATAATATAATTTTACATCAAACTTCCTCACCAATGAATAGTTGTTGTAATTTTTCGTTACAATAATTGATGCAAAACTGCTCGAAGCTATTTACATCGAATATTTCAAATCCATATATGTCAAGTACTCCAATAACTGTTCTGTATCTTTGAACATTTTCTGAATCATTTACATTAATTGCGGCATTGACACGCGATACAATATCAGTGAACAACCTTTCATATATAGCCTGAAAATTTTTAATGCAAATTATAATTTCTTATAATTAATATGTACAGTATTTATATATTTACTAACTAGCAAAAATAAACGCTATGTAGAAATGTTACCTTTGCTAAAGCATCTCTTCCGTACTCTGCCTCTATCGAAGTATGAGTTTTTTGCATAACTTCTCCGCCTGCTGCTATTACTCTTTGTGTAAGAGCAGTACTTAATTCCTGCGGGCTAATGGAAAACAAATTTGCTGTATCATTTAAAGCACCTTTGTTCTGAATAAAGAGTTTGTCCTCGTCAAGTTTAAAGGTAATATTACCCTACGCGAAACAAAAATTCATGTAAAAGGTAAATTAACGAACATTGTTTTTTTTACAATTTTATTGATGACAAACCAAATGTAGTATGCCAGCAATGACATTCCAAAGTGTTTGCATCTCGTTTTGTGTAAATCCAAGAATGGACATAGCAGAGGTAACAGTTTTGTAATCGCTTTTATCAGTTGAACTCGCTTTATTGCAATTTTCGGCACCGATATAGAAATATGCAGCTGGGTCACGTACTAGTCGTAGTTTATTTAATTCTCCTTCGCTACAGCCATTCAATAACTATAAATATCGAAAAAAGTGTTTTGCTTATCACGAACAATATTAAGCGACAATGTTTAAAAATAGAATTACCAGCATATACCTGATAAAAGCAATGAAAATTACGTTCACCGTTTTGTTGATATACAACTCTTGACTTTTCCAGCAAGTAATTAGTAACATGACCGCCAATTGGATCTCCTTTATAATTAAAATCTATATCCATATACTTTCCGAATCGTGACGAATTATCATTTCTATTTGTCTTTGCATTTCCAAATGCTTCCAATATGGAATTCGATTGAATAAGAATATTTTTTACTCTGACATACAAGAAAAAATAATTTTAAACGCTATAAATATAAAACCCTAAAGACAAGCGAAGTTGTTTTATTGCAATTTCACTTGCTTAAAGTAATGTACAGTGACCTACAACAATTTAACTACAGTAAATTATAATTCTACTTTATTCTTGAATGACTTGTATGTATACCTTTCTATTTCTTGCTGGCCACTTAAATTTGTGACTGCAGCGATATATTTCATAATAATTTTACTTGCTTCTGTTTTGCCAGACCCTGATTCACCGCTTATTACTATGCAAGTGTCACGGCCTTGTTGTTTCATTTCCCTATGCACCGCATCGGCAATTGCAAAAATATGTGGTGGGTTTTCAAATAGTTCTCTATCTGAAATATAAGCATTAAAAATATTATAGTTAGAAACTAACATATTCGATGCAATGTAATAATTATTGAACATAATTATTTACCTTTATATTTACTAATATGATCAGCATCGTATATATTTATGCTTCTGTAGGGATTTATACTGACACATACTTCTCCGATATATGTGTAAATTTTGCCGCCATTAAATCTAAAACAATCGCATATGAATAATAACGATATTGTAAGTAAACGATTAATAAAAGTTACTTTGAAAATATACGACATATCAACGAGATGTTATCGCTTTTTTTGCTGTACAAGTCAATACTGTTAGAGTAATTGGCTGCTATTTGTGAAAGATAAACTTTATCTAGTTTATCAATAATAAGCAATATAAATCATCTATCTTTGTTTCTTAAACATCTCGTTTTCTTCGTATCATAAACTTCGTTAAAAATAGAATATATAGTTTATTTACAGATTATCGTGTTTAAACCGACAACGATTAGCAGCTAATACCAGATCAATTTTCCTAGTCAAGTTCTTAATTAATAAGGAAGAATTTATATATTAATATTTAATATATATTAGAACACATTAATCAATCGCTTTCCCTTCTGAAATAATCCTCATTTAACAAATATTTTACATGTACGCATAAGACCGAATAGCCTAAAATTAAATATATGCGCTATACAATCGAACGGTCTGTTATGGTAACATACATGCATACGAACTGAAATCGATGACTCATAGAATATAGACCCTGATAAGACTTAAAAATTGTTTATTGTAAAACTAAGAGTTGCGTTCCAACATATATTACTAATTTATTTTGTACAGAAACATAATTAAAGATCTATTATAGATTATGGATTTTACATAAGTATAAAAATATATGAAGAAACGTGAACTCATGGCTGCTATATGTATATTAGATAAATGTAACGAAATCGTGACTAAATGAAACATATTATTGATTGACAATGATTTTAATGTATCGTTACAATACTTCAATTCAACAAAGTTTTGTGGGTCAAGATCAAATCTAAATACATCGATCGTTTGAACCACCTGCTAATATACGGTTAACCACGCCCTCTTGGTGGATGATCCATGAAGTATCAACAAATCAACAGAATTCATGTAAGATGCCTGTCACGTTTCTTTAGAAAAGGGAAACTTGCCTTTCCTGAATTCCCGCCAATTTTCTCGTTACTAGCTACTACTATATATGATCTTACCTGATTTGTAAATTGTCTACAACCTTCTCCACAGTAATCTCATTCAAAAGAACCAAATCTCCGATACCAACTTCTTGCACTGCCATTTTTTTTCCCAATAATACATGCACTTGTGGAATTTATGGTTTCATACAATTATAAGCGTATACACAGTCCGTTGCGTGTCGGAGACCAGCTCCTTCCTTCGATCTGTCCTTAGTGCCAAGCGAATAACGAATGCGATTAACCGAAAGTTGCAACCAATTGCAACCTATCTTTTGCCCCTCCATAAGGTCATAACGCTTACAGTAACGTTACAACGATACTCATTGTTATCTACTTCGTTAAAGTGGTAAATTAGATATATGACTTCATAAATGTATTTTATTATCAGAAAATAGATAAAAGGAAGTAACTGTTGTCTCGGTGTAACATACAGTCTACTATTTAATATTCACGTAATTTGTAAAGATTTTAATGCATTGAGTAGTTTTCCTATTGTAACATATTTTTTAATTTATATTATTTTGTTAAAAATCAGTGCCTTAAGGTACTTAGAGGAACGAAGTTAAATAACTTCTATGTTAATAAGATGAAAAAATAGTCGTGACGTTGTGACAGCCCTGAAAAGGCAGGTTTCTCGTGACGCATGCGCAGATAGAGCGTAATGTTTACGCATACCAGTTTATGTATCTCATGTATTTATATACACATTATTATTCACTGTTATTTTTGACAGTTTGTATGTTTTGTTATTCATAGTCTTCTGTGTGATCGGTTGAAACGTGTATTTCTTTCCCATAATCGGAGCTATACAAGATGATTGAGAAGAAGCCGGATTTGTATTTGAATGGAAGTAATAAGTTAGTGCAAAATGAAAATTACACGGCCCCCGTGAGGTTATGGAACAAATTACAAATAAACGAGAGGACTTTTAGTTGTTTGCTCTTCATGATGTCGTTATCTGTCGTTTTGGGGAAATTGTATGTCAATTACGGTGAGACACGCTTTGATAAAATATAATAACACTATTCGTTTTGTTAATGAGTTTATTTTGTGGAGTTTCCGTTTGTCAATATACGTTGCATATGCTGTGATTTGAATTTATTGAAATTGTCACGTATAATGCAAAATAGTGTCCTTTGGTTGATATTATATTATAGTAAATTAGTTATCGATCATTATTTTAATATCCTAAATATTATTTTAATATATTTCAATTTCAAACTATTCATAATTTATAACTAATTTTTATAAATCGTTGAAGCAAGTTCGGCAAGTTAGTTTGTTGAAAAATTGCATGTTTTAGAAGTATACTATAAATATCATTAGTGTTGACATTTTAATATCATCTATTTAGGGAATATTTTGCAGTTAGAAAATAATTCTAAATATATAGTATCATCGATGTCTACGTTTCCAAACATCTCTAATATATTTGATTTGTCACCCGATGCATCACAATTCAGCATAAAAAAATTAACAGCTATGAGTGAAAAGTTTGTTAATATTAGTCAATATGATGATGTAAATGTTATGTCATTGGTCTTTAAACCATATGGTTGGCTGATAAAAGCAGCAATGAGTGGTCTCATAATGATGAGTTTTACTTGGTTTATAATTTACAAAGATAGCAGTGTACCTGGTATCAATCCACCTTCCCCTTTTAGCCCTTCTAACAAAGGGTAAGTTTTTATGTGAAATAATCATAATCATAAATATTGATTATCAAATCTGCTTTATATCTATTAACATCCGTTGTACATTTTTCAGATTTGCAAGGGCATCTGGAATACAAATGAATTACTTAGTCGGATTATTGAACGGAATATTAATTTTCATTTACATGTGTCTTTAATGTACCAAAAGTGTCGTAATGTAGGAATGTGGGTGCAATTCACAAAACATTTTATCACGCAACATTCTTCATTAATTATATTTATTTGTTATTTATGTTAACTAACAATATTATTTTTAAATTTGTTCTATTTCTGGTTATTATCGTATTTAATTTAACAATGGGCTTTAAGTATTAAGATAGGTAATTTATGTTATGAAAAATTCAATAATATTTTTTGTAGAAAAGAATGTTTACATGGTAGGAATAAATTTTGTATATAGAGTGCATTGTACAATTATGGCGGGTTATATCTGAAATTTGATAAGAGATAGAAAAAAAATTGTTGAGGTAAAAGATGAATGATACAGTAATATTACTAATGTTCATGACTTCCAGATGAATGCAGCATCTAGATTCAGTTCGTCGCCGACGTTTTGCAAACGTTATAGTTTGCATCTTCAGGGCTATTTGATTCTAATATGATATGGCAATATCTATTTTTCTATGATTTTATTTTATATCATCAACTTTTCCCTCAACAATGTTTGTCTATCTCTTATGAAATGTGAGACATAACTCACCTCGATTGCATAATACCTCTGTATAGCAAGATATTTTTAAATAGAAAAGTTGTATTTTCTTCAACATATATGTTAAATTAAGAAAAATGTTAATCTTACAAATAACTAACATTAACATTGAAATGAACAAAAGTTTCGTTTACATAAGATTCTATGTTACAAAAGGACATGATCAACTAGATTCTATTAAAAGCATAATATGCAAGGTTATAACATGTAATACTTAATATATAAAATGTAGCAAAGTACAAAATCATATTATCACCGGTTAAATTTTTATTTTTTGTACAATCTAAATCTCCCGCTATTTAAGACTGATAATATATTTGTAAAATTCGTATTTATTAATATAGTTTAAGTTTTGGATAGCCAAACATAAAGTATTATATGTGGTACCTCTTGATGTTATGTGTGTGCACAATGTATTGCCATAGCTCTTTAGTAATTATTATAATTATAGAGTATAATATGAATCAAATTAAAAACGCTTTAAAAAACTTGTTATTATTTACACGGTTTTTGGCGCCATTTGGCGACGCAATGTATATTGTAATAAATCACTGCTTTTAGTAGCCCACTGCTCGATAATTTCCTAATTACACTTTTCCTGGGATTAATTTATAAATTAAAATTACAAGTTGTCAATTACAATCATTTTTAGTCAATAGACATACCTCCGAAATCCTACGCATTTTCGAGAAAAAACTTCCTCACCGAAAATATAATGTTTGGCCAGAAATATTCGCTCGAAATTTCATGCGTATGTTTAAAACATTTAGAACTTCTGAACGGATTGAAGGATCTTAATGTTTCAAGTTGCAAACAACGCGTATTTCGATGGAGAATATGTAGAAATGCTTTATATATACCTATAAGTATTCCATTATTGAAATAATGATTCTTTAATTTTATGTTGAGGGACAATTTGTCTATCAAAATTGCACAGATGTCGCTCGGTCACTCGTCATGGTCCGTGCTCCTTGATGGTTATAAGAGCCCCCCTGTGGCCCTCGCGGGGCAGTTATCTCCCAACCATCAAGCAAGACGGACCGTATCGAGATGAAGAATTTAATTGAAGATTTACATTCGATCAAAATCGAAGATGGCGGCCAAGGGACAAAACCGGTCTTTTTAAAGACCAAGAAAATCTCATTTTTGGGAACAACTTATGCAATAAAACTGAACATGGTATATTTGCCTATAGGCGAAAAATATACAAATACAAATTGAATTTATTGAATTGATATCAAATAAACATTCTTTGCTATAACATCAAAAAATTATTATTTGAAATAATAGAACAATTAGAAAATAATTTCAAAAGTCTTACTTGATAAACTATATTCAAACGATTTATTTCCAAAGTATTGTTTCATGTCAAACATGATCAGGGGGTCTTGAAACGTGTATTTACGTGTCAATTTTTCATTCATTATGGGCTTTGGTTATATATTTGTGCCCATATAACTTGAAACGTAAAAATGTCGGGGCAGTCGAGATTCGAAATTGTATGCCATTGACGCGAGGACGGACTTTCAGCTGTTTAAGAGCAAGAAGGAGAGTCTCCTGTTCACGTTCTTTACCGATTTCCCGAAGTTCCATGAAATGCTGATCGGGCGTAGCATGTGGCTCGTGCGGTAAGATGGCTGCTTTCCCCACCACTTCGTTGGACGCTAAGGAACTTCGTCGTCACTATTGTCGATTTCGATACACTCAATTATGCCCGATCTGGCCACAGTACTTCCGACTTCGGCTTAGTGAGCAGTAGTTGTCTATAGGAGTGCTATTCTTGTAAATTTTTCTACTCGGACGTATGGACTTATCACCGTATTATTTTTCTTAAATGATTATCGTATCCCTTTTTTCAGAGAACTGATAAAAATATCGTTTTTAGTTTAATACTACGAGTACAACACTAACAATGGATCATCAAATGTTTAAAATATACAATCAGGAAGATTTTAACCGAATTACAAGAGGGATCAAAGTTGCACAATGTATGCAATCGCGGTCATCATCTGGTAATTATATTTGGAACGTTTTACTTTATCCGAATTGTTTACCGTGTTGGATGATGTTTGTATACATTGCTATGATTAGAGTTATGCATTACATGCTTGTGTTTTGCATAATGAGAGATGCTTTAAGAACTTCGATCCCTTTTACTTTGTCATGTAATTACGTCATCGACTTGACACGATTAATATCTGTGTACTTTAAACTATTTCGTCAACGTAGGTCGTATATTTAAGGTTAAATGTTTTTTTAATGAATTTCAAAAACATAATAAACAATTGAATATAATTTTAAATGTGGTATGCAAATGTGTGCGGTTAAGAAACATCAACACTAAAACCGTTGTTTTATTACTTTAGTTTCAGAAACAGAAAGAGTATTAAATCAACTTGATGATTTAGTTGTGTCAGATTCATTGTGTTGTTCATTCTGCAATACTATATTTGAAGACAAAGCTCAACAGAGACTTCACTATAAATTAGATTGGCATAGATATAATTTGAAACAGCGTTTAAATGGATTGAAACCCATTAGCGAAGATAAATTTAATCTTTTAGCAGACGAAGGTATTTTAGCAATGAAAATGTAAATTTTTTTCATAGAATATAATGTCTTTGACCATAGAATACTTAATATTATTGATATTGTAGGCGATGTTTCGAGTCTATCTGGGAGTGATGTAGAGTCGGAAAATGAAGATGACCCGTATATCTTGGAGACAGGCAGTTCACCTAGTGGAAATTATGATAGTAAATGTATTATTAGTAAGAACAAAAAAATAGAGAAGAAAGCAAGAGGCACAGAATCAATTTCTGATAGTTCAGATGCTGAATGTTGCGACGAAACTATAAAAGAAAAAAAACTTGAAACTTTGTTAGCCATTGCGAGTCGTCATTCCAAAGTCTTCTTTGAGAACGACGATGGAAATATATTTAGCATATATAGGTGTTTACTTCATAGCAAGAAGGTCCGTTCGTTTGTATTGCTTAGGAGATATAGTTTTTCAGCCAATTTTGTATAAGCACAGACATACTTGTCTATGATCTTATCTTGTGATTTAATCTACTTTGTTAGAATCACTTGGCGTGTCTATACTTGCCAGATCAGGAGAGATCCAATTACATTTTAGGAAATTCCTGAGGTAGACAATGAGATGATAGCTCAAGCATTAAGCAGTGGGAGGAAAACTACATGGACGGTTATCATGATTGGTGGAGGACACTTTGCCGCAGCTGTATTCCAGGGTATAAATGTCATTTTATAACAAAATGTGGAGGTATACGTATGCTAATTTATATACATATTACATAAATAAGTATCTTGTTTCTTCAGATGGAGAACCCGTTGTGCACAAAACATTTCATTCTTACACTGTACGAGCAAAGCAAGGATTTGCTCAAAGTTCGCGTACAATGTTAAATACGAAAAGCGCTGGATCTAGTTTGCGCCGTTATAACGAAGCTTCCCTTCTTCAGGTACGCTGCTTATTAACTTGAATATTATTCTATTTGTAAGTATGTATTAAAATGCTTTTATTTTTCAGCATGTACAAGATATACTTGAATCGTGGTCATCTTATGTTAATAGTTCCTCTCTAATTTTATACAGAGCAGTTGGACCATACAATCGTACTGTATTGTTTGGAGGAAAAAATCCCCCTTTAGATAAAAATGATTTAAGATTAAGACCATTGCCATTTCCTACTCGTAGAGCAACATTTAGCGAAGTTAAACGAGTGTATGATATATTGAGTACCATGGAAATTTATGGTATGTAATCGGAACTGAAAGTAAACATTTTAATCCTATCAGTTTCATCTTATTATTTCGTATCTTAGGTTCTGCGGCTGATTTTACGGATTCTTTTCCTATTTCGCCGCGTCAACCACTTAGGAAGAAAGTTTCAAGAGTTGACGTATCTAGTGAAATGTTGGAAAAGATAGAAAATAAAGATTATGTTTCAAACGCTGCTAATAATGGGCGTAATCTTCAAGACGGTGATAAAATTAAGGCATCTGTACAAAGTTCTCCGGAAAGACAACATAAAAATTCACGATCTCATATCAACAGAGCGAAACCAAGAAAGAGCCCATGCCGCCCTTTACCCGGTACGAATATTCAAATATATTATTATTTAATAACCAAGCTAATCATAACATTTGATTGTTTTCAGATATTGTTGCTCGATTGGCACAATCATCTTCGGAATCAGAATTAGATAGCCAATTAGGCACTGCTAATATTCCATTGGACGTTTGTTTGACTGAACACGAATTAGAAGTACAATTCAATGAACATTTACTTGCTTTTCAAGACACCGTGCCGAGATACATGAAGAACAAGAAGGCTCGTCGACAAAGAAAGAAATCAAAGAAAGATGGTGAATTATCGTGTAACTTTTATCATTTGGTTAATTTGATTCAGCACATATTGGATTAAAAAATGTACGTTTTTCAGATTATACGATGAACGAAGTTCTAGCTGGTGCCAGGATTAAATTATGGTCTGCATGCAAATTGGGTGACAATGAAATGTTGTCGACTGTTATCAACAGTTTATTAATAGAGGTAGAAAAGAATATAGAATTGGAAGGGCAAAGTAAAGAAGAAGCAGCTATCGAAGATAATTTGGTTATAAGCATGGACGATGTGACAAAATTAGTAAATGATCCTAACGAGGATGGTAATACGATGTTACACGTGGTAGCTCTTGGTGGTCATCTAAAATTAGTGTGGTAAATTGGCATTGTGATTAATATACAATTTTTTTTTACTTTAAAAGATCGGTTACAAGAGGCTTTTATTTCAGGCAATTATTAGAAATTGGATCTGATCCAAATCATAAAAATAAGAAGCTTCAAACTCCATATGCGGCCGCGAATGACAAGGAAACTAGAAATACTTTTAGAAGGTTTATGGGTTCCAATCCTCACAAGTTTAATTATAGTAAGGTATTTATTTACAATTTTTCATTGTTTATTTAATCAAAATATTATTGTCACTTGCCGTTAAGTATTGGTATTATTTGCTCTGAAGTCTCAAATACCTGGGCCACTTACCGATGAAATAGAACAAGAAGAATTAGAAAAGAAGAAGCAACAAAGGAAAATAAAACGAGAAAAGGAGAAAGTGAAAAGGAAAGAATTTGAACTTAAGAAGCAAGAAGAAGATGCGAAACAAAAATTTCTTAGTCTCAGTGATAAAGAAAAGGTATGCGTTTCAATATTCAGTGCTATTGACACTACCGACAGTTATAGTGTATTTATTTGTACCAAAGAAATTAAAACGATAGGTACGCGAAGAAAGCCATTTTGATTGCTTTGGTAGTTCTAGCGTTAAACTATTTCGTTAAAAAAGTTCCATATATTTTTATTGCAGAGAGTATTAGCTGCTGAAAAACGTGTTTTAAAGCAAGATTACACCGTGATTTCACGATGTTTCCAATGTGCTGTAGATATGGCTGGTCAGATTCCATTCGAATACAATTTCAATCGTTTCTGTTCAATGCCGTGTCTGAAAGAACATCGTCTCCATAACAAGGTTGTTACTTGATAGCATATTCTATTTAATACTATAATTATCTTGTAATTGTACAAACTAGCCTGATCTTTCCATCGTGTTCAAATTACAATAGTGATATAATTTTTATAAGGCTAGATTTTAAATATACAAATAATTTTTATCGATGATGAAACTTGCCAGAAAACCAGTTCAGTAGTTGCGAGGTAATTATGTATGTATTATAATCAGGTAAATGTAAAATGCGTTGTGGTTTTGCTGCATTCATAGTGCGCACATACTGTTCAATTTAAACAAAATTTTTTGCATGTATTTTTCAAGTTTATTAAAACAAATTGTCAAACCTAATTTCATGTAAATACAAGAATTTTTATAATAGATACACTTTGTCACGAAATACGAATTATGCGATGCAGAGTATCCCGATGCTCATATTTTTATTTATTTTTTCATTTCTTTTCGCACCAAAAACTACGAGGTGTAAAGTGTTAAAATATAAAATGCTGCTTTTCTTTTTAATACGATAAACAACGGTATAGACAACTTTGTCCTTGTTAACAATTAAATACACTTTATATAGTTTTTATGTTAATTACATTTTAATACTAGTAGTTAAACTTAGGTTTGCCTGGGTGGATGGTGAAGTGCATTTAAATCGACTTGAAATAATATTTAGTTACTTTCTTGAGGATAATTGATGCTTATATAACTTTGCGTCATTACGAGCCATCAATTATAAAAATCGGTTTAGTTTTAGAAAAGGGGTATGGAGAAATTGGTGAAATTTTTTATTTTGCCTTTTATATGTATATATATATAACTTTTTTTTATCGTATATTAAACGACATACATAAAGAACTAACATTTCTTTACACTAACAATAAACTGATTTTTACAGTCATACTGAATTTACGATATTATAACATTACGCCGATATGTTTAGATGTTATAATATCATAATATTACAATGTGTATCACTATATAATATTCATACGACTAAACGAGTCTTTGGTAATATAACTTCATAGGAGAGTACAAAGTTTTATAGAAGACTATCCAAATATTATTGTTTCGACAAATGCTTATAATTATTTTTTCATAAGACTTGATGTTTAATTATATGCAACAACTTTTAATAGGTGTTTGAAATCGTTCCTGTATTTACATATGAATCTCATTGATGACTAGTATCGAAAAAAAAGTATCAATTTTTTATATACTGATAACATAGCCAGAATACAGTTTCTCGCCAGAAATTATAATGAAAGTAAAATAGAAATTTATATTTGTGAACTTTGTTAAAAAATTCATGAACTATACGTAAACATTTAGCGACGTGAGCTTAATCGAATACAATTCGAGTATTTACAAGGTACCTTAGCTTTACGTCGATAAAAACAACACTCCCCCCCCAGCTCGACTCGAATGAACGCATTTGAGATCCAGAGGTTCTCTTTATAAATATGTACCGGATGTTTCATTTACGATGAATAATTAAATGATCTCGCCGTTACCAGAAGCGTGCAATTTTCATATCTTTAACAGCAGTAGAAATATTTATGGTGCTTATGAGAAATGGAACATCCTATCTATATACATATACCTATTCCTTCTTTTGCAAATTCTCTACGCTGGTTAGTCTTGACGATATATACAAGAATATGAGAAAATATTTCAGTTTGGGCTCGTTAACTTTCGTTATTTCGCTCTCGTGTGTGTGTGTGTGTGTGTGTATGTGTTTAGGCTAGTCGAACTATGTCTTTTTGTGCGTGATCCGTATTTAGTAACTATTTTTGTGAAAATATCAATTGTTATCAAATTCATAGCCTTTAAGCGGTTTAAGTACAGAACGTGAGAATTCTTTTTATTTTTTGGTAAATTCCTAGCTGCACCAATTCGTAAATGTCATGTAAATGTTAATTTTGTGTCGGTATATAATTATTTTGATTTAGATAGACGTGGAATCGTCGGAGTCGGTGTCATCGCACTCGTCCCCGTAGTATCCATGAATATTTCCATCGGTCCAGTTGTTCTCTACCTTCACCTCGTACTTGTTTTCACGCACAGCATTGTTCGAGGGTAGAATCCTCACGTACGTATTCTTCATGTTCGTTTCAGGCTGCGAGATGATGGTCTTCACCATCGGGCTCCTTTCGCCGCTGCTGACCGACTTCGAGCGAACCTTCTTGACAACCTTTTCACCCTCCATCGACTCCAACGAGCTTTTCCTACGACTGCTCCTTCTGCTGTTCTTTTCCTTGTTAACGGTCGCTTTTCTCCCCACTTTTGGACTCTCGTTCTCCAAGTATTTCTTGATCCATTTCGGTGTCTCGCTCGAGTAGGACGATTTTTTCACGTACTTCGGACTGACCGTGATCATCGGCACGTCGGTCTCGATCACCGTCGTGATCACCTGCTCGTTCTCGTCAAAATTACTCTCCAGATATTTCTTCTTCGGTATCGCCGACACGCTCAATTTCCCCAGGAGCGTGGAAGTCTCGTCCGTGTTCTCGTACGTGTACGAATAATGCTTTTGAATGTGTTTCGGCCCGTCGACGATATCGACGATAGTCTCCGAGTTGGACATTTCGTTCTTTCGATTCTCCTCCCTCTCGTCCCTTCTGAATCTCTCCAGGGCTTCCTCGAACAAATGTTTCGGCGTTTTCTTGCCAAAGTCGAGCGGCCTCAGCGGAGAGATGATGCTCTGTCTCAGGTTGCCCGTGATGCTGTGCCTCTGTCTGGTCGGCGGATCGAGTAATCGACGTAAACTCGAGTTTCGAATCTCGGGCACGGACATCCTCTCTCTGGTGTGAATCGGTAACACCGAGGGAACCTTGCTCAGCCTTGTGGTTGAGGTGATAGAGTTCTTCTTGATCGCAAGCAACTCCGACGACAAAAGTTGTCTCTCGTGTGCCGGTAATATCGGTGTGGTGGTCGTTACGAGTACGCTTCCAAGGCCATCCTTCGCGGGGCTCTTGAGCTTACTCCCGGATATCGGTGCAGCCGGTTCGTTGGTTTTGGTCTGCTGGTGTTCGCTGATTGGGGAGCTGGCGATCGGCAGCAGCCTGGACCGCGTCACGTCCTGATTTCGCGTCAGCTGGCTGTCCAAGCTGAACCTTTGTTTCGGCGTGCCGGCTATCAGCCGGAGATCGTTCTGCGTTTCCAGCTCGGGTATCGAGAAACGATCCCGGTTAAATTTCGTCGTAGCGGACTCTTTGAAGTTTCTGTACTTCGCGCCGAAATCCAGCTGCGAGAGACGGTCCCTCTGGCTGGCGTGTATGGCCGGGGAGAATCTCTTGTGCTTGACGGGGGGTGGAGAAGGAGAATGGAATACCATGGTGGGTAGATTGAGCTCCTTCTCGGTGCTCAGACACGGCTGGGACAATCGCTGTTGGCCGCGACCCGGATGGTAATCACCGGTTACCAGGGTCGGCTGAGAGAGGCGGTCCCGCTTGGCTGGCACGTCGTGTCGCAACGCGAACCGTCTAACGTCCGGTTGTGATAGCCTCGAGGTACTTTGCTCCATTGTCAAACTACCCCTCGAGCTACCACTGTGCACTCTAGGCGCCGACAGCTTTTCCTCGTTCACGCTGTTATCGCCGGACGCCGCCGTTCGTAGACTTATGTAAGACAGCCTGGTGCCGACGCGATTCATCCCGGCGAAATTGATGCCGCTGAAGCTGGAGTTGAGAGTCGGCTGGGACATTCTGATACGACGATCCGGTGAACCGCCGCCCGACCGTCTGTCGTAAGATATCAGAAGAGTGGGCAAATTCGGTTGGGAGTATCGGCTACGTTGGCTCGCCGGCGAGTAACTCGGCGGGCAGGGGGTCGTCGAGTGGGTTCCTTCGTATGTTACCGAGTCCTGTGATTCGATGCTGGACTGTGACTGGGGAGGCGGTTTTACCGGGGTGATGTGAAGATTCGGATGGGAGAGTCGGTTCTTGCGACCTTGGGTCGGTTTCTTCAGGTGGTCGATGAGGTTGGGCTGCGACAGGCGAATGTAAGGAGTGGGTGGACGATTTAGGTACCAGAGGTCCCGTCGGGAATACGGCTCGCATCAGAGGGTGCCCTCTTCCCTTAGACGACGTATGAAAACTGGTCGTACGTCCTCGAAGAACGACGGCAGATCTAATTCCGCCGCACGGGCGATACCACCATCTTTACATTCCAGCCAGTAGGTGTCCATTAGCCCTTTACCCTAATATTAATATTAATATTAATATATTAATCCATTTTCCTTTGATATTAAAAATAATTATCTCCCGTGTGTTCACCTTTACATCCACCAAACCGCGGTGCACGATTTTGAATCCGCCCACAGCGTCCAAAGCTTTTTTCATCTCCAAACTGATGTGTATTCGCAGGGCTGCGTGCAAGAGGAATATTAAGAAATATTTTTCTATCTGCTCGATATAGAACAGTTAGATATACGTGTAAGGAAGATGATGTATACCTTCCCCGGTTGATTCCATACGACTCGCCGTATTCACCGTGTCACCGAACAGACAGTAACGGGGCATTTTGCTTCCGACTATTCCAGCAACGACAGGTCCTGTATGAGCACCGCTTCGGATTTGAAGCCGTTCTCCTGGTCTCTTTGGTACCTGAAACACCGACGATGCCGCCAGAAGATCGAGCGCCATTGTCGCTATCTCCGATACATGTTTGTCGCCTACAAGATAAACCGCAATTAAACTCGTTTAAATAAACACATTGGTACAGGGGTTTCTCCAATAAGAGCGGTACACGCTTGTTCGAGCCACGTTATATTTCTAGTACTTGTAGTTTACATTTTATTTAAATGAAAAATTTGATTACTCTCGTTGGAGAACCCTATGTAACAGGAACGCAGATAAGAATATCTACCGTTTCTAACAGGCAACCCGGAAGCAACCATGTACGAATCACCGATAGTTTCCACTTTGTACACATCGTAGCATTCGATGCGGGCATCGAAAAGTTTGTAAATCGAATTCAGAAACGTTACAACCTGAAATTGTACGACGATTTGAAATAGAAGCAAACGGGGAATTTTTCTTTCATTTCGCAAGAAAGAATATTTACTTCCAGAGGTGTGTTTTCGGCAGCGATCTCGGTGAATCCAACGATGTCGCTGAAGTACACAGTCACTGCTTCGTAATATTCGGCCGGGACCTTTCAAACGAAAGCAAAACGTTTAAAAGTAATTGCAATAATGCACATACGGGAATCATTATCAAAGTACCTGTTGAGTTTGCTTCAATTGCTGAGCGACGCTGGGGGGTAACATTTGGAAAAGCAACGTGTCGCTCTTCCCTTTTTCCTGTTTAAGTTCCCGTGCTTTTTGCGCCAGATTAGCAGCATACATCTGATATTTTTTATCGATGGAAGGAAGCATTACTTTTTTTTATAATAAGAGTATTTTAATCGTATATAGAGGGCGTTCTGTGGTTCTTTCGTCAATCTGCAGAAGCACATTCCGCTTGAACAAAAGAGGAAAAATAAGACTCTATTGTTTATTTTAATAGAGTATGCTTCTGCAGGCTTATAGGGTTAACCATAAACTCTCTGTATACGTTGAATGGCGTTCAAAGCTGTGGGATGAGATGTTGCACCCTGAGTGCGATCCCACAGCAAGTGCCAACCCCTCCTCCACGTGGTGGACGCCGGGAAACGGCATGCTGTTTACTTTTACCGGTAAACGACATGCCGGCAAACGGGGCTCTGGCTACGCGAGTCGCGTACGGTGTTTCAACGTTTTAAAGATCCACTTTACTTACTTGTATCGTAGCAACCGCGTTACGCACTAGTATTATAATGATAGGGGAAACAACCAACACTAGAACGACTATAGCTATTCCGGCAACTTCCTTATTGCTTGCATCTTGCAAGGTTGAATTCACATAATTCCTGTATTAAATTAGAACAACAACCATTATCATTACACTTGTAATTTGATATTAAATAATTGTAATGTTCAGCATAGGTTCTATCATAGTTCACCTTATCATACGGCGCAATTCTCGCTGAAGTTTCCTCAACTCGTCCACGTAGGTCGCCATCGAATCGAAATAAACGATCGCGTCATCCACGCTCGGCTCTCGTTTTTGGTTTTTCAGAATCTCGTTCCGTCTGCGAGAATTCATTTTTAAATCGGAGATCTTTACCGCCGCGCGAATAAAAATATTCTCTTACGTTCCGTTTACGTACCTAGATTTTATTCTACTGTAATCGGGCATGGTGCGAGTGAGCTCCGCGTAAAAATGCTTTAGAGAAGGCACATATGTAAGGGACCCGGTGAGAAGGTCGCGTCCAAGAGCTTCGTGGCGTACGTAGCTGACGTAATTATCCCCGACGAGTATTCCGCGTCCAAAGTAATTGATTCCGTACACGGAAGCAATACCCAGGCTCTCGATGCTCCTTAGTAAATTTTTAAATGCTATCAAATACCTGAAACGGAAATTGATATGTTCTTAATCAGCCGTGACGGTAAACGAAAAGGAAATTCGATCGAACTAATTAATTGTATATCGTTTCTTGTGACCTCCATACACCGCTGTTGTCCGTCTCTTTGATCTGATTAGTCAGATGGTCCAACATCGCTGCATTTACGCTCGTATACCACGCCATCACCTCGGTGATGCTGCTCTCCTCTGAACTGATCTTCTGTCTGAGGAACAGTAAAGAAATTTTAAGAATTATACCATCGAGGAACCTTTTAAACTATTTTCCCGTTAGCCCTATCGAAGTAAAGCTTATTCAACTATTTGGTCGTTCGACGTCGATAGAAAATGAGTATCGATGGAAGTTTCATTGTTTCGAGTTCGCATTCACCGAACCGAGATCCGATCGATCTAAACGTTGTTGTATCGCCGTAGGTTTTAGTCAGAAAACGCGATAGTTGTAGAGGAAGAAAGAGAAAACCGAGGGAGAGGGAGGGAGGGCAGAGGGGTCTAAAAATATTGTCTACTGCTCCAAATGGGCGGTCACGCGCTCATGTGTGACAACCTCATCTATTGCTCGTAAAGGTGATTCAATGGAGAAGGCCGAGAAGCGACAAAGAAGAAAAAGAGTAATCCACGCGAGTGTGACACCCTCGTTTGGCTGTTTCATGGTTCGTCAATGCGTATGCACAACTTTGCTACGAAGTCGTGGCGTAAAACTGGTCCGAAAATTCACGTATCTGGAAGCGTTTACGTCCGAAGGACGTCGGCGTTGTTTAACTATAGCATCCTGACCTTTGATCGAATAAAAAGATGACATTTTACGCGCACCAATCTGATTAGCGGCGAAACAAAATTGTAAAGTGGAGCGAGCGCATCGAATTAACCCTCCCTTTAACGTTTCAATTTATACGGAGGGTGTTTCGAGAACTTTTAATCCAAGTATCTCGAAAACATAGAATCTATTAATACGTAGAATCCAAGTAGACAAAATGAATGTTAGCAGCGTTAATTGACCGAAATGAAACGAGCCATGAAACGTGGAAGTTGGAACGTACGAAATAATCACCTAGACGGCTGTACTAAATATGTAATTCAGTTGATGACCGTGAACGGTCGTGCCTGAAACGACTAATAAAACATCGGGAATCGAACGGCGTTATTTCATCCCCGATCAGCTCCAGTTAATACGGTCCATATCTATCTCTCTTCCCCATCACAACTTGGCCAGTCGCGAGTAATATCTCAAGGCTGTAGGACGAAGAGGATCGTTAACGGCTTGTTACCGATGCTCCCGCTGACAGAAACGTGTTCTATTGTCTGGCATGTGGTCATAATAGCTAACACGAGAAACCGCCGGACCTTGCGTTCGATCGATGGAGAATTTCCTACGGGGAAGGATTCTTCCGCGATCTAACGCGCCTTTAAGCTCGATTACACTTTGATCTGCAAATAAATTCGCAAGAGTTTAAGTATCAATCAATCGTGTTCTTCGAGCAATAAGAATGAGTTAAAGAATCAACCAAGGACACTGTGAATACAGTGTCGAGCGTAACAAGTACTTAAATATGTTTTTTGTTTCCAAATATGCGTATCGTACGGTTCCGTAGATTCCGTCAGTCATGAAAATTTCCCAGAGCTTTTATAATGCGAGTGAATTTCGAGGAGAGTGGGTCTGGACTGGCCGTACCGATACTCCATCGTCGTATCGATTTATCGGGTAAACGTGCCCCGTTGCTGGCCTCCTAGTATGTATGTATGTAGTATATCGTTTTCAGTTCGGCCAAATGAAAAACGTGCCGCCTTCTGCAAATATTCCCGATCGAGGTGCATTAATGTTGTTCCAATCGTGATCCCGTCCATCTCTGGATCACAATACGAAACGATTATCAATTTTTCTCCGTTCATCGGCGTGTAAAACTCGGTGGAAAACTTTGTTGTATTACTTTCCTCCAAGCAATATCCGACGTCTAATTTTCCATTCTTTTTTTTTTATCGCGACTCCGTGGTATAGTTCCGATTCGACTTGATCTTGGAAAAACCGGGGCCCTGGTCACGTATTTTTATAATCGATCAATACACGAAGACAAATACGACACGAACGTGCTGTTGTAAAGCTTACGTCACTTCAATGATGTACGCATCTTTTTGGCTCCCATTCGCGTTATGAAATAACGTTTAAAATAGCTGTTATATTTGGTATCTGAAAATTACCCCGTTTACGAAATCTTGTCTCGGACGTTAGAATTTTAGGTATCGATCTCATAAAGTATCGAAGATTAGAGGATTTCGAAAACTGTGATCCACAGACGTAATTCGGAATCGTAAGAAATATAGCAGATCTCCGCAAGAAGAACGTACAAACGCGAGTATTGGAAACGAATAAAACGAATAAAAATTAGCGTCTTTCGGTCAGTGTTTAAAAAAATAATTTTCTATCGCAAAAAGTGTCGCGATGTCTCACGAATAAAAATTCCATCCGTCGAAACCCTCGAGGAGGAAATTTCTTATCACGTTGACCAACAGGGAGAGGCTCGCGATAAAATAGAATTCTCCACTTCGAGGCTGAATGGAAATTCAACAAGTGTCGGGGAACGAGGGCTCGAGGGAATAGACGCTTCGGCCGTAACTTTCCATACAAGCGAATATTGTTTCCACAAAGGATATCATTAGAACTAATTCGCCGTGTAAATATATGTATCTCGCTGGATGACTATCCGTCGAACTTGGGTCATAATTTTGCTTTCCGACCTACAAACAAGGAAAGTGTTATAACATTGAAACACGTAATACGATCCCCAGTTCATATTTTTATTATTAAAAGAGGAGTATTACTCGGGAATTGCTCGCGTAACGTAACGTTTCAACCCTTTTGTTCTTATAGTTTAAAATCTCATGGTTGCATTCGTTGGACACGCACGGCTGAACGGCCGCAAATGTTCGCCTGTGCATAGTGTATCGATCGAGAGCTAATAAGTGCACACAACACCAAAAGGGTTAAATAGTTGCGCGTCAATGTTGCGGCGATCAAAGCGAAACCGTCAGGCACACGAGGCGCACGATTATTCTGACGTCATTAGCGCGTAAATTTGCTTCTGTCCGGAGCGAGACGACACACGTCGAGTATTTTTCGATCGATTTGTTACCTGAAATCCTCGAGACGTGCTTGAAAGGCCTCTTTGCTGACCACGTCATAGGTTTGCGTCTTGCTCTCGTCCCTCGGCACCGAGACCAGGGGCCACGTAGTCATATTGTGAAGAGCCTGATCGGTTATGGCGAACCTCTGCGTCAAGTTCGACCTTGAACAGGTGTAAGAGTCCGTGACTAATTAGCCAACTACGTCGATGAATCGCCGCGCGAAGGCGACTTGTTTGTCCGTTTTAGTTCGTGTTCAACCGAGATCGAGTTTTCAAGGATCATGGAACTGTTCTCACGGTGGAAATTTCGTGCGTACTTTTCTGCGAACTTTTCCTCCGCTCTGCGAGAAGAATCGAAGCGGAAGGGTTGGGTGCAACGCGTCGCGTTTCGCTGATCATGCGGCTCTAATCGTTATCCCAAACCCTGAATTTATGAATCGTGTAAATGAATCGGAAACTATCCGAAGCGAGCATGCTCTCGTGTTTTCCTCTATCGTTTTGTTAATACCAGGAAAAAATGGATTGTGTCGAGTGCATCTTGATTAGAGAACACCCTGTCGTGCATCTGTTTTCATTAGTCTGAAAAGACCCTTCCTTCTCTCAGGAAGAAAGGCTTTTGTCACCGAGTCACGTATACCGAGAGATCAAGCTAGTTTCAATATTATCGGCAAATAGTGAAATATATTAGGTCATTCCATATGTTCGTGCCGAGTTTTCTACTGCAACTTGAAGTAATATTTTAAACGTATGATGGAATTTTATGAAAAATAATAAACCTCTTCTCGTTCAACAACTCCTTCCCCTTCTTTTGGCAAAGCCATTGTATCGTTGCTCCAAAACTTGCTGGATATTTTATTCAAATTTAATTTAACGCTTTTGTTTATCCACTAATAAGCCTGGAGATTGTTATATTTTATATCTTATAAGATTCGGTTTTATTATATGCTAACAGAAATATTTACGCAACCAGGCTCTACCACGATTAAGAAAATTTTGTTCCATAAGCTAGCGTGGATTCCAAACTTCGAACTTTGACACAATATCTATTTGTTTCAAATTTCTATGAATTGTTGATGTTAGTATGTTTGAAATTTCAGAAATCACCTCAACTGACAAATTTTCTTTCTTTTAATTAGATTACAAATTTCATCCTCATCAATTTCAGAATATTGAACGGCACGAACTTATGGGACGACCTAATACTTGGCAGTTGTACGTGGAAATAGTTTTTTTGCATTTCGTACGAATGAAAGGAGTTGGAAACTGTTATAATATTTTTTCAACCCCTTGATGGAGACTTTCAACTCGAAACTTTCTATTACATTGGCGTTATTGCATTTGATAATACCTGAGAGTGTTGCCGTTGGTATAAATGTAGAATGCAACCTCGGATCTTTCGAGCTGCATCCTCGTAACTACCTTTCCCAAGTCCGTGGCAATTGTTACCTGAAAACAGTCGACAACGAAATTCAATCGATAGTTGGCGGCTGAGGACAATCAAGAAGGTGTTTATTGAATATTAAATAATATACCGATGGTCATCAAAGTGACGAATTTCATTCGATGTGAGCTTACGTTGACGCGACGCCGTTCGAGTGTTAATCATTTTTCTAAAACGAATGTTCGTTTCGACGATTACAGTACCTATTGCAAGTCAGATGGACCGAGCGAGGCCGTTTGTCAGATAATATCCGGCGTTGTTCTCGATCGTACGATACTTCCGAGAGGGGATGGAACTAATCGTAAGGGTATAAGGTACGAGAAGACAAAGTGGATAGGATAGAGTAGCTGAACGCTTCCCGAGTATACATTGAACGGTCACTCGAACTTCCAAGTACCTAAATGGCCTTCTATTATACTCGCAAGTCGACGCTTTTACGTTCCATCCTCCTAAAGTATTCCGATAATTATAGATCGCCTGCGCGACAACACGCGCAAATTAACGTAACGCTGGTGGGAGTATATTGTTGCAACATTATTCTGCTTATACAGAGTGACACCGCTAAAACACTGAAAACAGACCATTTTAATATCTCTATTATTTTAAACACTAGGTAAAGACATTACTTAGAAAATTTCTATAGCTTCCAGTAAGGGATAATATTGTAGGAATAGTTTCTTTTGTAGAATTTAGAATCTATCCTGTAGCTGATACTTTTCAAGATGTTCAAAAGTGTTCCAGTATTGCAGACACAATTTTTACGGGATGTGTTATTATACCCTATAGATTTTCATTATAAAGGGCGTGGCGGGGCATCGACAAAGAATTAGTATAAAGCTCTCGACGCTCTTACAATCGACGGCAAACACCGGCGACAAAGACGAGGAGACGGTTAGAAGGCGAGCACGTTCATTCTTTTCCGCCTTTTGCGGTGCCATAGCGCACCGTGCTCTCGTCAAACAAGTAATTCGAGATCGAGGAGAGGTCGGAGCTGTACTCGAGGCTACACCCCGTTCCGATGAATTTCGATCCTACCCCACCACCGCCGTCACCCTCTTGTAGTTACGTGTAATTTTCATCGTGACGAACGAACCGAGACTACTTTGTTCTAGATTGGAAATTTCTTCGACCGTGAGTAAGAGTGGAATTAAGGGACGTTAATACTCTTTACCTACCCATTCTCACAAGTCACGTAACGACCAGCCCTTTGTTGACGGAACGTTAAATTTCAACGACGTTTCTGATCGAACTTAAAATGTGGAACACTCGTTTATTTGATCGCGGTAATGGCACAGGATTTTCCAATAAGAGAAAAAGAACTTTTAAACACCGGTAGAATCACCAGTCCAAGTTCAATGATCAGACTTTCGCTTCTGGGTTCCGTGTTAATTAAGTTTTTATACCAAACAAACCTCGAACTATTGGCAAATCTGAAAGCAAACATTACTCGTGTTATTAAGGCAAGATACAATCTAATTTATGAATTTATCGTGATAAAACAACGAGCACTAGATTATCATTTTTTCATTGTACTTGGATTCGAAGATCTGTTGCTCTTATTGGGAAACCCGTTGATAGTCATCGTGTTCCAATTAGATACTGGATCTCCGACAACGCACTTTGAACGGTTTAGTTACGTTTGGTAACGGATAACAGTTCTATAGTTACGTATATCCAGAAAAAGAATCATCGATACGCGTTCTCTCGCATCGTTTCGTCCTAGTGATTCTTCCATTAATTGGAAAACCAGCTACATTTTAAAATATCGATCATCCCTTGTAACAATACGGTTCTGCGCGAGAAAAAAAAACACATTCCAAAGAACTCGGTGCACAATGAAACAATACCAGTCCACCTTCCTCGAAAGCCAACGTATCGGCTAACGATAGAACTGGTTATTGCCGGTTATTTATATCATCGTCGACCGTGGATAAATAATCAAATGCACCGGTCACGCGATCGATGCGTGTAATTTCTCGATGAAATGGAAAAGTGGCCGCTGTAAATCATAAACAGAAACGATTCGTTATACGCAGTGATCTATACTCCGTACGCGGAGACAATCGAAGAAATGGACGGTTTCACGGACCGACTCGTCCAGCACGCATCGACTGTGCAGGTGTGGTGGATGTTTACTCATTTCGATCGATTGCCACTGAATTATACGAGTCCGACCTAATTACACCGCTCGCATAATTACGTGTCCGTAAGGAAAAAAAAAAAAAAAAAAAAAATACACGACAAGAAAGCGAATCGTCCGATCGACGCGTATGCGAGGAACTTCCATAATGAAAATGTGCAACGCTGCTGGTGGAGGAATTTTTGTTTTTCTATACGGTAACTCGCATTGATGAGAAGGGGGAACACGTGGTATTATGACATTTCTTTGTGAACCGTCCACGACACGGGATCAGAAAAAAGAGCTTTAAGGTTTTTTCCTTACATATTACTCCCATACGGTTGAGTTTTCCTACATCCCCAAAACGTGTCGCGTTTTCCGTTACCTGGGTCTCGATGTCCGAGACCTCTTGCCGATAAATTAGGATGTCGTGTAGCGTGTTGGCGGTCTGAACGATCAGCGCGAGAATCGGTATAAACGGCAGCACCAACATTTGCAGCAGCTGAATTCGACGGCCGCGACGATGGGCCGGATCGGTGGCGCGCGCCCAACAGGACTTCTTCCGGTGCGGCTTCGTCGCCGAGACGTCGTCCGACGACAAACTCCTCACGGAGCTCACTTCCGCCACGCACGAGCCGTTACGCGGCGACATCCTGAAACAACCGGTTTTTTTCTTTTTTAACATTACCTTGGAGAACGTTTTACGCGCGTAAATTTACGTTTTTTTTTCAATTATCGAGCATGATTATCGTCGTGTAGCAAGCGCGGAATATACTCGGGATCGGAAACTTTTGCGGTAACCGCGTAAAAACGTTGCGTGGGTGGGCGTGCACGTGCATGAGTGGCAAGCGGGAAAAGCGTTGTAATTAAACTATGCGTGCTGTTTTACGCTTAACTACGTTAAGAGACGACTATTTACGTTCGTCTATACGCCATACGAGGGTCAGTCTTTAACCGATGGAAAGTTCGGCGTACATGGCCAACTGGGAAAAAACTGTACACACCTCCGATCGTAACTTTTTACCAGTTGCGCAAGATACCCCCTGTACATTCAACCAACAAGAACAGTTTATATTGCAGTTAGTTGCATAGCGAATATAGTATTTAGAGGAATGTCATCCCTTTCAATCGTGCTCGTCACTGTAGATTTAAAATAAACAATTATTTTGACCCTCGTAATTAAAATCGATCGATTTGAACGACTCACTCCGCAGATTCGTATTTAATGTTTTCGACGTTAAATATTTTTTTTATTCGTGATTGCTGAATTGCAATTTCCCTTTAATTCGCGGTGAAAATTAAATAACAGAGCAGACGCGAAAGTCGTTGGGATCTCCTATACGATAGCAGTCTTTAATGTACGTGCTTTCTTATTCCTCGCGTCGTAAAAGAAAATCAAACATCCAAGGATGGAGTCTGACGACGTTCGTCCGTTGAATAGCACTTGATTGTCAGAAGTATCGGTTCGGATATAAATTACTAAGCCGGGCTCCTCTTCTTCACGAGTCCCGGCAACGTACGGCGCTGGACATAAATAGAAAGTTTTATCGTAACTCCTTCGTATTAACAGTTGGCATTAAAATACGTTATTCGTGAACTCCTCGCGAACGAAACAATATTTCAGCCCCTCTTTTCAGCGAGACAAACCACCACCGTAAAATCAAGTTTCAATCGAGGGAAAGTTCTCGACCCGGCGCTATTGTATCGCTCGTGTTTATTCTAATTCCCTGGAACAATGACAACCGTGATTTCTGCTCGGAGTAAACCGCAGGAAACGGGAAACCACATTTAGTTGTTCTTGGAGAATCGAAATTCGAAGGCAAATATAATTAGCGACGATGCCATGTAACGTGATAACAGATTTGAATATCGTTGTCCTCGGTCAGTTGGTCGCAATTAGACTCTTTTACCCAAGATGATCAAAGATGCTCGTTATTAATTCGAATTTGTATTGCACGCTAAAAAAAACAGTAGTATAGCGAACATTGAGTATTTTGGATAACAGAAATATTGGAAAATAGAAAAGTGGTGAGTCATAAATTGAAAATAGAAAGACGGTTTTTTTTCGAAAGTTCTCACCTTCAATCCCTGATTGCTGTCCCTTCGATAATTGGAATAATGTGATACGAGTCGAGAGAGCGGCAACAATTAATGAACCACAGGGAGGTACGGCACAGGCCGTTCCTCTGCTGTCCTATACTTGTCGCACAAACGCAACGCGCCATTAGATTATGCATCGCTACTGTAGTGGTTTATTGTCGTGTTACTGTACATAACGCAAAGAGGATCGACGTCGTTCCGAGGAACCACGTCACGGCTCTGTCCCGGAACCGCGCCTTTCTAATTGCGTGCTCACCCCTCGTTGCCGATTTATCCCTAAAACAATACATTCCTGCGTGTCGAAGAAAATTTTACATAGCGTCCGCGACCTGTTGAAAAATATAGTTTCTGTATTGTATTAAAAGTAATAAATCGGAATCTTCAACATCACCGTTCAAGGATAGACGAACGCACAGAGACAAGCGAGCTGCCCGCTAGAAATTTCTCAACTCCGGAGGAGGCACTCGAGCGTGCTAAAAATTAACAAGCACATTGTGAAATTTCTTTAAAACACAAATGCGCAAGAATCGACCGAGGAAACTGAAGTTAGAAAGTTGTTAACAAATGAGAAACCTTCGAGGGATCATCGGAGTCCCGGATCGCGTAGCGTTTACTTTAGTCCTGTGTAAGCTGGCTGCGTTAACAGCCGAAAATACACGAGTCCCAGGCGGCGTACTCTGAAACCATGGTTGAAAAGCCTCGAAGGAAGAAGAGCGTCAGCATGGCGCAGGGGTTGGCCGGGTCGTTTCTGAAAAGCGAAGGAGGCGAAAGCACAACGGAAGAGGCGGCAGGTGTGCCACGGATGCATCGATGCGGCCGATGGATCGTGCGTAGCCCACGATATATCGCATGCAAACCGATATACTCACTCGTTTTGTATGGTGAGCATGACTGCCAGAGGTCTACCGGTGTCCACCCTCACCTAGCGCGATCTTTCGCGATTCGATGGATCCGACTTCGGGCCTGAATGGCTTAGGCACGACCAGGCGTATTATCTCATTGAGGAGGCTACTCTCTTTGTCCATTCAGTCTCGATATAAAGGTACGCGGAGAAGGGGCTATCATAAAACCATCTCAATGGCGACACGACTACAAACAATCTACCCGGTTGCAATCTTACGTATGTACGATGCGCCGTGATGCCTTGCGACCGCGATCAAAATACATTACCGGGCGGTGTTTCTGATTTTGAACTTGGCGTGTTCGTCTCCTCGTATTTGCGGATCTCTGGCACTATCGACCGGGTTCCTCTTACCACAGATTCGTCAAAAAAATGGTCGAACAATCGAAATCGGGGACTCGTATCCGGAATGAAAAATACCTCTTTTCATTTAGGTATTTAATGGTATGTCGGTCTCGGTATAACTTTGCTAGAATGATGCCGCTGTCTCAGAGTCGTGCCGATATAACATTTTTTATAATTTGGATTTAAATGCGCTCCACGACGTACATTGCTTAATGCTTATGTTAGTTACATGCCGGATGAAGGGGATAAACTCGATGATCGATTACGACGTGGGGGTCGGAAAAATGCATGCGAACATGGATGCGAACGGGAGTTGATTTCGAGAAACTCATGCCCGGCGACCTTGCCGTGGACAGATTTCGACTAAACTGCGTGCCGAAGAGACAAGACAAAAGAATATAGTGTTCATCGAATACCACGAACAACCGACGTATACGTGGCGTTTCGCTTAAACAAGGCCACCTAAATATGTATCTATCTCCTCCAATTGTGACAATACGAAAATCATTTTCTATACACCTTTAATGGTATCAAGAGATCTTATATATGTTGCAAATGTTTGGTATAAATGACAAATAGTTATTCTTTCAAAAGTTTCAAGTGGACAAAAATATGGAATATTTGTACAAAATGAGCTTCAGATGCTTTTACGTGATATCAGTAAACAAAAGTCCATAACAAGTTTTAGAAATTAGAAACACGATACAGTAAGAAAAAATGTATACAATTATTTAATAGAAAACCATCGACGACCTTGAAAACTCCGGGGAAAAAAATAACTTTGAGAAAAAGATTTTTTGCAACAAAGGTCTCTTGATATCATTTAAACTGCATACAAAATGTTTTTTTTCTGTGCCATATTTGAAAGAGACATTTAGGTAGCCTTGTTTAGGTGGAACACCCTGTATACATCAATAGAGAAAATTGCTCTTACGCGTGTTTAAACGAGGACCACGAGAGACACGTGGTTGAAGTCACGAGAACGTTCTTCTCCCTCAGTTACACTGCTCGTCTCTTTCGCCCTTTCTATCCGCTCTTGTCTCCTTCTCCCGCTATCGTCGATACTTCCTTTTTGCTCCTTTCGTCTCTTTCTTCGTATACGTTTCTTTGTTACGCGCAGATACACCGGATCAGATTTTAACGATTCTTTCTCTCCTTCGATCTCGGTCGATAATCTACAGCGATGCTACCGGTTGTTTCTATCTTTTATTATCGTTCAACGGTATCCCGGCTCGTACGTTTCGACACTAACGATACTTTCGATCAAAATCGTTCTGCAATGTAATCTTTCCTTGGAATAACTTCGACAAACTCTGTTCGCCCGTTTCTCCCTCTGGCATCCGATGATTTACAGACTAAGGTATCTTTTTCCCGTATTTTTTCGTACCTAATGGAAGCGAATGAGTGCAATGGTAATTCACGCAGTCTGGAATCGAGAAAGAGGCAAAGAAGCCGAAAGAGCAAACAGGTGTTCCCACATGGAATGCGCGGCCGCATACTGACGATGCGATCCAGAAACGTCTGCGTTGATACGGGACAAACTCCTTCGATACCTAATGCGCATCCACGACAACCCTACCGAGCACCGACATACTCCCAACCCTCTTTCCCATCTTTTTTATGTAAGATATCCAAGCTGGAATAAAAAGATAATAATTTCAAATAACATTTCGATAAACAAGACTGCAATTTACAAACCTTCGCTTTCTGTTTTAATTTACGAGAATTAAAATCATTTGATACGTGTAAAATTTAACGCAGTAACGGGTCTTTTTGTACAATAACGATAATTACCAAACATCTGCGACAATAAAGTTCATTCCACTCGTTTCTCGTGACGTCTGTCTCTCAAGGCCGAACAGTTTCTCTTATAGACAATAATACTTGATAATAATCAAGATTTTTACTTTGCCAAATGTACAGATTGATACCACTCGATCCCATTTTCGAGAGTGTCGTAACGCGTAATTTGTTTCGTACAGAAAAAGCCAACGAACAAATCTAAAAGGATATAAAATTTAGAGTAAACGTAACAGCATCACTATTCACGCGAAATTTAACCGCATATGGTAAACTAATACTTTACGTATGGATTTGCATACATAAAGATTCAACACACGTCATACGTGTATACCAAACGCATAGTGTGTACTACTTGGTACTTGTTTACAACTACATTGTGATGCCATCTTTGAAGAAAATCATAAATTAATTTCGACTGGAAAGTTTTCTACGTTAATTATAACTTTTATCATCTTATCACGAACAAGGTACAGGATTCTGTACTTCGTTTGTGATCTTATCTTATGTTCGATACTTGATATTTCTTTTTCAATTATGCTTATCGCATTGACGTTTGCTGTTTCGAAAATTTACTAAAAATAATGTTAGTTCGATTCGTTTTTCTAGTATTATGTACTTTGGTTTATAGATGCATCTGCACGAAAATATTTCAAAGAATACATATTCTTTACGATCGAATTGAATTTGATTAGAAAGAATGTGTATCTGCAATCATTGTAACAACTTCTCCACCGTTTCCCCTTTAACATTGATGTATAAAAAATGCGCATTAAAAACATACCGAGTGCAATTACGTAAAAGATTATATTACGTATTATCGTTATTATAATTACTTAAGTGTGGTACAAGCTTATTTCACTCTTACGAAATAATATCACGTACAAACAAGCGATTAGATAAAGCCATGCGGTAAAATATATTCGATTTCCTGGCAATCCTTTTACTTCTTGCAAACGCTATCGTTCAACACATTCTGCGCAAAGAAACTTCATATTAAAGCGAAGATTATTTCTACGTAAAAACTTCTACGAATTTCATTATTTGGTATGAAAAATATATTACCTTATATTACCATTTATTAGAAGGCTAATATTTTTAAACTTAATTTCTAGGTGTCTTTACGTTCATAGATCAACCATGACCACTCTGGAAATCAGTGAACTCAACATTACAAAAAAAGAACTTCACGCACCATCGCTTAACGAAATTAAAGATGGTAAAACTTGAATAATAAAACCTAATAGAAATTGGCAAAAGAATTAAATAGTATATACATATTCTGTTTTCTAGTTTTAGAACAAGGTTTAATCAAAAATTTTTCTGAGGTCCAAGTAGAAGTTGTTGACTGCCCAGATTTAACACAAAAACCATTCACCCTTGCTGCACCAGGTAGTATTTTAGAGAGAAAATATTTTCTTGTTTCAAATTGATACATTATATTATATACTTAGGATTGAATAAGAATGCAACATTGTTTGAAATTGGTGGTCCATCGTTTTTGCTTCCCTCTGTGCAAAGGAACAAGTTATATAATATTCAGGAGCTTCTAAATAATGTACAATGTTGCAAAGACTCCTTTGTTATTGGAGCAGGTGCTGGACCATGGCCTCACTTAAATTCTAACTGCGAAGTGTGTTCATCAACTTACAATCATAGCATATTTCATTTAAACATATTTGCTGTATAAATATTTTTCTAGCTCATAATGAACATGGTTGTTTCATCTTCTGGTGTTAAAAATGAAACTCGTATTTCGACTGTTAATCAAACAAACGGAGATTGTATACTACAAACTTTACCCAACAGTGAAACAAGATTAGCTTTGTTGGCCAACTTGTTTGTCAGCGAAGGAAAACCAGGACCTGTCTTAAAAGTGCATGCCAAGAAACGTACTGGCAGTGATGATTTTATTGCTTGCATGCAAAAAGCAATTGCGCGACATTATAAGCACGAACTTGTTGGTAAATATATTTTATAAATAATAAATTTAATCAAGAGATATATCCAAACATTAGACATTAAATTGTTATAACTGTAGGATTAGGGGGAACATTTTTAATGAGTAATGGAAAAATTAAACAGCACGTCATGCCAGATTTTTCTAAAACCCCACTTAATACAGAAACACAGCTGAACAATTGGTTGTATTTCTATAACATGTCGACGCCTCTTATAGCTGTTGGTACATTTGTCAGTTCTGAAAGTGTAAGTACAACTATATTATACTTTTAGTGTATATGGATTCTGTCTTATAATACAATTGTTGTGCTTCCATTGTAATGTTAGGATCTGGATCTTCGTGTTCAACACTTCCATAGTTTCTCTCACCATGGGGAAGGTGGTCATTATCATATTGATACGACTCCAGAGAGTATTGAATATTTAGGATACTTTAATGTGGGTACTACGCTCTATCGTGTGGATAAACCATTAACTGCTTTGCAGTTTGGAAAGGATTAATCTTTTATACAACTGTATATATGTCTAATGGAATTTCAATAAGAAATTTGGCATAAAGAATTTACAATTAAAAACACTTACTAAAGGTTTAAAATTTATAATAAAAAAACGTTATTTTACTAATTTCATTAACGTGATTATGTAAACTATTTTGCGACTAGCTCGCGTACCTTATCTCATTAACTTCGATAATATTTACAAAAACAATTATGTAAAACTATGCCATGCAAACGTATTTTGAAATTATGTGGGTAACATAAAAAAATTCTAATTTTGATTATCTGTATTCATGTATACAATTGTACAAGAATACTACATACGTTAATATCGAATTAGGAAACATAATTTAGGATAAACTAAAGTGATCTATATTTTCATGTCACTTCTATAACAAATGTAGCGTTTCCTATTTAATTTTCGCTTATAGAATCGCCCTATTATAGTTTGCTTTTCATAGTTTTACAATCGGATTGATCATGGCCCGGTCGTTATATTTCTCAAGTCTTTCGACCGTCATTAATCCCTCTGTAAGCTGTTTGTCGTGCAAAGCTGTATGTTAATTTTACCAGACGGCAGACGGTAGACGGTAGACAGTAGTATGCCACCAATATTTCGTTCAGTATAATTGTATTCCATAGCTGTTAAGTTACTCGAACAATGAAGATGAAATTCAGCATCGAATCTACCACTTCTTATAACAGTATACATCCAACATATCGCTATACAGAACAATTTGCCAATAATGCTGAAAGATATCAAGAAGGTACCAAATGGTTTGGTGTATTTTTGGCATTTCTCTCAGGTACATTTTTCACAGTTAGTTCCGCATTAGTTAAAGCAATTCAAAATGTAGACCCTATGATATTACTGGCAATCAGAGCCATTCTGCAAATGCTAGTTATGGCTGGTGTAGCAATTAAGGGTTCCAGAAGTTTATTCGGTCCAAAAGGTCAGAGATTGCTTCTGAACTTTCAGGTACGTTTAATTATAAAATTAGTAATACAAGTGCCTCTTTCACATAATAACAAATGAAAATGATATAGGTAAAAAAAAATAATATTAATAAAGTATTATATCTGCAGGGAATAGTAGGAGGTGCAACCCTGTCGCTACTATATTACAGTTTTCGTAAACTACCCATAGGAGATGCTACAACAATCATATTTAGTTCACCAGTGATAGTTATCGCGTTGTCTTTTATTTTCTTAAAAGAACCATGTGGAATATTACGTGTAATAGTTATGTGCGCGCTATTTGCAGGTGTTGTGTTTGTATCTAAACCACCGTTTTTGTTTCAGGTAAAGAAATAAAGCTCTTAGTACGATCCTTTTAAATTAACAATTTTATAAAACGTATTTGTTTTGTTAGGTACACAGAACTGAACCATACAATGTCATAGGATATGTTTGTGCTATTCTAGCAACCTTCTTCACAGCTCTTAATATAGTTGTTATGAGAAAGTGCTCGGAAATCCATTTTTCAACGATAATCTTCAATTTATCTTGCTGGTCGCTTATCACAGCAGCATTTTTTTTCTTCCTTGTGTCAGAAAACCATGTGCAAAAACTAAGGCTGCCAGTTGATTGGTTCACGTGGGGTAAAATATTGTTAGTAGCAATAACTGGATTGTGTGGTCAAATTTTAGTAACCAGTGCACTAAAAATAGAAGGTGCGGGCAAAGTATCAGTAACTAGATCTTTGGATATCATATTGGCATATGTTGTGCAAGTATACGGTTTTGGAGACCAACCATCGTCAACCAGTATCGTCGGAGCATTCTTAATCATACTTTCTGTTGTATGTATGGGATTTGAGAAAGAAATTTATAATGTTTGTGATTTTATTCCCTAGTCAAAGATACAGTATCTTAAATTATTTATCTGCTCTTAGCATAAACATAGATAATAATAATATACACATTTTTATGAACGGTGAAAACACTGTTATTATACTACTAATATGATTTTTATAATATAATGTTTCAAGACTTTAAATTTACATAGTACAAGATCGTGTTATATGCAACAACCATTCATTTACACAGTATTTTTTATCGCAGTTTGTACCTCGCATAAATTTTCATTCGAGATAAAAACAAATGAGTCAAGTATTGATGAAGCAATTTAACAGAAGTGTCATATAGTATTTATAATAATAATCTACACTTCTTTCAAAATTTCTTGTGGTATAGAAATGACATTTACAGAATTTCGAAATATATGACTGAATGCATATTTACAATTGTACATACATTGTTACAATATGTACTTTAAATTATCCGTGACTTTGTGCGGATGTAAGTAATTGTATCTTTATAATTGCTGACAATTTATTTAAAAAACATACACTACGATTAACAATAAATCACCGTACCATATCCAAGATAATAATATGTACAGTTTTTTTGTTTTTTACTACTTCATCTCTGACAGATATAAACAGTGTCCTATAAATGAGATGCTAATGTAATGCTTATAAGACTATACATATTCTTAGGGCTTAATTTACAACTGAAGTAATACATGTAAGAGTTTTCTTTTCAAACTGTTTAAAATTGTATCATGCAACACAGTATTATATGCTACACTAGTAATTTTTAGTTTACTAATCTTTAAAAAAGAGCCACAGATACTTACATACGATCAATCTTCTTGCAATTCAAAGAAAAGAAAAAATTGTGTACATGTTCTTAGTTTTTTTGTTTCTCTCAAACGTTTTGACTTTCAGATCTATTTGTTTTTAAAATTTTTTGCAGTTATTGCCACCTGCACTAGCTGCTCTATGCGCGCGCGTTATCTAAAGAAATTTTTGAAACTTCTGAAACACGCTTAAATAACATTAAAACTACTTTTAAATGGGAATGTAACTGTATGTAATGCTGGAAAAAAAAAAAAAGTTATGTATACACAATATATCAATTTTTGTATGAACTTTTTGACATCTCGTATGTAAATTTATATTTACATATTTTTTTTACCCAAAACATTGTCCTTTACATTGGTCATATAATTTTTCTATTCTTAAATACTCTTATACCATAATTTTGAAACTATACAAAGTCTGACTAATACCTTGTCATTCTAAGTGTTTTTTTAAATACTTGTTTCAAATAGCATCAATATAATTACAAGTATGACTAAAAGAAATAGTCATTTAATTATGTACATAACATACAAAATATGATGCTGTCCTATGAATGCAACTATCAAACGCATTTCACATTAATCGAATACATTTGTAACAATACTTCTCTTAAAAACTTTTTCTTAATAATAAAATTATCAATTGTTTAGTTCACTTATTGGATTTTTTTTCAACTAATTTCATTTATCTGTGAAAATACAGAAATAAGCAAATAACAGACACTATATGCCGTTCCTAAAGAGACATGAGTAAGAACATCAAATAATAAAATATATATATATATATATATACATATATATATATATATGTATATACATTTTTTCAAAATGCTACGAATAGCATCAGAATTTCCTTTATATTCAAAATATTTCTTGACTACAAAAATAGGGCATAGACTGCTTTTGATTGATTGCCACATATAATGCCATTGAAATATAATTAATCCTCTTTTGAAATACACCATACATATATATACACACATATCACTTTGAAGCTGAGAAAGGTACTATAAGGTACCATGTTGGTTCGTTGCATTAAATGTATTAAACATAAACAAACTATACGAATTATATAAATATATTTAAAAATTATTTTTAAACTGACGTTAGCTCAATCAACTTTTTGAAAATTGTGGTATGAATTTGCAAAATAGAAAGCTGTATTTTCATATAAAAATTTAATTTTTCCAAATGGTAATGTTCTGCATAAAATAGTTTCAAGTAAATTTGAATACCCTTGTATGATTATTTATTTTCATCAAACAAAGATTTAAATGCTATTTGTTGATACTGCTAGAATATTTATATGAAATTATAACAATACAGTGATGTAACATAAGATCTTGAAAGATAAACTTAAATTTTTGAGCCTATTAATCTACAGATTTTGATTAGAGAAACAAAATTACACAATTTCATTTCATCAAAAATAGTACTATTTCATATAATACTAAGATAGTGTACAAAATTAATAAATAACGTTATAAGATGTTACATATTAGAATATTACAGCATTGTCAATGTCTAATGCCAAAATAAATATCATTAGAATGTACATACAGAATGGGTGAATTTGAATTTGTTATATAGTTAAAAATCAGATCTGATTCTATATGACGTTTTAAAGTATAAAGTAAATAATTCCAAACTTCAAAACGTTCAAATTTTAATGATTTCTTCTTCATAAAATTGTACACGTAATATTTCATACAATCTATAATACACAATGCCAAATTTAATTAAATGGTTCTATAACAATTTCATCAGAACCATTCAGATATGTTAATATAAACAAAATATACCATAATAATGAGCATGGTTTTATTACATAATAAATACTAATGAAATAGTAATAATATGCTTCTGTTCTTTAGTGTTACAAAATGTTTGATAGTATGATGGTTAATTTGTGTAAATGTTCCCATGCGATGTGTACAACATATTATAGTTTATTATAGAACCAGAGTTATTTAATTTAGAATAATTTGGCGAATTTCTAAATGCCTCTAACAAATTTAATCTTTCCTTTTACTAATAAAAATTAAACGATTAAGATATTATTTACCAATTATCCTATCTTGACTTTTAAATATTGACGCGTGTACAAAATTAATTTATGAAAAACAATCTGAGGTTCGATAGTAATTCAATGCATTGGTTGTCGCGTATTTAATTACTTAGTAGCTAAAAGCAAATGTACAGGATAAATTTAATTTATATAAATGAGTAATATTATTATAGAACACACTCGTTTTAATATTTAGAATGCTTTAGCATTTTATGTACATAAAGTGCCATTATTTTTTTTTTTTTTTTATAAAAGAGTGGCCTAAGATGTCAATTCTTTCTCGAAGGTAACTGGGCTTCATAAATTGTAAATGTATAAAATATTTGTAACATTACACATTGTGTCATGATTCAATATGAATTTTGAGCCAAATAATATTTTTTTTTTTATTTGGTAAAAACACGAGCAGCGTAAGACGGATAATAACGATATTGTTATTTGAAAACGAGTACATTTGAAAGTTTCTACATAATTTAATGACGCAATAAACTAAGACAGCATCAACTTTTAAAATATATGTTAAACACAAAAACCTAGGACACTTCATAGAGCAACAAGTAGAGGACATTTTGGCATAATAACGTAATGTCAATTCAAAGAAACAGATAAACCTTCATTGACCATATTAAAATATTGCTTGATAAACAAATACTCTTAGAGTAGAACAAATTCGCATACCTTTTTTAATTGCATTGAACAAATTAAATCAAATGTGTATTGGAACATGCACCAATAATTCTGCACGACTGGAAAATACTGCGGAACACATCTCACATGTATATTCTACAGCATCTGGTATTATAGTTTCTGGGACAATATCATCAGGTGCCATAACATTATGAACAGACAATATTCGTTGAGGCGTCGATTCAACTTTTATACTAAGCTTTACATTTCCGGTACCAACGTTTTCGGTATTATTTACGTCGCCCATATCGGGAAGAATATTTTCATCCTCTGCCATAACACTCGCTTCGAATGCAACTTCCAAGTTACTTCCATCTACCGCGTGTTCCATTAATCTTGTAGTGTCTGTATTCTCAGTGTTATTATTATTTTGTATTTGTTCCTGATCCATGTCTATCGGCTCCTGCTTAATTCCATGCTTTTGTTTTTTGATCTTTTTCAAGATACCTGACTTTTTTCTAGGTGTCGGTTCTATCTTTTCATGTTTAATAGCAAGAATATTACCGTTGTTATTTCTGTGATTGTTACTTGGTAATTTTTGCACATTAGGTTCCTGCTTTATATTTGTTAATAGCATCGGTGGGGAAGTCTCGAAAGTCTCGTCTTGCGGTTTCAAGAATGTTGCGGGTGTTGGTTGAAACTTTCCTTCAATATGATAACTGACGTTTTTTGTTCTTGGCCTATTTCGCTCCCCGCCCGGGAATATTCCTAATTTATGTTCATTTGGCATCACTTTGGGAGTCCTCGTTACCATTGTTTTAGTTTTCTGTCCTTTCTTAACTCCATCACTACCGATCTCTACAGGCACTCTTGTTTTTTGCGTGTGAATCATTTTTGGTCTACCAGGTTGACAGGAAGCTTGAGCTTCGTTCTTTTTTTCCTCCTTTTTAAGTTTCTTTTTAGAAAGCTTGGACTTTCCTGGATTTAACTTTGAATTACTAACGATCGAGTTTATATTTTGTAAAGAGCTTTCAAAACTTTTAAGAACATTTTGATATCCTTCTTCGACGTTCGACCGATGCTGCTTATTTTTTCTCCCGAGTTTTCTTTTTGTATTATCATCCGAGTCAGAGCCTCCTTCCATCAAGTCATATTGTTCGCTCATACGCAACATTGTATTGGTTTCATGGGGTTTAAGTTTACGTCTTCTTTTATATTTACGCGGTCCAGTTTGTGGTTGACGTCTTAGCGCAGTATTATCGTCACAGTGTTGCACGATGTGAGCAACTATTTCTTCTGATGTTGCATATGCATCACCGCATACTTTACACAGATACGGAGTAATGCTACCTACGCATTTTGGATCGGGACCTGAATGATGAGCACGTACGTGTTCTCTGAGAACAACCTAAAAAAATAAAAAAGAGCAGGTATTAAACTACAATGTAGTAAAATGAAACACTAAGTTGTGGTTTTACTAAAATATCTTACTCTTTGATTAAAAGCACGTGGACAGATCGCGCATCCATACGGCTTTTCGCCTGTGTGAATACGTTCGTGTTTCCTTAAAGTTCCACCGTCAGCAAATGCTTTCCAACAAAATCTACAACCGTATGGTCTTTCTCCAGTATGAATACGTATATGAATCTGTTGTGAACTGCGACTCCCAAATGTTTTTCCACATTCCCTACATGGAAAAGAACGACCGCCCAAATCTTTATTATGCGAATGACGATGGCTAACAAGAGCTCTACCATCGGGAAATTCTTCTCCGCATTCATCACAGGCTACCATCTTATTACGATGTGACACCATGTGTCTAAAATACAGTGACGTATAATAAGAAAAAAACAAAATTATTTTGAACTAACTGGAAATAAATTTATAATTAATACCTCCGTAATCTAGCTTTGCTGTGAAAACGTTTCCCACATTTTGTACATCCAAAAGTTTTGTCAACATTATGAACCCATGAATGTTTTAATAAACTTCGTTTATCTTTACATGTTTTTCCACAAAGAGTACACGTGTTCGGCGGGGCATCTTCGGCATGATTTTGTCGAACGTGTTCCGCAACTTCGGCATCATCGCGACATCTTTCGCCACATAGTAAGCAACGACGGCTGGGTGATCTGAAGAAAGCATTTAAGTTACTTTTAATCGTATTGTTGTTTATATTAATACTTTTGAATTTCTCAACTTCTTTCTCATTTGGCCACTGTATGTGGTCAAATTTTTTACAAATAATACCTAGCATGAAGTTCGGCATGCGCTAACAATGCTAGAGCCTCTTCAAACCACTCTCCACAAACATTGCAAACATGATGCTGACTCAAACCTTCCACCATATCATCTTCTTGCTTGATATGAATTCTAATGTAACAAATATTAATATATTAACACCACAATGTTATTAATTTTCCTATAAATCAGCAGATAGTCGAAATGAAGTCTAAATTTAATTATTGATCGTGATCTCAATAAATACAAGATCATCTTACTTTTGATGACGTTTAAGTAAATCCAAACGGTGAAAAGGAACACCACAAGTGTTGCAATAGAATTCTCCAAATCTTTCATCGCCAGTATACGTGGCATCATTATCATATTCTTCGGTGTCAGATTGTACAGTACCACCATGTTTGATTCGAACATGTTCCCGTAAACTGTTAACATCCCAAAACATATCACCGCATGATGTGCATTCAAATGGACTGTCACCACCGTGTACACGTGCATGAGACGCTAACGCCTTTTCTCTTGCAAAACCAACACCACAGTATTGACATACATATGGTTTTGTTGGATCAGTTATAGGCCATCGTGGTGCTTGAGTTTCAGTTGACACAGGTGATATTTGTTCGTTCCACCTTGAACTCGATGCATAGTTACCACTGCGCGTAGAATTTCTACTAGTCATTTCTTCTAATAGACGCATATCTTCGTCAACATAATCATAAGATTTATTGACGTACTTGCCCATTTCCATTTTACTGTCCTCGATATTGTGCTTTGGAATAGCAGAATTGTTTTTGCGTTTCCTTGGTGCACTCGATTGGACTTTCTTACGTCTACCTTTGGTAGATTCTTCTTCTTCCTGAGCCAGCGAATCGTCATCGTTTAAATCATCTTCCAGACCATCGCGAGAAGGTGCATATGCATGAATCTTCAAGTGATTCATAAGGTCACATTTTCGAGCATAACGCGATCCACATAAATTGCACCCATGAGGACGATCTGTCTGATGCGCCACCATATGATTCATTAAATTTGCTTTTTTCCTGAATCTTCTGCTACAGAAGTCACATGGATAAGGTCTAGTATTTGTATAAGAATCTTGATCAATCGGTAATGGTATCTCCATGTCATCGTACTCAAGCAAATTGTCATGAGATACTTTTGTATCTGGTATCTCAACCCTTTAAAATACAAACTTAGTCTATTATTGAATTTACCCAATAATTTAAAATATATTTCATTTAAAACCTACCCATCTTCAGGACCAGATCTATCCCAATTATCTGTAATCACTTCTTCCGTAACTTGTATATTTAAGTAGTCGTGTCCTTGGTCTTGTGGCACTATGTAAATAGATTCCATATCGCTGGACTGCGACACCATTAATATCTCTGAGTCTGCTGTAGGAGTAACATCAGGAACAGATTCTACCGTTTCTTCCACCGTAACTTCTTCGCAAGCCCCTATCACCTCTTCCTCCGGTGCACCTAGCTCTGCCTCTAAACCACATATTACTTCTTCGTGAATAACATTCCCCACCTCCTCGACCCATTGTAACGTCAAATCTCCAGTGACATCCATTATATCGTAATACAATTACTTGATCATTGGAATCACTGAAATATAAAAATTATATTTCACTTCTGCCATTATAATTAACGTTATTTCTTATTAAATTCTTTCTTCGCCCAAACAATTGAAGTTCGCACAAAAATTATATTAAACTAACTTACAAACTATATTAAACTGAATTATATGTATAATCTACATATGCAACAGCTACAAATACAAATACATAAAACATTTATTACAAAATATTTAATTAAATTTACACATTTCAATTCAAATAGATACTGTATTGACACATCTATTGATTTCTTTTCCAGAAGACAAAAATTGGTCATTGTTTACAGTTTTTAATTAATAAGATATACAGCAACGTTGCACATTAAAGTAATCCCATTAAATATTTTAACAATGACAAAAGAATAACGCTTGTTTTAAGATTTGTGTTATACGAATGAAAAGTTGGTTTTCAGAAATACACCCATCAATTAATGTAGTAATTTAAATCAATCTATAAAAATATTTTTTTATATTGCTAATGTAAGATACAAAATTCGTATGAATCTCGTTTAGGCAGTGTACGCTTTTAGAATTAAAGATTGCATGTTGACCAGATTCTTTGGCCTTTCTACAAACGTTTCTAATAAACTCTTTTAACAACGATCGTTTAAAATGTTGACATCTCATCTAAGGTTATATTATATAGGTTATGACTTTAGAGGTTATAACAAGCATTTTAGGATAGAAAAACATTTTGCGTAGAGAAGTCAAGCGAAAGAAGTGCCTGATGTATCGTCGATGAAAAACAAAGGGTGGCCGATCAGGTAACAGTATTTTACATATGATCAAAGCAGTAGCCATAGCCTCTTTACGCCAAGCCTTCTTCCATCCAATTATACATTACAAACTATGTCTCATACGGCATTCATCGATGCATGTATAGGAATTTTCTACTTCGATTCAATATTGATGGGAACAGGCTCGATCATGGTAATTTACTTACTGTTAAAATATCTTCTACACAGCTATTAACCTAACCAAAAATACTTTATTGAGATCGAGAACAGCGTCGACCTTCGGTTGTTTTCAATTTGGAGGGGATACGTTTAGAAATAAATTTAACAAAATGGCCGGTAGATGTAACTTCAAGAGATAGCCAACTGTAGATAAGAAAGCTACGCAAATACTTTCATGTGTGTCATAATATCAGTCCGTAGTAAATAACCAATCGCTTAGCATATGTATGCAACGATTTACCGGAATTATCACTCATTAATAGTTCATTTATATTTGTCGCGTACACGTTTAAAGTAACAAATTGAATGCAGGATATACAAGATACAAGTTTACAATCTTTTATTGGTTTATATTATGCAGATGCATTGTAAACGCACCATTCCGAATAACCGAAGCATATATTTATTTGTTGCCTACACTCTACACACTGACATACTTTATGGTTGTAATTCGCTTAACTGCCAAAAGTTTGAATTTTTCTATATGCGTTATGATCAATTGCTTACGATGTATTACGTTTTACGTTTCAATTGTGCATTGCATAAAACATTAACGTGTAAATTGAAAATATTTTGATCTATAAAAAATCGCAACTCATTTTCCTACATAATATCGCTGTCTCACCAAGATAAATCTAAAGCTAAAAACAAACGCAATCAATAAGAATGACAGAAACTTCTACGAAACAGATACAAAATAGTGCACATAAAAAAAGTAACTTCGATAAAGTAATTATTCAATTTGAATCAAGAGAATGTATTAAATATTGATAATAAATTTTTCTATTTCGCAGATTATGAAAAATCTCAACCAATGAGGATTACACAACTACTTAAAGTAGAAGAGAGTTCAAAGAAAACTCAAAAGAATAGTGCACATAAGAAAGGTAACTTTAATAAAATAATTATCCCATTTAAATCAAAAGAATGTGGTAAATATTTATAATAAATTTTTCTATTTCGTAGATTATGAAAAATCTCAACCAATCAGAATTACACAACTGCTTAAAGAAGAAGAAACCTTAAAAAGAACTCAAAAGAATAGTGCACATAAGAAAGGTGACTTTAATAAAATAATTATTCCATTTAAATTAAGAAGGTGTGTTAAATATTGATAATAAATTTTTCTATTTCGTAGATTATGAAAAGTCTCAACCAGTTAGAATTGCGCAACTACTTAAGGAAGAAGAAACCTTAAAAAAAACTCAAAAATATAGTGGTTGGTTTTTCTTTATTTTTACTTTTTAATTTTATATATACATATATGTTTACTTTATATCAATGTACATGTTTCAGAGCGTAAAAAAGCACTGCCTGAAAGATTGGGTCCACTTTCAAGTACAAAGAGTACAGTGAAGGATAAACCTGTTGGTTTGTATACTTTGTTTTTAATATTTTTATTATTTTATTTTATTATTTTTATTATTTATTTTTAATAGGAATTAACAAACAGGATCAATCTTTACGTGTCGAGAAACGTGTACGTAGAAATCTCAATTTTAACGAAATTCCTCACAGCATTCTAGAAAATAATGAAAATAAAAATAAGTCAAATAAATTTATAATCAATGAACCAATTTCTAAAGAAATTCATACTACTTCGAACAAGAAAAGTTTATTGTTACCACCAAATACTATAAAACATAAACATATACAAAAATGTGCTAAAAATGTAGATAAACATTCAAAGAGACAAGAAGTATCTGAAAAAGATGTATCTACTGTTAGGAAAAGTGATGCTCGAATTTATTCTATTATGCGCAAAGAAAATAGGGAATGGGAATTGAACAGCAGCTTGTTGTTAAATAATAAATCGCCTGGCAAAACTTCTGTTAAATTTAAATGCATAAAGACATCTAATGGATGTGAAACTGCCAAAGTTTCAAACTCCTTAGGTCTAAACATTATTGATAAAAGTCGTCCGCAGTGCTCTGAAATTTCAAGCGTAAAGAAATTCTTGCAGTCTTCTCGTTGTACGACTTATCAAGAGATAACGGTAAACAACGAAGATCAGTTATGTATACAAGATAATTTAATTCACGAGGTCTTGATTCCAAACGAAATTAATTCAAAAAATGAAGTATTTGACAAGTCAGAAGATCAAAATTTATGTAATGATCTGCAAGATACAAAGCTAGTGGTGGCTAAAAACGATATTAATGGAAAACCTACTTCGTCCGAAATGATCTATGTAAACAAAAGTGAGCTTATCCATTTAGAATACGAATTGAAAAATTTGCTAAGCACAATGGAAGATAAGATGTCTGAAGTAAAATCGACATTAATGTGCATCACAAAATTGTTATCTGTAAATAATGAACAAGTTATACAACCCAACATTTACATAGAAAAACAAAACTACTCTGAATCAGGGAAAGTACATAATATGATGTTAGGCAAAGAAGTTCAAGGAACAATTTGCCATAAACTGTTGCCACAAGCTAAAGAAAATTTAGGAACACCTATTTCGCATGTTCCACAAGTATATGTAAACAGTGTAAAACGTATAAGTCCAAACAGATCGAATAAAAGTAATAAAGAAAACCACGAGGTCACAATTGAAAGTAATACGCCTGCCGATGGGAACGAAAGTTTCTTAAATTTAGAAGAACAATTAAACATTACATGTGAAAAGTTTGTTCAGGCTCATTGTACTCAACAGAGAACACCTACAGTTACAAGGTATAAGCAAAAACGTTCGCTCAGGGAGTATATGGCTTTAAAGTCGAGTATAGGATTTTTAGAAACTCCGGATGGCAAAGGATTCAAGTCTACGTGTCGAGAAAGCAATATAGATACGTCTATTCTTAATAAGTCATACATTTCAAATAAACTGCTTTTAAATATTCAAAATTTATATTCTGATTCACCAGTATCTGATTAAATGTGATGAAATTAGAAACAGTTAAACAAACGTGTAAATATTAGGGATGTGGCTGGTCGGATAATGGTAAAATAAATCGAAGTATAGAAATTCTTCTTGCCAAAATAGATCGAGAAGTTCTCTACCATTTGTAATTCGATTTTTGTAACGTGCTATTTAAATGTACGCGCGCAGTGGTACTATATGCATTACATTTGCACGTGAGAAACGCCCCCCCCCCTCCCGAAAGTTGAAGTCCGAAATTCAACTTCTTACGTTCATTTTTAAAGTAAAACTTTTAATACGAAGTATTTCTTTGTCCATCGTTTTAACACTGAACCGAGTGAAACCAATTTTAATCAACTGTCACGTTACATAAGGTTTAAATTCGTATGATATGTAAAATTGATATATATGTATTTTTATTTAATAAAAATTAATATAAATTTGTACACGACTTAATTAATAGAATTAAACGAGTACCTATCGTGTTAATAGTTTTTAAAAATTAAAATTACCATTACTATTTGATGCGGCAAATATAAAATTAAGTCATTGTACCAAGTCTTATAATTTTTGACGGTATTAAATAGAAGTGGGATATGCGGAGAATGAAGTAATGTAAAAAGACAACACAGGTTAGTAGTACTTAGACGAAAGTACACCATATGAGTGCGTGTCTTCTAGGATACTTGATCAATGGTACACATCATCTCAAGCTCGCTTGAGATGACTCCTGTCACGGTCGGATTATTAACAAGTATATAATGACATCGACACCGAGGGTTCATGTTTTCCAATTTTGTCTACGACATTCTTGTTCTTAAAACAGACCGTGCAATATGTCGTAATTTGTAAACATTTTATAACTAGTCCGAAAATATCGTGCAACTTAACGAGATAAAAGGTAAAGAGAATGGCTCGACCGAAGCATAGAGTTAACACGGATATATGCGCTGACTGCGGAGCCCTTGGTAAATACGCTCTTCCCTTTTAATTATTTATCCAGTCTATCGTCTCTATTACATTTTCTTAATTGTTTACGATATTGCATAATCAGATGCCGATAAAAAGTAGTTTTTTTTAATTGGTTAAAATAACTGGGCACATCGCATAGAAAAGGTTATGTTAATTAGGTATTTACATTTCTTATGCGTTATCATTATCTATACTTTGTGCGTATTAAATAGTATGCATACAGAAAAGTTAACCATATTGCCTAACCAACGATATAATCGCATAAATTTGAATAAAAGTCTGTATTTTTTCGTGCACTTTATCTATATGTACTATTATTTATTATATCGCTTTAGATCGCTGACACTTTTGTATTTAATTGTCAATATTGGACGGTAATGCATTTTCTAATTATATTTTGTAGAACCGGAATGGGCTTCGTTGAATAGAGCCATTTTATTATGCGACGACTGCTGTGGTATACATCGTAGTCTTGGTCGTCATATATCCAATATAAAATCGCTTCACAAGAGCATCTGGCATACAAATTTACTCAATGTTAGTAAAAAGTAATTAAATAATTAAGTAATATATATTAATATATACCTTGGAATAATAATCTTTACATTTAACGTTGACAATGTTTTCTAGATGGTGCATACATTAAATGATAATGGAGCAAACAGTATTTGGGAACATTCCCTTTTAGATCCTAGTAATTCAAAAATTAGTAGAAGGAAACCACAAGTTAAAGATCCAGTACAGTTAGTATAATACATAGTGTAATATGATAGAGGCAAAATATTTTAATAATCAGTTCATTATTGATTCTTTTAGTCCGGTAAAAGCTGATTTTATTAAGGCAAAACATCAGCATTTAGCATTCATATTACGTCCAAGTAAGGAGGAATGTTGTAGCGAAGAAGAATTAAGTAAGCAGTTACATAGTAGTGTCCGTACAAGTAATTTAGAAACTTCTCTAAGACTGCTTGCACAAGGTGCTAATTCAAATTATTTTTACAAGGTATTTCCGAATAGAATGTTGATGTACAATTTATTAATAGAAATAATAGAAATGCAATGTATAACATATAATTTTACAGGAAAAAGGTACAACACCTTTACATGTAGCTGCTCGTGCTGGACAAGCTTTACAATTAGAGCTTCTGATAGCCAATGGTAGTAATCCCAGCATGATTGATTCAAATGGACAGACACCTGCTGAAATTGCCAAGTACGCAGTAATATGCTTTGTACTATACGTGTACGTACAAGAAAGAAAGTTTTCGTGAATAATAATACAAAATTTTGTTTTTATAGAATGGCAGGGCACATAGAGTTATCCGAGCGTATAATTGAATGCATGTACGAAGTTACGGATAGATTGACATATTACATATGTTCGCGTAAGCCAGATCATGGAATGGACGAACATATAATTATTCCTGAATGTACATTACTATTGGGACAAAGTGACCTATGTTTAGAAGGAAGAAATAGATTGCAGTTGGTACGTACACGAAATTTCATGGAAGTATAAAAGTATAATGTCTGGATATTTTTGTTCAGTTACCAAATCATTTGTTGGAAGAATTAGCAATGGATGTTTATGATGAAGTAGATCGTCGAGAAAACGAAGAAAGTAAGTAGAGCTGTGCTTGACCACCAATGCTCTATAGTAATCGCAATCTTTGTGTAATTGATTTTTACAATAAATGCATGAGTTACTAATTAATTTTTAATAAAAATTTTACTGGTATACATGAACACATAATGTATATGTACATATTTATGAATCTACTTTTTTATGCATTACTCTATTAATATACATGCTTTTTTTATTGCATCGTTTTAAGGAGAGGTAAGTTAAACTACAGTATTCATATTTCTATAACGATTGCTTTAATTTTGCGTTGCACTTCGATAATTTTAAATAATTTTAATAACTTAAAATGAGAATATATTCATAGAAATATAAAGAGTATGATGTTCTTAGCATAAGTATTACATTCTTTAGTAACTTATTTATTATGTTAATAGTTTGAATCTTATGTTCTTTAAATAGTATGGTTTGCAACTGCATCTTTACCAGACAGATGTACAGTGCCTTTTCTACCAGTTAATCCACAATTATCGTCCACAAGAAATCAAGGTAGACAAAAGCTAGCAAGATTTACACCAAAGGAATTCGCTACACTTATTATAGATCTACTCATCGAAGCACGCAGAAGACATATGCTTACGAGTAATGCACCGTTGCAAGGTTCGTTAAAAATTCTACATTGTATTATGTAATAATTTATCTGTTATACCGATACACATATCGACTACTAGATCCAACTGTTTTTACACATCGTAAAGGACAACTGGGAAAATATGGATCACAAATGTCTGACGATGAACCTTTATACGATAGCGTCGCTTCTGATGATGATTCAGCATTAACATCGACAGACAATGCAACGCCTGAATATTCAACGTCACAGTTTAAAATGGATAATGAGGTGAGTATTGAAATACTTTCTCTACGAAATATAAAGAACTTTATAAATACGAAAAATATGATGTAAGATATAATATGTATTAATGGAAAAAAAGATGGATGATAAGTTACTTGTTAGAATAGATCAAATTGTGTGGTAACGTATTAAAGGTACCGACACTTGTAACGAAAAGAAGAATAAGGAATCGGCTAAGTACATGGCTCTTCTGTAGACAGTGCTACTAGGCAAGTGCACAGGTCTGTTAGTGCATGTTGCAGCCATTGCTAGAGTTACATAAATTTAAATATTCTATTTTATTATTAATTATTTGCATTATCTCACCTTTTCACAATTCATACTCTACTAAAATTTGTAACACAGACATGTTAATTACGTGTTTTGTTTTGTAACAATCACATAGCGTGACTTATAATACCTTCCACTTTATTCCCCGTCTAAACGTAAAATCTTATAAATTATATTAAAATACTATTGCAGGAAGCCTTTGCACCATTAGCCAAGGGTCTTCCATCTGTCGTAGAAGTTTTGAAAAAACAATTAACTCTTTCTGAATCTACCGTCAGAGATTTCCGACAGCAGATACATACTTTGCAGAATACTATAGAACAACTTACGCACGAGAATAACGAATTAAAAAAGATCATTCACGTAAGGCCAATAATTTATCGTAACGAGTATATATTTATCTATTACCAATTAAAATTTAATCTAGCAATCCTGTAGGTGAAAGAATCTACTGATAGAGTTATTAATGGTCACGTCGGTGGGGAACAAGAACCGGAGTTGGAACCTGTGCTTGATATAAAAACGTCCCTTAATAGAAGCAATCAACGACCTGCGTCTATGTATGAAACAAGAGAAGGTTTGCGAAAACCCAGTTCATGGTCAACAACAGTTTGTCAGGTATCGATATGGAGGTCTTCTTGTTTATGTCTGTAAGTCTTATAGAGGTAAAGTTCATGTAATACTTGCGTATGTAAATGTAAAATGTAGATAAAACGAGATTCAGAATCGATGTCTCGCGTCAATACACAAAGTTTATGGGAATGCGGTGCACCGAACCTTCCTCCGAGCGAAGAAGTAACTCGAAGAACTGAACAAGTTACAAGGAGAATTCAAGAGTTATGGATGGCTATGCAAGATCCGAAACAAAGAGAAGCATTTGTACCCTGCGCGGAAAGAATTCGTGTCGCTGTTGCCGAGCTCACGGCTATATTTCCTCAAGTAAAACATTTTTTAAATTTATTCTTTTTATACGGATACGCGAAATGTTCAATGACTTTTCTTTATAGAATCCTATCGAAGAAAATATCAGAACTGCTTTGCGACAATTAAATGGTAATACGGGTAGACTTCAAGCAGAATGTTCTGGTCTTCAAAGATGTACCAGCGATGTCGAACATATGGATCGCTGTCTTCAACAAGTACGTTCATGCGCTTATGATATTGCCAAAGCAACGAAGCTACTTGTTACCCAGTTTCAAACGTAATAGATTAAAAGGGAAAGTATTACAATTTAAATAATTTTTTATAATATGTATATAACTTGTACAGGTACTTAAAACAATCGTAATACTCAAAAATCATCACGAACATTCGATAAGTATTCGTTTTTTTTATTACGTTAAAACAATTTGTCTAATATTCTTTTTATTTTGATGTAAATAACGGGAACGTGAAAAAACAACGGGAAACATGACATTTTTCAAGATTCAATACACATATTTATGTAACTTTTAATACTTTGTAAAGACTGAATAGCCACAAACCAATGAATTTTATTAATACGCAATTTAAGTTTACATATCTGGTTTAATAAATGTAACCATTGCTCGTATCGGCTGGTTCGCAATTAAAATGCTAAATATGGCAATTATTGCTTTTGTTGGCGCCATGGGGGAAAGCAATCAGTGCAATATAAAACAAGGTTAATTCCTATAAGGTATCTGCGTTTTAATGCCAATAATAAAATTTATTACAAGCCATAAAATCAAATGATCGTTTACGGCGATTAAATGTACGGCGAAAAAATGTTATCAATAAAAGTATGTTTTTAATAATGACACAAATAGAATAATACAATGTTTGTAGATAATTAATTCCATTGGGAAATTTACGTATATTAATAATCCAGCTTATATTAAAGCATGAGAAACGAGTGAGGTTCGTCGCCAGTAGAAAGAAAGTATTTTTTCTAATAATTAATTAATTAATTAAACGCATAATCATTTTAGCTGTGGTCTACAAGTTAAATTTTCTTGTTATAATGTTGAAGTTAAAAATATATATGTCATTGTATAATAAAGTTCAAATACTACGTCACTGTTAATGTAGATTAAGTTCATTCGTTTACCAGCAAATGTTCGAGCTTCTATATATCTAAAAATTAATATTTCATAATTATATGAAATAAATGTTAACTAAAAAATAGTACTTCAAAATGTACACGAAATCATTCTCCCTTTAATCGTGTATTATTGTTTTCTATTGTCTTTTGATATTTGAAACGTGTATTTATTTGAAGGCGCGTTCCATTTTAAATCCAACGATAAAGTCAGTATATTTAAAATGTTTCTATAATCCCACGGTTGTTTACATAAATGGTTGTGTTTTATCAACTAATTATGTATGTAATGCAATGTATCTACGTAAATTTGTTCAGTTTTACGATACAATTGATTATTAATCTAGAAGCAAAACTACGCGTGAATTTCCTACAATTTGTTACGTTCAGTTTTCAACGAACAAAATTTTTGTCGGTTCGAACGTTTCTAACTGATTTACACTACCAACCACGGGGTATAAAAAGTAATACTAAAATCACATTTTTGTAGTTAGTACGCGTAATTAAAATTCGATGAAAAGCAACCTTGAGGAAATTCTTGTCTAGTGAATTTCATAGGCCAATGATTCACGAGCGTTTTCGCGCTACCTGTTATGAAATCTTCGACGGATGATACAAAAACACGTGTTCTTTTGCATTTAAATCGTGAAAATTTTCAGTTATTCGTGTCGATTTAACGAACGTTAGAGTAGATAGGTAAAGCAGACCCGAAAGCGCACAGAAAAAACATCATTTTGCGTAAGTTAACTAGCGTAATACGAGCATTTACTCGGATGATTGAAGAGAAAGTGGCGAAGCAGCCAAGCGGCCATTTTATGTTAGTATGACGTAGAGGCTGGGTGTAGCTTCGCGTTCAACCGTCCGTGTTCTTTTGGAAAAGGCGAGAAAATCCGAATTCTGATGCTGGGGTCCAGGTAAATGCACGTACCACGCGCTGAACGTGTAAACCGTAAATATAAGCCCGAGGGACGTAAGGATATTAGTTAAATAAGGAAGTACACATAGGGGGTACTGAGAAGAGCGAGCATGAGCGAAGAAAGCAATCCACGAACGCTCTATGTGGGTAATTTAGACGCTTCGGTGTCGGAGGAACTTTTGTGCGCACTTTTCTCGCAAATAGGTGCCGTTAAAGGATGCAAAATAATACGGGAACCGGGAAACGATCCGTATGCTTTCGTCGAATTCACGAATCATCAGTGCGCGGCTACGGCACTAGCCGCCATGAACAAGCGATCTTTCCTGAATAAGGAAATGAAGGTTAACTGGGCAACGAGCCCTGGAAATCAGCCGAAGTTGGACACCAGTAATCATCATCACATATTCGTTGGCGATTTGTCACCAGAGATCGAGACACAAACATTGAAAGAAGCTTTCGCGCCGTTCGGCGAAATTAGCAACTGTAGAATCGTACGCGATCCACAAACTATGAAAAGCAAAGGGTACGCCTTTGTATCTTTCGTGAAAAAGTCTGAAGCTGAAGCAGCGATCGCGGCAATGAACGGTCAGTGGCTTGGATCTAGGAGCATCAGGACAAATTGGTCGACTAGAAAACCACCGCCACCGAGATCTGAGAGGCCACGACATTCGAATAATAGTAAACCTAACTACGAAGAGGTATGAGACAAGTTTCCATCGATTGTTCAAATTGGTTCGATCGTTCTTGTTCCTAGTAAAAAATTTGTAAATGTTTGTTTCTGTTAAATAGATGAATGTAATGTGTAGGAACGTTTGTATGTAATTTTATTAATCGAAACATGCACAAATTACTATGTGTCTATGGTTTTTGTATATCGTTGATAGGTGTATAACCAAAGTAGTCCAACAAATTGCACAGTATATTGTGGAGGTTTCACGAATGGTATTACGGACGATCTGATAACCAAAACATTTTCTCCATTTGGTACCATTCAAGACATAAGAGTATTTAAAGACAAGGGATATGCGTTTATTAAATTTACTACTAAGGAAGCAGCAACACGTGCTATAGAATCAACGCATAATACAGAAATTAATGGTAGCATCGTTAAATGTTTTTGGGGAAAGGAAAATGGAGATCCAAACAGTGTGGGTCCTAATGCAAATCACCAAACTCAACAGGTTATTCAAATATTTTACATGCGTATGCTGTTTTCTTAATTTATTACATTGAATTTTTAAATACTTTGTTTGACGTTAAACTTTGTTTTATGTTTTATATTCCATGAATTCAAAAAGTATTAAGATACATGTTTTGTATGATAGGTTACAGCTGGTGCTGGCCAGTACGCATACGGATATGGTCAGCAAATGAGTTATTGGTATCCGCAAGGATATCCACAAATGCAGGGTCAGTTTTTACAACCTGCTCAGTACTATGGTCAATATTATGGACAACAAGCTCAATATATGAATAGTATGCGAATGCCTGCTCCTGGTGCAGGTACATGGCAACCTGCACAAGCAACCGCCGCACCACCGACTGCGACTGCACCATTGCCACCAGGTCAGCAACCTACCATGGTATACACCATGCCACAATATCCTACGCAATGAAATTGATCATTGGTTGACGTCAACTAATTGTTACATATGATACATTTGCCCCTGGGGCTTTTGCAAAAAACTGTTCTGTCATATACCTATTCCAACAAATTTATTGGTATTTTGACTGCAGCATCATATGTACAAATTTCCCAGTTCTACTTCATCTAGAAGTACTACATTGTAAAGAAAGCTCCTAAATTTGATTGTCCCAACACTGACTGACATTGAATCACTCTTGTTGTGAAGAACTATTCCATCAAAAGTTCAAAGTGATATATATTCATATATATACACGCATACACATAAATATATATTTCCTTTATACGTTTCCCTTGCCAAACAATAGAAACGTATACCATTTTAACAAATGCAAGTTCACTTGCAGTGCTCATTAAAAAAAATTAAAACGCAAATCTATCATAGCAGTCAATCCATCAGTGTGATCGAATAATCTTTCCAAAACGGTTTGTATCCATGGTGTTGAATGAGGTATATTTCTGAACTCAAGGTTTGCAGCCCCTTGACGAGCCCTGCATTCGTTGTGCTGCGTAAGGTGTACGTATGTATGCAACCATTGTGTTGTTATATTTTTAATATTTTTTGCCACAATTACCAATTTTTAGTTTATTTCAAATCATTAATGGACAAAGATAAATGTTCATTTATGGTAAACACGAAGTACGACATTGAACATAGTATAAGATAGAGAGTATAGGTAGACGGCGCCTGTGATGTAGCTAGATTTGAATGCATGCTTTGACGTATGCAGGGCCCTTAACAAAATAAACTATGCGAATCGGTAAATGAGTTATAAACCTTCTACGTGATGTGATATTTATCGTCGGTGGTAAATGTACAAAACTTTCTTACAAAGAATTTTAAAGGGAATATTCTACGAAGTGTGTTTAAAATAAAATGTTTTTATGTTGAATTTGACTTATTTGGACATATTGTGTTACGTACACTTGAGTGACTCCTCTCCATTTGTACAGAGAAATGGTAAACCTTGGTGTAATTATTATAACGTAATTTAAATATAATGGTAATGATAAAAACTTCCACTAAGAGATGGAGTCACTATTGTTCTACATTTTTTTTCATTTGTACATTAAAAGATGATATTATGTTTCTGTAGACATACTATAAAATAACAAGAATTTATTGCTTCATAACTATCAGTATATCGACTGACAATCATCCTTGATATTTAATAATTTGACATTTCAAGTATTGCATGGCACGATACTTACACCTTCGTGTCTTCCAATTAATATGTAGTAGACATTTATTGCACGCTTCTAATAGAATTTCATTCTACAAGTTTCAGTAAAATTAGCTTTAATATTTAACATCCAAAAATTTTACCTCTGTAATTATTTTAAATGATCCGAGTTTCTAAAATATTTATTTAATTTGTTATGACAGTAATAAATTGTGCAGTAATGATAGGAGTAAAGGAATCAAAGTGAATTAGAATAAAGAACTAACCGACACTTCGCTTCACCACCGACGATAAAAAGCTATAAACCTTTCGAAACCAATTTGTATAAAGTCAGTACTGAATGTAATAACAGGGGAAACACAAAGTCGAATATAGCAATGATTAATTGACTGCGATAAGTGATATCGAATGACGGAGAGCCAATTTAAGAGAAAAATCTTGTCTATGGATTAATAATAATCAGTGAACCGATGGAAGACATAAAAAAAATGTTATATAAAGAGTAATTTAGGTACAGCAGGGTGTGAAGCCCTTGAAAATGCTTAGGATAATGTTATCTTATAATAAAAACAAATTGTCCTTTGAATGAAAAAAAAAAAAGGAATAAATATTTAAAATACACAATATTTTGTATTATTTCATAGCCCACGTTATTACAAAATATAAAGTTATGAAATAATATCAAAAGTGGTTTTTTAAATTTATAAGAAACGTAGTACCTTCGTTTATAACTGGTTAAATGTAAAAAATAATATAACACGTTTTTTAAGTACATACAAGATAATTTTATTTTACAGCCGGTATACTTTTACAATAATTATTTATGCTAACTGAAGATATATATGTTTCTCTACAAATCATCTTGTCAATCATTTAAAATATTTAAGACTGGATGACTATTGTAGGAGACAGTATTCTGACTGATTCTCTGACATAATAAATTTTTAATGCTAAGTACAATCTTGTGCCGTATATTGAAGGTAACACAATTATTCTATATATTTTTTTGTATGAAATATAATTTAAAAGGTGCATTGTTTGCATGAATTTAGTACAAAAACTATTACCACTAATCATATATAAACCAACATATCTTTTTCACAAATGTAAACAATGTCAACTAAGAATATTATAACATTATAATCAAGGAGTTATGTTAATAATTACCACAAAATTGTGAATGATTTACTTAATTTTTCACTTGGAAGCTGACAATCATTCCTTTTAAAATTGAAATGCGCTAGAACAATTTGTACTATACAGTTTTATTACATACAAAACATGCGGTTTCTCGGTTTCGATTATGGAGCGACAAAATATTATATAGGATATCTTGTATTGCTATACAGTAGGCGATACTATACTATTCAATTGCATTAAAAAATTATTATTTAATTTCGTGGATGTCGCTGAGTATATCAACGTTAATTAAATATGTATTCGCGTTTTGTTTCATTGAGAGAAGACCAGTACAATATTACATTAATAAGAGTTGCTTAACGGAAATTTTTAATTTGCGATCACGATCACTATTTTATTCAATATATTCACCTTCTTAAACAATTTATAATACTGTTGGAAAATACAAGTTCGGCATTTAATGAAAGCATAATTCATTTAGCAATTTATGGAAAGTAAATTATTTTGAAAGTGTTATGTTTTACAATTGTTGATTGTATTTCATAAATTAAATTATTTTACCAGTAATTCGGTTAACAAAAAATATAGTCATTTTTTGTATTTAGTTGTAATAACATTTTACGGAGTGACACGGATAATTTCACAGATCAAAGATTGCAAGGGAACTTAATTTGTGCAGAACGTTTGCAAATATTTCCGAACGACCGATTCATATTTTATTAATTTTAGTTTAAGTAGCATTCATTGATGTTATCGCGATTATTCAGCTTATATTCTTAAAAAATTTCCTATTACGAGTTATTATAAAAGTAGCAAAATAACTTAATCGAGGCTGAGCATGGTTTTAATATGGAAGGCCAGGGTTGTAAATTGATATATACCCATATTGATAACAGTCTGTTGTGCAAGATCGTCAAAAAGATTCAGTTAATGCTTTCACTCTACTTACATGTACATAATAAATTATTTAACGTAACGCAACTTTAAGTGAGGTAAAGAGCAGTGCAGATACAAAAAAAGACAAAGTATATGAAACTAAACGTACTTTTTCTATTCCTATTTGTGTTGGCAATAAATTCAGAAAATAGAAAAACTATCAATATTAATTTAACATTGAGTTAAAATTTTTTTCTCGATTAATTCAATTGCTTGCGATAATCAGCAGTACGTATCAAACTTAACATATTTAAATTGATATATCGCTATGAAATTAAACTTGTTTGGCATTATTTGTACCGTCAGTTGTATACTCGTTTTTTTTTTTTTTTTTCACAGAGAATGGCGTGCACTTTGTGCTGTAAATGTATATACTCTATACCTTTTACGATTCTACGTCAATTACAACTCGCGTTAAATTCTAACAATTAAATAGACAATTCTTTTTTTTTATTAAATTGCATGGCAAAAATAAAAGGAAACTGTTAACACATGCCATGTGTATTCTACTACGCGTATATTATTATTAAAGAGTATTAACTATTGATCACACTAGAGCAGCTTTAAACTCGTTGCATTAACGTCATCAATGATAAATTATAACAAATCGCTATTTGAGGAAAACATTGTTCCGTACGCTTCTTATAAATAAATATGCGTAAAAGTCAGGGAGACTAATATAAGTAATTTCGTAATGAAACATCACTACGCAAACACTGATGCTTATTTAGTACTGTTTTGCATTAAACGTGTTTTTAAATTAGTAAGTACATCGTACAAGTACAATCACCTGTTACTTGAGCATTTGAAGCAATAGATAAATATCAAAAAACATTTATATATGCAACATCTTTTTGTAGCATATTTTTTTTTTCATTAACATTATTTTTTTTCATCGATAATATTTACTTACAGACAATAAATATTTTTAATTTCATACAATTCACGTATATTTCCAGTTCGTTGTCTCATAGAAATCTAATCAAGTCAGAACATAATGCACAGTCTAATACGTATGATACTCCCTGTTTAAAGACTAAATCGATATCATTTCATTTCAACAATTATGAATTGATTATTTTAGATATCATCAAACATAACAAGATTAATAATAATTTCTGGATACGTTAAATGATGTGCAGTGTCTTGTTTTTACAAGACTTACCTATGTGCCAAAAACAATTCTACTTGTATTTCATTTTCAACAGGTGCTTGCACAAGACACCATGAAATTTTTATCAAGTTTTATGCTTATCCCATAACTTGACTACAACGATAACTAAATCGTTCATTTCCAGTTAGATTAAATTGTTTTATTATTTGATTGGACGTGTGCAGTTTCATGTGCAAATGCAGTCTTCCTACCAATACTGTTCAACTCAATTGTGCTCGATTAGTAATTAAATATTTACAATTTTTCATTTTGTTATAAAAGTGCATATTATATTTGTTAATAGTAGGTTTGTACCTTCTTAGCGATATTATAGTAAATAATATCCCTAGATACATACTTCATTAACAGAAAATAAATTGTAATTTAACGGAATTAAAGCTTGTTATTAATGAAAATGTAAATAAAAGTAATTACAAATTTCTATAAAGGAATGATATTAACAGTGCAGAAAGTAGATTGTATAACTACACAGATACTGGAATTCTAATATCAACACTGCTATAGTGGAACTTAAATCTATGATACCTGATTACTGGATGGAGTATGAAATGTATTATATATATGCGGTATAAAGCTGTTAATATTACAACTGTAATATGATTTAAAAAACAGTACTTAGCAAGAGTGCCTTTCGCTTATCGTAACATTTCTTTTTTATGTATAGACGCCTATCATTTATAAATTAGCTTAGAAAATGTAAAAGCTGTTGTATTTACATTCTGTAATAATTAATATCGCAGAAAGTCACTTTTGTAGTATTTCTCGCCATTACAGTTCGTTTATATTTTTGGTTTTCATCTTGGACTAGTCAATAATCCAATGTTATTTACTTTTAGTTCTCGAGCTTCAGCTAATTCTTAAAAATCATAGACTTACGTCGCCATATTCGAAACTCCATTTTTCGTAAGCAGCCAAACTTGCGGGTGACACCGATCTACGGATTCTTTTAAGCGAATCACGAAAATCTTGCATCGTGATGTTACGCACGGAATTAAGATCCAATTCCTTTACTTGATCTGGATTGAGCTCTGTGTAATATTAACACACAATATCTTTTACAAACACTGAACAAACGATCTGTCGATTAGACTGTCTGGTCAAAGTTCTAATATCCATTCAGTCTGTTGGCTTTAACTAAATACAGAGTAAGAAGTACAATACATTAAAAGAGAAAGACGAACAAATTTTGATTTACCTCTGATAGGGCCAAGCGCTGCATCTTTTGCTAATCCCGTTAAATCGCTTCCAGAATAGCCTTCGGTTAAAAGTGCCATTTCGTTTAATTCTTCTTGCGTGAGTGGGTCATTGTGTTTAGCTAATAGTCGTTTTAGCAACATGATTCTCGTTCGTAAATCCGGCAACGTAACATACACTCGTTTTGAAAATCTTCTTAAAGCAGCTTCGTCTAATTCTTGAGGTCTGTTTGTAGCAGCCATAACGAGCACCCGTTCTTCCGGATTACACGGTAAACCATCAAATTCAACTAAAAATTCTGTTTTCAATCGCCTAGATGATAATTATTAATTAAACAAATGACGGTGTTATTTTACGGAGATTTTTATTCTAGAAAACACTACCTCGAGGCTTCATGCTCATTGTCTCTGCGTTCGCTTAACAATGAATCCACTTCGTCGATAAAGATCACAGATGGCTGTAACTCTCTTGCTATAGCAAAAAGAGCTCTTACTAATTTTTCCCCCTCCCCAACATACTTTGATGTAAGGCTGGCGGCAGATATTGAAAAAAACGTAGCATTACATTGGGTAGCTACAGCACGTGCAAGTAATGTTTTTCCATTCCCTGGTGGACCAAATAACAATAATCCTCTTGCAGGCGTTCGCAGACCAGTAAACAATTCTGGTCTCAGCGACGGTAAAATCACCATTTCCTGCAGTGCTTGTTTCGCAGTCTACATAATCAAGATATAAAGAACATGATGTCTATATACCTTCTCTCTTTACATGATAATATAATGTAATGTTTGCAAACCTCTTGACCAGCTATGTCTTCCCAATGTACTGCTGTTCCTCCTTCCAAAATTTCATCAAGAATAACTTGCGCCAGTTTTGGATCCACACCCTTCAAAATAGGTACCTTTCTCGTAGGTGTACCTCTGTTACTGTTTGTCGCTGTAGGTGTGCCTGGTCTCCTTATAGGTGACCCACTTCCAGGTACAGACAATTGTCTTTTCACAGAGGGTGGTGTAGACGTTGGTTTAAGAGGCGTAACTCTGTGACATGACTGAACTGGCGTTGAACGTCCCATACTGCGCGGTAACGTTTGACTCTTGCTGATAGTTGTACCCACTCTTTTTCCAGGAACAGATAACTTCCTTCCAGATGCTATAACAATATCACAGAATAAGTAGGGTATAAAAAGTGAAAATACAGAAGTAAAAATATACACGAATGCAAATTCTGAATAAATCTAATATATGGACAAACTATCGCAAAGAATAATGTACAAGACAAATACATTGAAGCAAAAAATTATATTAATATAATTGAAATTCGTATAAGAAATTTTTTATGCATTATTTGTAATAATATAAATAGCAGTAAAAATGTTGTATTATTAATGCTTCATAAGTCTTAATATGTTATATTATTAAGAATCCATATATACATATTAAACGCTTTGGTGCCATATTTAAACATTGAATATAACGTGTTAAAGTAAGTAAAGTATATGTATTTTTTTTTTTTTTTTCCAACTAAAATTTGCAATCTTTGTACAATGCATACGTTCATGCATGTCGACTAATCTTCCCTTCTAATTAATTCATTGTCACATACGCATACTTATTTTAGTTATATACATATGTATAATCTTACCATACTAAAAGTTTTATTTAAATAAATACTATACTACGTTACTACGATATAGCGAAGCTACTATAATTGTAATAGTCGATATAACAAACATGGCTACATTTACTACTTTTTGACTATGTCAGAAAATAGATTAAATGCATATTATCAATGGAAGAAAAATAACATTATTAGGGAAGCAACTATTATAAATATCATATGAATAAATTTACAATTACAGTTTGCATGTAAGCCCAGAACTTCAGACAAACAGTACCTTCAGAATGGGCACAATAGTTTTTTGGTGAACGTGGCCTTAACTTGGGAATTTGGGTACATGTATTCTGTCCTATGTTCACTGTCTGTGTACTGTTTGTGTTTTTTGTATGATTAGTGTTTAAGGAAGAACGTGCTGTTTGTAATGTGTGTATATTGCGTCGGGCCCTCAGATTCTTTCCTGGATGTTCGTCGTCCACTTTATTTCCAGGGGCACGATATTCACCGGAGATATCCATCTTTTTCAGCTCACACACACTCGCTACAAAAAGGAAAAACATTCTCTGCCATGCTGCAGTAGGCTAAATAGCTAAATACGGATTGAACTCGTAGAATTTCTTAAATTTTTCTCAGAATTTTAAACTATTTAACTAATATCAAAGTATGGAATGAGCGCTTTTGACGGCTATTAGAAATGCTGCTATAAAAAGTTTTGGCTACTCATTTATACATAAGTATTTGCACCACTTATGAAAAACCATATAGTGCCAAAAATAAAGTTATCAAATGAAGGTATAACGCGCGCATGCATACACGCATATATACATTCGTACATAGACACATACACGCGCGCACACATACACGTAAACATTATAGACAATTAACACATGAGCATGCTAAATACACTATTATCGTGTTATCCCTTAAGCTGTTATCATAACTTGATCAAAGCACGATATTAATGTATCGATAATATTAAATGCAAAACTGTGCTTTTATTTTACATATGATAGAAACAGCTCAAGAAACGTGACATTAATTAAATATATATGGCTACAAACCAAGGAAGTCAAGTCTGTCCTTTGCCATTACTAAATTCATGCGCATTTTATCGTGAAGCCTTTGAGCGTGTTCCCAAACTTCTCCACGACCACCGGTGCATTCTACAGCTATTCCTTTTTCCAATTCTCCGATTCCTTTCTTATAAAGTTCAATTGCCATTTCTTTTTGTCCTAATAAAACGATCAAAAGAAAATATTAAAAATATCGCAATTACTTCGACATTGTTTCAGTTTGATTTTCATAGATGGATTTTCTTTAATTAAACCTAACATAGATGATGTATTGACACGGTACCTTCGTTATCCTCGTCAATTTTAAGTGCCTTACTGATGAATTCAAAAGCTCTACAGTGATGATGTTTTTGTTTTGCAAGCAGGGGATCCCCAGGACCAGGACCGATAGGTCTTCTGGGTACTTGAGACATTCCTTTGTTCTCAATTTGTCCAGAATTATGTAAATTATTATTCAAGCTTTCTGCGGACTTTTGACCAACAACGATCTCCAATTGGCAGGTTTGCTTGGAAGCTTGCCTTCGTTGGATCAGCTGAGACGTAGATGTATACAAATACTTAAATACCACAAATAATTGATAAAGAAGTGTTCTCAGAACGTTGAAGAGCAGTATCAAGGGGAAAGAAACAATATATAGATTACGCTTGTGTACCGACGGTTGAGGGGTGTCGAGAAAGCGATGGCTATGATGATAGTGATTGTGATGATGATTGTTGCAATTTATAGTGGTTGTAGTTTTATCGTTATTTTCATTCTTGGTCACGCAAAGCTTTTTCGGCGACTTGGTGCCGAATTTTCGGATCGGACGGCCACCATCGCTGTAAGACATCTCCTATCGTAAAATTTTCGGAATTCGTATTGTACGAATTACTGCGCTTATTACCGTCAAAGGTAATTCGAGCTAAACATTTCGACATTCCAGACGTTGCGTGACCATTTGGGAAAAAGACAGTACTTTAATAACCAGACACTATTTATCTTTCTCTTTTAAAAAACGTTTCGGAACCTCGACGAACAATTCTTTTTAACGATAACAATTGCACTGTTCGAAACAGTTGCTCTCGGTAAGGAATGGGATGCCACGGAATTCCGAAATGCTCGGAATTGGCGAATTACAACTGAAATCGAGCGGTTCGTGGTTTTTTTCAGCATCGCTTGTTTTGATTAACGTGGGACTTGGTACATCGATGTATGTACTATAATAATATCGAACTACAAACATCGACGAGTATCGTTTTACAAAATCACGTATACAAAAACATATTCATAGAGAAACTGGTAATTAATGCACTCTGGCATATACTCACACAAGATAGATTATTCTGTGCACTTGCGCTCTTTAGTGATATTTCCTTGCACATGCGTATATTTTGATGTCCTACCCTCCAAGAATTTTTAATAATTTTTAGATCACGAAACACGTCGCGCGTTCATTCATAATTACGTTCTCGGGCACGGCTTTCTCCGTAGCGGATTCACGGTCCAATTTTTTTTCCTTGCATGCACACACACATATGCATAATATCAAACATAATTTATATCGCGTCCATGCAAAGATAAAAATCTATTGACGTTAAAAGTCATTTTTAAATCTCTTCGCAGTTATTACGTAGGACGTAATCAAATCGCAAACATACGTTTATAATGACAGATGAAAATTGGAGAATGGGACTAAAAATAATAAAAAAAACTTTCGATACTCACTGATAAAAAAAGCTCGCCGTCGGAGTTTTACGTGGTTCAACGTTTTACCGATTTGACGTACGTATATGCACACGCATCAGATACTTCTATTAGATAGGGAAGCCAACGGAAGTTCGGTATTAATTTTATGAGCTTCGCTCTGAAGAAGATGAGGTCATTGAGTTCAAAGAACCAATCAAGTTGATCAAATTCCGCGGTTTCCTTAAAGACCCGTTTCCACGTTGGATAACGTTGGAAGTGACACGAAAATGGTAAGGGGCATCGCGAGTTCCCGACTCGTGAGGCGAAAAAGCATTATCCGCAACGTCTATTCTATACTTCGTCTGTGGCGATACGAAAATACATTACTTTATATCTTTCTGTGGTTTTGGATGCGATATGGAATTTTTGTCGATCGACGATAAACCAGTTTCGCGTGTTTATCAATTGTGTTACGTTAGTTCGTAAGTGTCTTACAGATGGCCTACCGATACGATGCCGCCATTTTCTTCTTCAGTTCTGCGTTTTACATTCCAGAGATTGCATCGAAGCAAGATGTCGTCCGCAAGTGGTGATGAAAGCGAGATCACTTTAAATGAACCTGGTAAGAAGATAATATTTTTGAAAGAAATCTAGTATAACGTCTCGCGACTGCAATCCCCCGTCGGCTATATTATGTGTTCGTGTAAAAGTGGCATAGACATAACGATAGACCCGGCGGCTCGCCGAAGGCCCGCAAACCGCCATTAAACGAATGGCGTCTCGTACACGCATTTAATGTGTAAATATTCTGTTTCATTTTTTAATATTTTCGTCTTTTCCTTTTCGTGATTCCAGTACGGCGTACGCGATCAGGTCGTACGCGCAAAACTGCTGTCGTGGCGAAGAAATCCCCCGTAAAGAAACTTCTGGCAAGGGCAACACGTTCTCCGAAAAAAATGCAAGAAATCGAAGAGGTCGAGGTGCGTGAGGCTATAGATAGTTTTCGTAATCGTCGAAGCACATGATTTTCAATAGGTGATACGTTGGTTCTTGTAATTTTTTAGGAGGAAGAACCTATATTGCAAGAGGCAGTAGTTGTGGAAAGCATTCCAGAGAATGGTGTACAAAGATTTGGTGACATTATTATTGAACAGCACGCAGAAGACGAATCGACTATGTTGCACTTAGAATTGGAAGATTCCGGCGATACAACCATTCATGAAATCAATATGAATCAAAATATACAAATAGCAGAGGAACAAGAAAATGTACCTGATCTAGATGCATCTGTGACTCAGATTGTTAGTAATATGCATACAATGATACAAGCTTATATTTACCATGTATGATGTTCATAAATCTATTAATTATGTTGTATATCTTAATGTATAAAGTATTCTTTGTTAGGTTCATTCTGATGCTGTGCCGGATCACATGATCATAGAAGAGAGCAGTATGGACAAAGTTGATATTTTAAGCGAACGGGAACAAGTAGATATGGAAGGACAAGACATGAGCAATGACGATACGAATCAACATGTGCTAATAGATTTTCACGAAGTCATAAACGACGATGGGGAAACTATAACACAAGTAACAGAGATTTTAGAGACGGAGGAGATTGAATCTGAAACTGTTATAAATGATGGTACTGGAATCGAAGTTATGGAAGTAGATTGTCAACAAGAACCGCAAGAAGTTACGGATAGCGTTGCAGGGAAGATTGCAACCGATACAGAAATGACAGAATTAATGGAAGTGACAGAGTTGACAAATACAGATGTAGAATGCTCGCCTGAAAATACTATGAAAAAAACGGAACCTGACACAGAAGCTGTGTCCGAGGATGAACTACCTACCGAAGCTGCAGCAAAGGTATGTTGTATTAATTTCGTAAATAATAAACTGTACAAGCAATTTGTAATATTTAATTTTTCTCTTGCAGGAGCCTGAGACAGAAGCAGTATCCGACGAAGAATTACCAGCAGCAGCTCCTGCGGATTTGGGAGAGACTGAGTCTGTTTCTGAGGACGAATTACCGCCGGATAGTGAAAAGAAGAAGAAAAGTGGAACGAAGGCAATGAGCAAGACTCCGGAAAAAAAGAGCAAAACGGAAGGTGGAAGTACGTATATAGAACTATTTTTGAACTGTTTGAGCCACGTTCCCGTTAGGATACATTTATTTATTTACTTTATACCGTTTCTTTTGCAGATAAACGCAAGTTGAATGCAGAAGGAGAGTACGATCCCAGTTCGCCAACATCCGAAAATAACGATGAAACGCCGGCGAAAAAAGTGGCGCTCTCGGCCGAAGCGGACACTGGGGACAGTAAGCAAGAGGCTAAACCAGCATCGCCGAAGAAAAAGACGTTGCCAGAGTTAGAAAAATATTGGAAAGCTGTTAATGAGGATCCATCGGATTTCACAGGATGGACATACCTTCTTCAATATGTTGATCAAGAAGTAAGTTGAAAATTATGAAAGCTACGCGAAGTTATATACGGTAAATATATAAATTGTTTCTATTACTGTAGAATGACGCAGAGGCTGCTCGCGAAGCTTATACCAAATTTTTGGAGCGTTATCCATATTGCTACGGTTACTGGAGAAAGTTTGCTGATTACGAGAAGAAGAAGGGCAACCCCGAAAATGTCCAAAGGGTGAGTCCACTCGTTTACCACATTCATTAGGCTACCTCTCATTATATCATTTAATTAACGCAATCTAATGAAAATAGCTCGAGTTAGGAAGACGCGTGGGCAGTGTGCACGCACGTAAATATGGTTTTCCCTTCCAACAGCCTAGCACGTCTTGCGGCACCTATACGACTCTCTCCGTTTACCAAATAGCTAGTTACTTAATTATTCTGCGATATATACAATATTATTGCGAATATTAATGTTTTACTTATACCGTTATACTGATATTCTACGTATGATACGTAAGTCAAGCGAAGGCTAGTTGTTTCAATTTGCGATATTTATCGTGCAAAATTGTGTGTAATATTTACTGTAAGCATTTGTACACATAGCTTACTACAGAAAGTATTGTAACTTAAGCATAAGATGCGGTACCTTACTTAATGTAAGTAAGATTGGGTTGGGTGTTAAATCAAAGTCAGAAACAAAGACTTAGGACGTGAACGTGCCAGAGAGGGAGCAAGAAAAAGTGGCGGAAGACACAGAGGCACCCAGATTGGAACACTCCTTGATTTTAAGGTGAATGCACAATGCTCTGCAATCTCTGTGTTAAATAAATCTCTTTATTTACAGTACGCGTACGATATGTGAGTATACGTTGCTAAAAAACCGTAATGCTTAACGAAAGCTAGAAAAAGAAAAAAGAAATAGGTATAAGTCTACCCGCCACCAGCCCAATCAGTTGTAAACTGTTCTAAATGTGATTGTAAATCATTACTACAGGTATTCGACCAAGGTTTGAAAGCTATTTCGCTCAGTGTGGATCTTTGGCTACATTACATCAACCATTGCAAAACTGTCTACGAAAAGGATGAAGAGAAACTACGAGAACAATACGAAAGAGCTATTCAAGCATGTGGTCTTGAATTTAGGTCTGAATTCCGTTCAACTTAATTCGTGAAATTGTTTTATCGTGATCGAATATTTATACAGATAGATATATTGTTCATTTTTCAGATCTGATCGTCTTTGGGAAAGTTACATAAAATGGGAGTTGGAGGGCAAACGTCTCAGCAAAGTAACGGCTTTGTACGACCGCTTGTTATGTACGCCTACTCTTGGCTATATATCCCACTTCGATGCATTTCAAGAGTTCGTTTCCTCGAACTTACCAAATCGTATTTTAAGCGTTGATGATTTTCTTGCGTTGCGCGCCGAAGTGAAAGCGCTTTTGAAATCAGATGACAATACGTCTACTTCTGCAGCAGACGATGCACCGCCCGGAGAAGAACCCCCACCGCACGAACTTCCACCTACCGACGAAGAGACACGTGCTATCAGAGAAAAGATTATTAGCAGCAGGCGTAAAATGCACAAAGCCAATATTAACGCAGTTGCTGCTAGATGGTCGTACGAAGAAGGTGTAAGTATACAAACACAATCTGTTCGATGTGCTCCCCTTTCATATCAGCACTTATCTCTCGATTTTTATTAACAGATTAAAAGGCCATACTTCCACGTGAAACCTTTGGAACGGTGTCAATTGAAAAACTGGAAGGAGTACCTAGATTTTGAAATTGAACAAAAAGATCAGAACCGAATAATCATTTTATTTGAAAGGTGTCTGATAGCGTGTGCTCTGTACGATGAATTTTGGATGCGAGTAAGTCGATAATAACACTGCTTTGCTTATTGCCTTTAACGAGAAGAGGAACGTCCTGATGTTAAATAAATATATTTTTATATTTTTTCCCCCCCGTAGTTTGTTCGTTATTTGGAATCCTTGAAGGGCGATAACGTGGACAAAATTAGAGATGTATATTCCAGAGCTTGCATGGTGCATCATCCAAAGAAACCAAATTTGCACCTTCAGTGGGCAACCTTCGAAGAAGGTCAGGACAATTTCGAGAAAGCGGCAAGCATACTTGAAAACATTGATAACGTACTACCAAATATGTTACAAGTGGCATATCGACGAATTAATTTGGAACGTAGGAGAGGGGACTTGGATAAAGCGTGTGCATTATACGAAAATTATATAAGTAACAGTAAAAATAGAACTATCGCAAATAACATCGCTGTAAAGTACGCGCGATTTCTGTGCAAAGTAAAAAATGACGTGGACAAGGCAATTAAAGTACTACTGAAGGTATATCAATGATGCTATCTTATCTATTTTAAAACTTATTTATTTTAAACATAAATTATTATGTTATACATATATTATATATATTATTTTTAGGCTACAGAAAAAGACAAAGATAATCCCAGACTTTACCTACAATTGATCGACTTGGGGATGCAAAGGGCCCCCGTTGATACACAAGAAATAATAGGGTACATGGATATGTTCATAGAACGAGAGCACGCTGATCTTGAACAGAGAGTACTTTTCGCGCAACGTAAAGTAGAATTTCTTGAAGATTTTAGCCCCGATATTCGACAAGTATTGAAAGCGCACGAGCAATTCCAAAAATGTATCAAACAGGCAAAAGAACGGAAGAAGACGAAAAGCGACGACACTAAGACGTAAGTATCTATATACATAATCATAAGATTCATTAATTTACTTCAATTCTACGTTTCGCAGAGATACTTCTCCTCCAAAGAAAGTGAAAATTGGTGATCAATCGAATATACCACCACCGCCTTCTGTCAGCTCCCAGTCATCATACCAATACAGCAGCGGCCCAAGCGGACCTTATCAATCACAGCAACAATTTCAGGGTGGCCAGTACGGCGGCCAAGGCGGTTATCAACAGGGTTATCAACAATATCCGCCTCCATCCGATCCTAATTACGCAAATTATCAAAATTGGCAATACGGACAAGGTGGACCGCAAGCGTACGGGCCATATAATCAATGGGGATCTTACAATTACTATTAGTGGATATATACGATGGTTTTCCTGTACCAGCTTTCGTTGCGTTACTGTGTCTACTGTACATTTTATAATCTTTATTCTTCTTTCGTTCGAGGATGATTGGCAACAAAAAAAAAATGAAATTCTTTACAGTTTTAACGACACATCAGTGACCTGACACGAATCCTAATGCTATACATGGTCGGATATCTTTCGTTCGACACAACAACCGATGTTTTTGCATGCAGCTCTTGTCTTAATGTATTTCTAAGTGATATAGCCGTACAGGAAATACTAATAAATTTACGACTGTTGACGAATATATTATTACAATTGTAACACGAAACACGTAGTTGACAAAAAATTGCCATACAGTACGAGATCGAAGTATGCTATGTTCTGCATTCGCAAGCATCCCAATTGACTTTACACGATAAAACATATTCACAATTTTTTTAATATTTTGTTCCATGACGTCTTGTTTCTTTAACGGGAGATCAGCAGTTTGTAAATGTTGCCCTTAACTCGGAATAACTGTTCTCTTTTCTGCGCGTACTTAGTTTATGATAGAGTTTCTAATAATGTGCGTCGACGTATTTGGGTGAAAAACATTGGAAAATACACGCATTCGTACACACATGAACAGAGGATGCTTAAAAACAGCGGGACAAGTAGAAATGCGTAAAGAGAAATTGGAAAATCTTTTATTGTTTTGTAATCCGAGGTTTCATTTTCGAAATAGAAATAGTTCAAGGTTTTACCTGCAATAACGCCATGGACGTGTTTCTCACGTGCTAGTACGTGCTTGTATCGTCACGCAACTACCTGTCAGAAATATAAATAGCATGGACCGTCATGTATGTGCACACGCATAAGAACATGTACCTATAACGTTCTCATTAGGAGTGTATAGGTACAAGTACTCGAGTACTATGCGTTTCATAAATCTCAGGCCAAACAATACCGATCAGTCTTGAAGCACTTTGGTTGTCCGAAATGTATCCGACACCGCTCGAACACGACAATGTTTTACAGCTCGAATCTGGTACCTGCATACCTTTTACTTTGTGTACATAAAAGCTTTAACTGGTTATATTTTTAAAAATAAAGTCTCCAATTGCAAAATGGCAAAGAACTTTTTCGATTTCTCTTCGCGCGCAAGAAATTTGCGTTTCGACGTGTCCCATGGTTTTAAAACACACCGTACATACACGCAGAGCGTTTCGAATATATATCATTGAGAGAATAGATATTTGGATGCCACAGAAATGCTACGTGAGCGTATTTTGTGGGATATTCACGGAATAAATATTGTTAACATTTGTCGATACAGTTTTGGTAACGTGCGAATCGAGAAACGCCGACTACGTTTCTATAACGTGAATAGTTATAGAGAAAGCATGATCGTTGGTGCCCTATTAAATTCTTAAGTTCACAGATGCACATATTATTTTCTATGCTGTAATTTCACATTTGTAACCGGGATCCGAATTCAGTCATAAATCGGTACAGAAGGTCGTGTACATTGAAGTACATTATTCCCATGTGGACATTTTTATAATTTGCAATAAATGACATTTATAAATATGCAAACAGTTCTGATGATGATAGTGTATCTCGTTTATATTAATTTAGAATTTTAAGGTAATATATTTATGATTGTCAAAATAAGAAAATATAATTTTAAATTACATTGTGAATTAATGTTTTAATTCACATTATTTGTCGATAAGTAATGTTTGATAAGTGTTTGGTACTAGATTCCCAGCGTTGTTTAATTGTTTATACAATTGAATAAAAATTAAGTGTTGGATTTCAGGATAAGAATAGAATATAAAAATACGAAAATATTGTAACAAGTACTTCTTTTTATCATGAAAACATTATTAGTACAATTCTCTATATAATTATAAACGTGGAACTATTGCGAGCTTGCGACTTGGCATACGAGATAGAGCATTTGTTGTTAATTAGAAATATTCGTAAAAAATTCTCTGTAATCTAAGCGACAAAATTTATATAACATGCATATTGCATTAGTAACAAAAAATATTTCATTCGATACAAGTTGGATATTATTATGAAAGACATTAGTTTTACGAATAACTTTAGTTTGTAATTATAGCACTTGAAGCCATTTGATTAACTCCGCAGGTACCGTCTCCTCTAAATACTCTATAATAGCCTTGTTCGCCCCATCTTGGGCCCCAACTATTCTTTATTATCCAGTATGGTAATGTTTTCTTGAATATGGGATACTCTGTAAAAAAAAAAACAACAAAATACTTTATATACACGACATAGAAACTGGTGTAATTAGATTCATAAAGTATAACACATACTGCTCGTAGCATATCCCACAATTAGAACGCCGTGATCTAAATTATCGGGGCTACATAAAAACTTGAATGGATGCGAAACTCCCTTTATATAAAATTGCATGGCATTGGCGTTAATAGCAACAGAAATGGGACCATTCGTTACTAGCCATTGTGCCATTTTTGTTTCGTTCGATGTAATATTTACAGCCGAGTCTATTTGTACCCTAGATTTAGTTTGAACGAAGTGGCACTTTTCCGTTTTGGCATCGTATGGATAATCCGTTTCCAATTCAAGACCGCCTAATCTTTCTATGCTTCTGTATGCATTATACATATAACCTCCGTTGCATCCTTCGTCCAATGAATCACAATCTACCAGTTCTTGTTCAGACAATGATAACAATTTATTGTGTCGAATTGCATACTGTCCTTCTATATTTCCTGTAACTGAAAATGCCCAACACGATCCACACTGACCTTGATCTTTAACAGGCGTGACCACGCCATGATCACGCCAATCGAATTTCGGTGGCAAATCAACGTCCGGTATCTCAGCCTCTGAGAAAGGTATATCATTTTCGTGTCTCAACTCGGGTCGAAAGCCTAAGTAACGTTCTTTGAATTCTTTGGGTGTTAAATCTGCGAACATTGTAACACCATACTTGGCTGTTCCCTGTTCGAAATTTTGTAATTCTTCGATAACCTTTAGATTCTTCTTAAAAATTTTGAAACGATCTTGTTTCGTCTGAGCCGAATCATATGTTTTACCATACTCTTTGATGAAACTTTCAAACATAGTCTCGTCTTTGATATCTTCAGCTATTTCCAACATTTTTTGACTGTATCGATTACCTCGTAAGGACCGCTTTGTTCTGTTTAAATCACAATTCATTGTAATTTCCGGATACCCTCTATCTATCCATGGCCGCGACCATATCGAAAACATACATTCCTTGACTTCACTTCCATCTTTTAACTGACAATTATTTTTAGTACCCTTTGGGCAAGTACTTGTGCCCAATTTAGCTGTAATTTTGTACAAACTCCCTGACACCACTTGTTTCGAAGCCTGCACGATTTCTACTATCATAGGTTCATTCGCATCTTCAGAATATTGTGAATATTTCTGCAATGCTTTGTTAACAGCTTCCTGTATTTCAGGATCATTAACATCTTGGTCAGCAGGTGCACCAACAAGTTTAGATTGTCGTTTGTTCCTATATAATTCACGTGATTCGTTGGTTGTAGTATCGATGGATACTTTTTTCGGCAAAATTATGTCTTCTTTAACTTCTTCTTTATTTATTTCTGGATTTGATTCAGCTTTTCTCGTAAGTAAATTAAAATCTTTTAGAAATTCATTAAAGTCTTTAGCCTTGTCTTCAAATCCTTGAGGTTTTGTATCATCAGTGCTGTTGTTTATGTGAAACTTGACAATAAGACGTTCCGTTACTTCTGATTGCGGCTGCTCTTCCAATCTTACAGTTACAGTATAAGTAACATTAGTAAGAATATCCCTTGAATTTTTTAAAGCCTCAAACTTTTCAAAATTCATTTCTTTTTTGTTAGATGCAGGTGTTACAAGTGCTTCTGCATTCAACATCGAAGGCAAACTACTATTACGTTCTATTATACAATCCTTCTTTGTTATTACACGACTAGATTGTTGCCAAGGTTGTTCTTCAAACGTTACTAAGCATATATTAGTAGGAAGATTTTCTTGCACAGAGCATTCAGACTGATCTATCGCATTTTTTAAACAATTGGTTTCCCCCATGCGTAATAACAGTTGATATCGTATTATGTTAGACGAAATTGGTACAACCCGCGTTACTTTGATAACATCGATCATTTTGTGTTTAAAGTCATTCGGTATCGATTCATCCATCAATTTTGCAACTTGTTCTCCGAACACAGCTAATCCAGGTAAATTTGGGTTTAGTTCGTACGGACATCCTGGACAATAATTGGGAGTAGAAGCCCTCATAGCTATAAACGGTCTATCGTTATGATCTCCGGTCTTCTGAATCTCATGATCTAGTTCGACACTTTGGTTACTAACCATTTGTTTGTCTAAATTTTCAATAATCTCTTGTTCTTGATTATTTTCTTGCCCTTGCAGCGAATCGTATTGCGTCGATTGAGGATACAAATACATGCATTGTATAGATTCTTTTAAAACCATTATGTCTCCCTGTTCGTGTTGTTTTACTTCGACAGTACATGCTTCTCTGGGACAAGGTTCCAATGCTTCCTTACATATGGGAGTCAAATCAAACGTAAGCCTATATATTATATATGGTGACAAATCCTGGAAAACAAAGGAACGCAAGTAATAATTTTGTGTTCGTGTGTTACAGAGAACGTAATTGGTTGCAAAAATTTTAAAAATCTTTATCGTTATTGATTACAACGTTTTATTCGTTAGAAAATGTATAAAACGTACCAATTTCTGTGCACTAATCAGGTTACCACCCTTGTACGTATGATGGGTCGGAGAATCTTCGTTCAAAGAATTCAAGGCACTTTGGATTAACGGCTCCGGTACATTTTGTATTGGCTTGTTCGCGGAACAAGAGAATATAAGGATCAAATTAATAAATAATAAAAATAGAAAGCGCACTGCGCACAACAGAGAGCCTGCCATCTTTCTGGATGTACGTCGTTGTTTTGACCTCCACTTGACGTAATTGACTCTTGTTGATTCTTTATACTTTTTTCTGTCGCTGATTCAAAAACGTTAATCAGTTCTGAAAGCTTTGCGCGACTGATCGGTTTACACTTTGTTCGACAATACTTATGACTCACTTTTTGTGTTTCAATAGAAGCAATTAATGGAATTTATTTTCTGGCTTGAAATAGAAATAAAAGGGTAATCATTAGTATTAAAAACAGCATGCATATTTTTAATGCCAAGATAAGATACATTCTATAACATAATACGAAATAAACGTATCTATGTGCTATTAAAAGAGTAATCATTTTATTGATAAAGATATTTATAGTTTTCTCGTTAATAATGTAATGCATGAATATATTTAATGTATTCGATGAAGATATTTAATATACTGTATTTTGAAGAGAAAAAAAGTTAATAATATAGATGACAATTCAGAAAACGTCAACAAATATTGATATACGTAATTCATTGAAAACAATATTAACAAGATTGTGTTATTTAATATGAACTTGCTTTGTTTATGTTCAAGTATGCATTACATAATGTATGAACGTTGAAACTGTTCCCAATTAAACTCTGAAATGATATTCGTTACATTTTAATTCTAGAATATATTTAGAAATTTTTCGATGCTATTTTTAAATCATTCTTGCATTATCACGTTTAAACGTTCCCGCTACTTTCAAAACCAATATAAACATTCCTTGAGTTTCGATTGTCAAAGGTAGCAGGCAGGGGGCAGCATTGCTGCCGGCAGTAGGTATTCCACCGTTGTGAAGTGATCATCTGTGAAAGCTGCAGTGGTTGCAGTATCCTCGAAAATACCACGCTTTAACAGGCATAGTTTGCTACGTTACATGGCGCATCATTAATTTTCATTGGTAAGCGAATTATGTATCGTTTATTTTCATTCGCTTTGATTAAAATCCATAAAATGGTGGGAAAGGTACAAGTTCACGTTACATTGCAGTCAAGTTGTATCGATTTTCTACTTTACTTTAGCTACGTTTGACCTAAAGTACGTAAGTCGTTCCAGCAAATTTATAGTATATGACAATATTATTAACGGATTTTACTTTTTTCTATGCGGCTTCTTGGCAAACATTGACGAGTGTTTCCTTTTAGTTCCATGCGTCTTTTTTACACACGATTTTATGTACCTATTTTTATATTTGTGCGACGGGTCTTCCTTTTTAATATTCAAATTTTGTCTAGCTTCCATGTAACTTACAGTCTATCAATTTAACGTTCCGTACACAGTGTTTAACATGCCTAATAGACCTTTACATGGCCACTTTGCATCATAAAAAGAAAGAAATATTTTGTTGTATCTCTTCATATTTCCTTCGATAGACGAAGAAGAAAATTATACTGATTTATAAAATAGAATTGTTATATTCAATGGTAAGGTAAGCATAATTAGAAATATATACTCATAATTTTTTTTAGGAAGCAAAAGAAGCTATCGTAAGGTATGAAGTTTTCCATTTGGTGAAATAACACAAGTGATTTTCGATTGGTAGAACATGGCATTGCCAATGTCATTCCATTAATTAAAAGCATTGTGTTACGGAACAGCTTATTTGCTTATTTTGCCGATCAATTAATTTGCTCTATTTCTAGCCTTTTAAGTAAAGAGAAATGTAATGCAATTTGTTGTATGTTGTCAGAACTTTGCCAGTAGATTAAGGAACCAACCAAGATCCCTTCTGTCAAGCGTCTTAGTTGGTGCAGAAGCTGGTGACTTTCAGAAACGGAACAGATTAAGCGAAGGGATTATTGTATGTTCTCGTGACAGTATTGTATTCTTAACTACATTTACACGCTCCGATTACTGTTGAAATTATAACATTGACTAGTTTACACCGAACGTTCCCTGTACCCAGGAATAATAACGAATCGCGCTGTAAGAGGAGAAAGTCGCTAGCTTTCGCTATATTCTCCCTCTCGTAGTACGTTTCTAGTTATCGTGTGACTGAAACGCTAGATGGCGTTGCTATGGCTGTACGACAAAGATTCCAAAATGTCAAAATATGTAACCTATCTGTGACGCATAAAATATCAACGTTCGACCGACGGCTTCGCGGTATTTATAGTTTATAGAAGATTATAAATTCAACAAATGAATTTAGATAGATACATATGCAATCGATAAATAATATTTCGATAAATTGTTTGTACCTTAAAATATTGTGTCGTTAACAAGAACATTGTGTAAACGTAGTCACTGAATATAATTGGATCGATCGATCGGAAACGATTCGCGACTCGATACGGAATTCTACTTATTCAATTTTCTTTGTTTACACTTGGAAATCGTTAGAAAGAATCAACGATTTTCAAATTGTATATATAATACATGTTCTGGCTATACTGCAATAAACGAATTGATTTTAGTCGATCATTTGCAACCGTTCATAAAATATGACAAAAGATTGCCCGACGTGCATCATCATTCTTAAGGAAGATTGAGCACGTTGCTACGTAAGAGTTTTCGCAAAATATAAGTTGAATTCGATATCGAATCACGTGTTCCCGCGCCTTGACTTTGCAGTTATGTTATTCCGCCTTTCTATTGGCGCATTCCTTTCTGACGACGTGCACACCCCCCACCACGGGGACGAGCCACCGCGCTGACAGTCTGCGACTGCTCGTTGGGTAGTAGCTGACTACCATCCTGGGATTACGAAGGACTTATTTCCGTGAAGTTTGCGTTCGCAGTTTAACCGGTTTCCCTTTGCAAATAAAGTACCAGTGTCAGTTGTCGAATTGTTTGTTCGTCATTCGCCAAAGAAAGTTGATCGTGGAATCTGTAAACTTGCGGAAACACCCGTCGAAGGCTACTGTATCGACGAATTACGGTTAGTAATACATAATAGCTAGTCGGTGTCATAGTTTTTCTCTGTGATACGAGCACTCGTGAGCCGATGGAACCTTCCACTATTCCATTCAAACGTGTACCTTGTAAATAGTTTTTTTTTCCCATCGAAGTCTGTGACGTTGGTTCGAGTTTTATGATATTTTTAAAAGGGAAGAGAGCAGCGGAGACTGCGATTCTCACGTTGCAAAGTATTAGTGTTACATAGCGATTTTTAGTTTAGAACAGAGGTTGGCCAACTACGACCTACAGGTCGGATCTGGCTCGTCATTTATTATTATAGAACCACGAAATTGCTGACACACGCCATCATCTTTTTGTTCGCGTAGTGTCGTGGATCAGTGCAATTATATTTTATATTTTTCTTGGAAAACGATTGTCGACTTCCGGTTCGAAGTATCACTTTGCAACGCTGTTAACACTTGCTTACTTATTAACACTTTTGTAAAACGAAGACCCGGAGACATCCGGTGTCCGTCCGACATTGACGACTAATTTGATCGTGTCGTAAATTTATTAGCGTGCGAAGGAAATCGTGTATAATGTATTTTTGCAAAATTTAGCGAAATGCCACCTAACAGCGGGCAAAGAAATTATTCGAGGTACCGTATATTGTCGTTCGCGGTCACTTTATTTCGATTCCGAGCAGAAAATGACGTCGTGTTAACGTTGCTACTTCGAACCGGCAACTTTATTTATTGATTTCTTAATGTCTGACGTATGCCGCGGTCTACTTATCGCACGCGTGAAAGTTTACAAATATGTGTTTTGATTCGCGGTAATGTTCGATCGTAGAAATTTGAAATCGTCGACGGTGAGAAAAGTAGTTGGACAGACGTTCTACCGACCACAACAGTCGAGAGTCATTGATAACGATCATTGATTTTAGGCGTGTGTGCCGAGAGAGAAAGAGAGCGAGGGATAAGAGCTGACAGAGCCAGCGTGACGTTAGAATGTTTGTATCGTTATTCTCTTACCTGAGAAAAGATCGAATGCATAGTTAAAGTGACGCGTATGAGTCATCGGATGCGGAAATATACTAAAATAAATATTGATCTCATTGTTCTATATCTATTGCGGTCGGTTTTTATTTAAACTTATGGATGACTGATGGATGATTTTTTGGAATTCCCAAAAATATTATCACCGACTCACCGGTATTTAAACAATCGTTATCACGAAAAAGTTATTCTTAGATACAATTAATATTTGTAAATATGTTTTCCAATGTCAAAGAAACTGAAGAAAAACATAATTTTTAAATTAAATTCCGGTGCCTAGAAAAACATCAAATTTTATCATAGTATCTTACGTTGTATATTGGATTGATAAGAGATAATTAACTGCGTACGAAGATATAACTTTTAAGATAGGAGAGGATGTATCGCAGATAATTATTCAACGTAATTACTAATATTTAATTACATTTTATAATTTTAAATTGAATTAGTAATATCGTTACGGGTAACAGAATTGTTATGTAATTACCGTTGGAAAATGTAGAAAAATTAGCTCTGTTTTTAGGTATAAATTATTACATGTACCTATCGATTGGTTAATTTTATTATTGTTGAATTTGTAAATCGAAAGCTATGATATTTTTTTAATTAGAACAGTACATATTTGTCATTAAACGATGGAATCTTTTTCGGAACAGAACACGTAGAAATAAGAGATTTTAAGATCGAACCGGATGCTTGGATATTCGTCTGTGGAAGTTACGCTAAATATCTTTTTAAACCGTACACGGTGGGCGTGTCGTGACTACGGCCTGCGAACACGCAGATAACTGGACTATTCGTATCGAAATAATACTCGTTTCTCTTTTGTCTAGTTTATCGATCACTCGTCGCGATTCCTTTCGAACACTCGTACTCTCCGATTTATCGAGCACCGATCCATCCGTCTGTATCTGCAATCGAGTTGCAGCGGAGCACGGATATGTTGTGCCCTCCAGATTCGAGTATTTAGTCGACCGTGATCTTGGCGAGGTGCACCCGTGACCAGGACAAGCGACGCAGTAGTAGTACCTTTCACTCTGGAAATGAGCCAACTTTATTTCGAGGGCAAGGACAGGGCTCAGACAATTGATCACGCCGTAACTCCTATCATCACCGGGTGGGGGGGATTTTATTGCGTGGATCGGTACATTCGTTATTCAGTCATCGCGTATGCCCATTGTTTCTAAAAATTACTGGAATAACTGCTTAATATTGTACTTGTATTATAGAAAATTGCGGTTCGTACAGTAAAATCAGTAAAAAAATTTGCTAAAGCATGGAAGGTTAAAATCGTTAGATTTAAACTCCGTGAACAATAGAATGTAATGTATAGGTCGTAAGTATATGTCCGGTATAATTGTTTAAATGGTATCGTTGCTCGTGGGATGACCTAGTATGGAACAACGCAGTCGAAGGTCTCAGCTGATCGGTTCTCGCGATCCGGCGCGAGGATGATCGAGAGAAGCGTGGAGAACCAAGGAGCCACGGGACACGCGTCTGCGCGCGATTCGGTCGGTGGGTCGGTGGGTCGGTTGGTCGGTGGGTCGGTGGGTCGGTGGGTCGAACGGACGGTCGTGCGGACAGACGGTCGTGTCGGGTATTGATTTTCAGAGGAGCACGGCAGTATACATATGTTTGTCACGTAAACGCATATACGTGCATTTACGACGACCGTCTCTCGATGGCGGTGCCTGGCTTTTGTTAAATTTCCGAGTGAAATTTCGCAATGACCGATCCTGGAGTTTTAAAATTTTAATCGCCCTCGATCTAGAGAACTGTGCACCTATATTTGCCGGTTGTTGCATTTTTCTTGGATTCTATGCGTTCCCCCTTCAAAGTACATAATTCTTTGTTCTTAGATTTTTTTATTAACATGGATCAAAGGAATGGCAACCTGCCATACAGCGAAGACTCGTGTATTATTAAAATCAACGCGATAGTCTCGATTCGATATACCCTCTGCTCCATTCTTCCAGTTTGTAAGACTATCGAACGCTCGTCTAATCGATCGTTTATTTTTTAATGTTGCAGGAAGTTGCAGTCGCCAGGGAATAGGAGCTGCACCGGGTAAAGAGCTGACTTACACGGAAGGGAAGAGAGGTTGCAGAGAAGAACTCGCCAGGCACCCGACAAGATGCCTGCTCCGACACCAGCAGCGGCACCGGTTGAGGGGGGCGGCCCACCCCGCACCGAGTTGCAAGAATTACAGCTGAAGGCCGATCAAACTACAGATGAGGTATGTTGTACAAACAGAAACTCGAAAAATCATTCACGGTTAATCCCCCTAATCGCCTAATTCGTGGTACTTGTATTCTGTTTCAGTCTCTGGAGAGTACGAGGCGTATGATGGCGTTATGCGAGGAGGTAAGTTCGTCTCGTCCCTATAAAACTGTACTCTCTTCTATTTACGCATTAACCTTCATCCTCGGTCATCCTCGGTACTAATCCTCGATCCTTGTTACTCTATAGCCGTCTATATCCCGGAGTTCTTGATCCAATGATTTGTCTTGTATAGAATAGAGATGTGCAATTGTCGCTGATAACTCGTTGTGCGCCAAGTCGCGGCAAGATGGGCATCTGCTCTGTCCTCGCTAAACTCGACGTTGTGCAAATTCAAAGAAATTTCCCCACCACCCGAAAGGAACTAATTATAATAATGATAACGATAAGAAAGATGGAAACGCGCTGGAGAGAGGTGGGCAAAATACTATTTCGACTGGCGTGGTTAGACGTAAGCAAGGGAAGAATTAATCAAATAAAAATATAGGAATGGTATAATGTACTTGATAGAAATTCCAACGAGCAAAGGAAAATAATAGAAAAAAAGAGGTACATCCTGTTTTCGATGTGCGAGAAGGTCAGATTTCTATATGGCGTTGATAAAGAAAACTCTGAAATAGTATTTGACCCAGCTCTGACGCCGGAAGCATCCTTTTTCGTTCCTCTATAGTGTACTATACACCTGTATGCAATGCAATAGCTTGAACGTGTATCGTTCAGAACGGAAGTAAATAATAATGGTCATCTAGGGTATTGTTGGCTTTATGACGCGAGTTTTTTAGGACGAGAGCAAAGAGACATTTTCCTCCTAAAGAAAAAGGGGGAGAAAAGGAACAAAACTATCGCACGGGTGGCACGCATTTAATACGTACGTTCATTCTTGAATAGGATGACGCGTATGTACTTGCAAGAATTGTAAGACGACGCATCGACGCGGTCCGAGACGGTAATCCGCGACACGAACGCGTGTGAAATGATCGGTTGCATCGTTCCGTGGCCGTTCATTCGTAAAACGTTGCATTTTTCGGCGCGTAACGGGGCTTTTCGATCGATGCACAACCTGAACGATTTATACGTATTTTACTTTTCAGGGTGTAAATTAAAGTTACGCTTGTTTCCCACCCTGTAACGTATTCGAACTATTATGCAGGGTACGTTTACATAAGAACCCTTAAATATGTTTGTTGTTTATGGATATATGAACAAATCATTTAGGACAAAGATATTCACTCTATGTTTTGGATCCTATCGAAATTCTGTTTCATAAGATGTCATAATCCCCCGTATCATTATACAACTGCCCATCGTGATTCATTGTTTCTTTGATACGATGCCTTTTCAAGGCTTTCACCTTCCAGTAATAACATGCTTTGCCTGCCAGAAAATGAAAGTGGGGCCCAACTTTCTGACTACATATTAGGTTTAGGGCACAAGTACCTTCGTACTTTTTCCTGGAGATTAAAAGACTGCATCGAGCAATGCAATAAAAATTATAGAGTCGAGTTTAAAAAAAAGGATAAATGAATAAAATTACATCGTGATATGTTTTTTATCGTTATCGTTTAACTTTGTCCAGAGCATGTTTTTCATATATCCGTAAGCATCGGGGATATTTAGGTTTCGTTTCAAGTGGGCATGATCGACGGGTAATTCGACGCGCGCGTTCGTGGTCGCGTTTTCGTGTGTCTGTCTACGTTTCTTCAATCTTCGCATTCTTCTTCCCACATACATAACTACTCGTTGTCTATTCTCGTTATCTTCGATATATACTCTATTCTGAATACATGTATGAACTTTTTCTATAAATGTATGCGAAATTTTTAACTGTATTGTACACTCAAGATGTGTTTACTCTTTTTCTTCTTCAACTTGTTACTAATTGTCGAAGGAGCGAACGCAATTGACACCGGTTACCCGCGCGCCTAAATTAATAACTATATTCACGATCGACGAGTCTCTCGTTGTGTTGTTCACGTTAACGTTAGCCCTGGTCCAAGTTTCAAGTTCACATTTACACGTGTATGGTACATTTTGATGGTCCCTGCAATGGTTACGGTACGAAGCAAGCGACATTTTTGAAAATATTATTTACTTCGGTCATATACACATTTTCCATCGTACAGTTGGACAAACACTCGAGAGACCCGCGTGTTCGCAATGAATTTCGAATAAATTGAGGGTGCGAAAGGGGTTGAAAGGTCATTGCGTCGCTCCGTTCCAGTTTCTTTTGCTACTTGTATCTGTGGCTGCACTAATTAGCACACATATTCACATTTCGAGCACCCAGGGACGTCGCTGGCTATTATTTTTTCAGTGTACGTAAGTACATGTCCTAACACATGGGATGTCGACATAACAAGGCTGCCCCCTATGTATTATTACATTTTGTGTGTGTGCGCGTGCGAGAGTAATATATTTTATTCAGTACGTATCTTATACGTGTACTCGCTGCGTGTGTGTGTGTGTACACAGGGTGTCCTGCTTACTTGAGCATTTTAAGTATCTCCGTTGCTGTTCACGATACAAAGAAATGTCAAAACAGGCAGATTTCGTTTGATGGAGCAATCGTTATTAAAACGACCATAACTCCTACAATAGTGAATATATTTTAATGAAACTTTTTTTCTCAAGTAGAGCTTATGGGTACCTACAAAAAAGTATTAGACAACTTTTCTGTAGGGCGTTATACAAACTTACTAAAAATCAGAAACGAATTTCTAAGAAAAATCGACAGGGGGTAGGTGCCTAAATTTTTCGAAGAAAAAAAAAATTCTAAATCGTTCTAGAAAAATTATTTTTAGCTAGGGGGGTTAATTACAATTATATTTGGTGAAAAGACATACCCCCGAATTCCTAACCATTTTCGAGGAAAAAATTCTTTCCCGAAAATATGATGTCTGACCATACCATTGACATGTTTCACTGAAATTTCATGCGTAATCTTTAAAACGTCATAACTTCCGAACGGATCGGAGGATTTTAATTCTTCAACCGGCAAACGACGCGTATTTTGGCGAAGAATAACTAGAAATTTCAAAAATATTCGAAAAGTTGTTCTTTGGCACCTTAAAATGAGGAAAACCCCATAAAAGTGGTCCAATTTTCAAACAACCATAACTCTTACAATAGTGAATATATTTAAATGAAATTTTAGGAGGAAGTAGACTTCACGGATACCTACAAAAAAGTATTAGACAACATTTCCGTACAGCGTGAAAAAAAATTTTTAAGGAAAATCGACGGGGGGTAGGTGCCTGAATATTTCGGCGAAAAAGAAAAATTTCAAATCGTTCCGAAAAAATTATTTTTAGTTGCAGGGGTCAATTACAATCATTTTTGGTCAATACACATACCCTCGAATTCTAACCATTTTCGAGAAAAAAAATCGAGTAGGTGGCCAAATTTTCGACGAAATTGAAAAGTTTCAAATCGTTCTAAAAAAATTATTTTCAGTTGCAGGGGTCAATTACAATCATTTTTGGTCAATACGCATACCCACGAAATCCTATCCACTTTGGAGAAAAAAATTCGTGTAGGTGGCCAAATTTTCGACGAAATTGAAAAGTTCCAAATCATTCTAAAAAAATTATTTTTAGTTGCAGGTATCAATTACTATCATTTTTGGTCAATAGACATATTATCGAAATTCTAACCATTTTCGAGAAAAAAATTCATGAAGGGGGACAAATTTTTCGACGAAATTGAAAAATTTTAAATCGTTTTAAAAAAATTATTTTTAGTTGCAGGGGTCAAGTACAATCATTTTTGGTCAATATGCATACCCCCGAAATCCTACGCACTTTCGAGAAAAAAATTCCTTACCGAAAACATAATTTCAGACCAGAAATGTCACTCCAAAATTGTCATAACTTCTGAACGGATTGAAGGATTCTAATGTTTAAAAATGCAAACAACGCGTATTTTGGTGAAGAATACGTAGTAATTCTAAAAATGTTCGATAAGCTGTTCCTTGACCCAGTAAAATGAAAAAAAAACCATAAAAATGTACTTCTTGACATTTTCCTTATTGTTGACCATCTATGACCATAATCCAGCCATTATTGACCATCGAACTTTGACTTTTCTTTGTACAATCCAACAGCAACGGAATTATTTAGCGTTGAAGTTAAGCGTGTGACGGTCTGTTTGTGTGTGCGCGCACGCGCTCATATACACATATGTACAACATATCTGTGTATGTAAACTGCCATCGATGTCAGTTAGTCGATTAGTACTCGATGTAAATGGATTTCCGGAACAAAAAAAAACCACAAATTTCGACGGGGGGCTAATTGCAGCAATTAAAAAAAAAAAAAAAAGAGATATTCTTAATGTCACCAGTGGTGGAGGATATTTTTTTCAGCAACGGTGAATTCCACCAACAGAGTCTTTGGAATGGATACTACGGAAAAACCGAGGACGCTCTTGACGCGATACAATTTCGAAGAAAAGAAAAGGAAGATCGATGACAATTGTATGGTACTGTTAGTCGCGTGGATTTTTCGATACGATCGTGTTAAAAAACAAGTCAGCATGGGTAACGCCAGAGGTGTAACTCCATTTCTTTTTTCTCCCTCTGAATTTCTCTTCAGTTTATAATTGTTCCCGATTTTACGCTTCATTTTGTCATTTACTTTTCCACCGCGTCGAACAAGTCTTGGGTGAAAGAGGTTCGCGGGAAATTCGTTTAATACACGGTGAAACGTACGCGTTAGGAAGATTTTTTCGTACGTATGGTAATCTGGGGGACAGTTCACATTTTACTTTTTAATTTTTGAAGATTCAAGGACCGCGATGTCTTTTTTAATTCTTACGTCAAAATTGATATATAGATGTTCAATTATAGGATTACCGATTTTTTAATTTATAGTATTCGTCTTTTAATACTGTTTCCAAAAATGTCTACGCCTTTCGTTGAAATAGTGATAATCTTTTATTTGGTTAGTACGGATTATCGCTTTATTCGGATCACCTATCCTTCCAGTTTCTTCAGATTAACGAGGTTTAACCAGTCATCTTACAGTGGGTTCCACGTACCTTATACCCTTTTGGTTTTACTCCCCCCTAGTCGGCAGCACGTAAAA